ATCTGTCTACATATAAATGATTAATTTCTCTTTATTGATCCTGGCGCATAGTAGCATTTGTTGGAAAAGGGAACCGAATGTAAGGGTTTAGATGCGTATGCTGCCAATTGTATTTAGGAAACCATAACATCATCTTTTGCTTCTGATTTTAATGTAGCCGTTTACTCATATTCCAGGTTTATTTCTTTAGTTATTGAATAATCTTGTTTTAGCAAATCAGAGCACCCTAACCACAGTAACGTGGCTGTAGCATGATATCATATCATAGCACTTGTCTATTGCTTGCTCTTTATTGTAGTTGTCCATGCCCGAACGCACAGCACCTCATAATTACTGTGCGCAATAACTGCGAGCAGACAGGTATCCTGACTATAAAAAATCGAGAAATTATTTTCAGAAATGGTGTGTTCTGCATCAGAAGTTTGTCGCGGGAATGTCAAGTATATTTGCGAAATTGTCAGGAGTGGCACCATGCATTAAGCCCAGGCTGCATTATTGGATAACAGGTCACATTAACTTAGGTAACCGAGAACGGTTCCTCCCCCGTCTCAACCCTGCCAGAAAGAGGTTATGTCATGATCTCGTACCCAAATCCCACCTGAAATGGTCGTGCACAGTCTGGATACTGAATTAGATGTGTCTAGCTAACTGTCAAGCTAAATATTCTGAATAAAAGGAGTTAGTTTCCAAAGAAACTGTCGTCCTGCGTCGTCGCCCTTTGTCAGAGCGTTCGATCGAATCACTGGCTCCAATTTTGCCACTTTCTGGGTAGAATCTCATTTTATGGGGTACATGTTGACGCTATCAATTCAGTTGAAAGCCTAAGCTTAAGATTTCTATGAGGGTAGATAGATACTGGGCAAATATTTTTTGTTATGAAGGGTATAAAGAGTACAAGCACGTTCTTTTTTCAAATTTACGGGCATCAAACTATTGACTTTAAAATTGTACAAACAATATATGATCGCTAAGAAATCACTAAAAACGACAGGCTCTGAGTACAGCTCTTATTTAGATAACGAGTATTTGCAACCAAGGAAATGTACATAGTGAGCTTTCTCGCGCGAAATTCCCAAATCCCAACACCACGTTCATAAAAATTCACCTTACACAGGCACCTACAATCGTTTCTCACTTGAAGGCTATGCAACTAGAGTCTTTCATTCACCTTTCGATAGAAAAACCACCGTGATTACCCGGGTCGATCGAACCTCTCTGCGAGTTTGCCTTAGAGGAAACCGCAGTTAGTTAGTCGTGTCCAATATCTCCTCGGATCAAATACTTGCCCTGAGGGTTTGGGTAAAAGGTGTGTTGTTGAAGTTCTTGGATGATAAAAGTTCAAAATGAGTTGTTTAAAGAAAGAAATCGCACACTGTTTATATTACCTAGTAGGACAACGGTTGCCGTGTTGGTTTCACAAGAAAAACGAGACAATTGGAGGTAGAAAGTGTCCCTAAAAGTGAGAACCTCACTTCGTTCCTTAGCCCGCTCCCCAGACACATCTCTAGATGGTCAACCAACCACGAGGCTTTAATGCATATGCAACTGTCTTTGTCGCCAAGCTTTTGTAAACACGCTTTTGGATTGTCTGACCACCTGTCGAGGCACATCCTTTCAAACATTTGTTTTGAATTAAATTCAGTTTTAGCTTTGTTTTAGCAAGACTTATTTATGCACTACTAATAACTACATACTCTATTTTCCTACTCTAAAAATACTTTCTCTTTGAGCCAAAAGAATCGTAAATGTATAACATCGTGAGAGTGGCGAAAACTTCACATGTAAAAACGCGTGAAATATAAATATAACTTCTTTACAAGAGCACAACGCAAGAAGCAGAAGCTTTTACAGTCGTCTCTAGGACTATGCTAGACTTGTTCACAAGCAGTGTTTCGTGACGAAGGGCTAACACACGAAACGTCAGCTTTGAAACTCTTTACGGTGGCCACCACAGTTTCTCTAGAATATTACCCCCTTCGTTCATTTGTACCTTACCCTATTTATCATTTTGTGTTCAGCTCACACAATCACAATGAAAGCCTCTCAGTTTATCGCAAGCACGTAAAAAAAATTTAATGAACATTTAGTAGTTTAAAGAAAGAAATCGCACACTGTTTATATAACGTAGTAGGATAATGGTTGCCGTGTTGGTTTCACAAGAAAAACGAGGCAATTGGAGGCAGAAAGTGTCCCTAAATATGAGAAACTCACTTCGTTCCTTCGCCCCCTCCCCCAGACACCTCTAGATGGTCAACCAACCACGAGACTTCAATGTGTATGCAGCTATCATTGTCGCTATTTTGTAAACACGCTGTTGAAATGTCTGACAGCCTGTTGAGGCACATCCTTTTAAACATTTGTTAAGAATTAATTTTTGTTTTAGCTTTGTTTTAGCAAGACTTATTTATGCACTTCTAAACACTACATACTCTATTTTCCTACTCTAAAAATACTTTCTCTTTGAGCCAAAAGAATCGTAAATGTATAACATCGTGAGAGAGGCGAAAACCTCACATGTAAAACCGACGCAGCACCACAGTTTCTTTAGAATATACCCCTTTTAATAAAGGAGCTGTTGGCAAAATATCACTTCTACCCTAATTCTTTTCAAATTAAAGGGATCTCTTCAGATGGATCTTTTAAATATTAAATAAAGAACTTCCATTCTAGCCTATCTGAAAGGTCCAAGCTGGTTACAAAGACTAAACAATTTCTATCCTAATTGTTTTTCTCTTCAAAGTAAATGTAATTTCATAACATATATATTTGTTTGAAATTACGCCAAATGTTAACCACATAGTGCTGGAGGTGCTGACTGACAATTCAGCAAATAATTTTTACAATAACAAAGGTAAGAATTAACAATAGGCAAAATTGCCAGGTGTCAAGCGCATTTAGATTACGAGTCTTTGGCTGGATCAGAGTCAGAAACAAATTGCGCAATAATGAATCCAACTAATATCCTTAGCATTCCAATTCTGGCTTAAGAAAACTTTTGATCTACCTGTCAGCTTAAACATGCACGTACTATTATTATTCTTGATCGGTGTCACTGCTTATGCAACAAGTCGGATTTCAAACACGTTTCCCAGATTTCAAGCCGCTAATTTTGGCCAGATGATGGACGGGAGACAACTCAACGGGAGCGTGATAAAGGAGATAGAGGTGGAATCAGAAAGCTCTTGTAGATTGGAGTGTGTCAACGAAGAGCGATGTAAGTCTTACAACTTTGGAGGCAAAAAGAACAAATCTGAGAGATGGAAGTGCCAGATCAGTGACTCTGATCGATTTGAGAGGCCAGCTAAGGCAAACTTCATTGAGAACAAAGATTTCAGTTACAGAGGGATAAAGGTATTTGCAATGCATTTCAAAAGATTTTGACTATCACCTAGATATACGAACAAGTTCCTGGAAATGACAATTAATGGTAAATAATGCAATAAAATTGCAGACAGAATTGCACTTAAGGAGACTCTGTGAGGTTTTTGCTCAATGTTGGCGCGCACGCCATCGTATTGTTTTTGTAGAAAAGTTTTATGATTTTGCTTTTCGATGTCATTGAAAGCCATCAAAAGGCGATGAGCAAGGCTCGGACAATCGTTTGCTGCAGTAAATATTATCAAAATGATTTTCCTTATGAAGCTAAGGCTCCACGAAGGGAGGCGCTCGCCAGCGATAATTCCGCTTTGCAATTTGCTTCGATGAAATCTTTCAAAATGTTCACAATTTGTGAAATTTGTCCTGCCGATCATTACAAAGGCAGCTTCCTCGCTATTTGCAATTTTGTGTCACCATTCTCTATCTCAAATTTGGTCCTATGAATTTTTTTTATCAAAAGGCACTAGGGAGGGCACAAATATGTTTAATGGTCCGACAAATCTTAGGAAATTCCATCTGAGGAAGCGCGATAAATCTCGCTTAAAATATCCCTATTTTCTTTGTTGCAAAACATTACGTAATGGAATAGAACTTCGCTAAGATCTACACCTGAGCATGCGTAAAATTTCCAATCTGTCGCCTTTTAGCAATCTTTCTCACTGTGTTTTGTTTTCGGTTGACCTCTTTTTTCAAGCGTATTCAGCCGCCACGTTATTTTGTCACTTTAAAAGCTCGCGCTATGTTGGCACCAGGTTCTCGCGCGAACAAAAAACCCTATGGAGCCTCCTTAAACGACAAATATAAAAAGTCGCGCAATTGAAGTAGACTTATTCGTTCAAGCATTTTTTACAAAACATTAGAGAATCATAGAGAACTCTCTCTCATTACTAGCCACAAAGTTTAGTTAAGAAGATTTTTTTTTCGATTGAAAACCATAGATTATCTCAGTTCGTCATAACATAAAACCACCTAGTAGATTGACAATGCCGCAATGGCGCTGCTACTTAACAAGTCGACAGTAGCTTAGCGTGGTCTGTACTCTTATCGACAAAGATATTGGTCATCACATTGATCAGAGTGCTGATGAAGCCATTGTGTGACACATGGACGCGAGCAACCGACATCGACAAACTGACCGATCAAATTGCGACATTGCTGCTAATTGTGATGAAAAAATCGCTGTATCCCTTATTGGTATATACCACAAAGGTGAAGAGTGCTTTTCGCGCGCTTTGATTGGCTGGTTAAGAGGCGATTAGCAAATACTTCTCACCTCCGAGCAGCCCGAGAGACAAAGTCACGCGTCAACTTGTCAGTTTCCAAGCGTATTGTGGTAGATTGACTCATTCTTTTGGTATATGTGTTGTATATACTAAAACAGTTACTCTCCTCTGTGTCTTTGAAAGCGGTAGATATTTACCTCGCGGGCTACTTAACGGCTCGCTAAATATTCACCACTATCCACTTCCACTTCCGTAAACAATTGTTAATAATGATAATGACATCATCATCATCATCAATATAATCTTCGGCATCATTGATATATTATCATTATCATTATAAATTTTATTACTCTCACTATTATCATTATTATTATTGTTGTTGTTGTTGTTTACAATCAGAGCGTATGCGAACGAGATAAGTCAGATTGTGGCAAGTATGAAATCTGCATCGTAGACATTCGAACCAACAGTGCACGATGCATTTGCAAGGATGGTTAAACAGGAAAGCCCTGTAGTAAGTGAATAATAATGACAATAATGTTTGCAAACAAAAAATGCAAAGAAAACCGGCGCAATAGTGCTTTCACTGCTCGAACTTTCACACCTCGAGCACTAGCTGTACACAACTTCTATATTTGTTGATCAACCCCTCCTCTCAATACATTTCCTTTGTTTTTGTTGATGGTATTTTAGAAACGTAAGGATCATTCATTATCAAGAGAAACACTAACACCGTGACTAAGTAAAAATAAATTACTTCTACTATAGTCCAAGCGTACCATTCAAATCAAATTTTTCGAAAACCAACAGAACCCATCGCCAAAAGTTGTGCTCTACTTTATCAACATGGTGTCACATCTAGCGGTGTGTACGCTATCAATCCAGATGGCGGACATGCCATGCAAGTGTTGTGTGACATGACCACGAACGGTGGAGCTTGGACTGTTTTTCAGAGACGTTTGAACGGCTCTGTTGATTTCTATCGAGATTGGTCGTCCTACAAAAATGGCTTCGGAGATTTACACGGCGAGTTCTGGCTTGGAAATGACAATCTTCATCGTTTGACAGCCGCTGGTAACGTTTCGTTGAGAGTTGACCTGGAGGACTTCGAAGGTAACATCAAATACGCTGAGTACGCGACATTTAAGGTGGCGGACCAGACAGATAAATACCGAATTGTAATTGGTGGATACAGTGGGACAGCTGGAGACGGTATGAATGAACAAAGGTATTATAAACAGTAGTTTAGAATTGAGGTTGTTGAAAGTAAAATGTGCGATAATTTGCAGGCAAATATTTTTATATCTATTCGTTTCGAGACTTGTGCGAGTAAAGAGATGGAATCCTGAAAAAATTCTCAATTCATTTATTTCTTACTTATTTTTCCTTTTCCCTTTTTTTTTTTTTTTTTTTGTATCCGCCATTTTCAGTTTTGGCTTATGAGATGTTAAATTAGTGTACCAAAAGTTCCAATACTATTACAATATTCCTCCAATTTAATAAGATCTACAAACCGTATTTTGTGGTATTAACACTTTGTAGTGATATGCAGTTCTCCACAAGAGATAGTGACAACGACATAAAACCAAACAGCAGCTGTGCTCAGAAGTACAAAGGCGCCTGGTGGTACAGTGATTGTCATCGATCCAATCTAAACGGGTTGTATCTCAGCGGAAGTCACTTGTCAATGGCTGATGGCGTCAACTGGATTCCTTTTAAAGGATATCAATACTCACTGAAACGTACAGAAATGAAAGTAAAGTAGATCAGCGTTGTTATTTCTTTTCTTTTTTCTTTTGATTTTTCACGAAGAGACTACCTAGGTCCAGATCACGGCCATAACACACTCCAGTTATCGATCCTTTTCTTCCCAGTCTCCCGTCGCATTTTTTATTTACATTAAAGCTACACATTGGTTTATTGATCGGGCTTTGAGCCCTGTTCAGCGGTTTACATAATTTTAGGGCCATTTCCAAATCATCCTGTAGAGGTGTGAATTGTAATGTGATTCTTCGGCACATTAGCGGCACCGCTTCAACCAATTCAAAGTAGAACTAAAACCACTGGCGAAACTAGGCCACCTCTGGCAACGCTAAAGGAGATAATTTGTTATTCTAATGGTCATTATTTTTAAGGTTCTGGTAATAGGAACAAATATAATTACAGGACTTGACATATCGGTTACATATTGCATGGTAAAGGAGTAAACTCAATATTTGGATCACCATTAAAACATTTTTTTAACTTAGAAAACCGCAGCTTTCTTTTCATAGAATATGTGTGTGAAATTATCATCATTTCATTATTTTCAACATATACTTCAGTTCAACTCTCATTTTTTGTTAATTTGCAACTTTTTGAGTATTCTTCTTTCTACATATAAATGATTAATTTTTCTTTATTGATCCTGGCGCAAAGAAACATTTTTTTGGAGAGGGAGTTTAATGTAAGGGTTTTAATGCGTATGTCGTCAATAGTATTTAAGAAAACCATGACTTCATCTCTAGCTTCTGGTCTTAATGTGGCCGTTTACTCCTTTTCCAGGTTTATTTCCTTAGTTATTAAATTAACTTGTTATAACAGTCTAGAGCACCTTCACCACAGTCACGTGGCTGTACCATTCTATAATATCCTAAAAATTACTTCATATTAAGCAGTTCTGTATAATAAAGCAGTTATGTAAAGCACTTGTCTACTGCTTACTCTTTATTGCGGTTGTCCAGGCCCGAACGCACAGCACCTCATAATTATTGTGCGCAATAGCTGCGAGCAGTCACATATCCTGACTTTAAAAAATCGGGCAATTACCGACATAAATGGTGTTTTCTGCATCAGAAGTTTAACGCGGGAATGTCAAGTATATTTGCGAAATTGTTAGGAGTGGTACCATGCATTAAGTCTGGGGTGAGTTATTTGATAACAGGTCGAGGATCTCTTGTGTTCAGGTCACATTAACCTAGGCTACTTAAAGCGGTTACTCCTCCCCCCTCTCAACCCTGCCAGAGAGGCTATGTCATAATCTCGTACCCAGATCCTACCTGAAGTGGTTGTGGAAGGTCTGGATACTTGATTAGATGTGTCAAGCTAACTGTCAAGCTAAATATTCTGAATAAAGGGGGTAAGTTTCTAAAGTAACTGTAATGCTGCGTGGAAGAGAATAACAGGGTAATGTAGAATTAACTAAGTTGATAACGTAAATTGGCCAACGTAAAGACTTTAAAAGCTGACGTTTCGAGTGGTAGCCCTTTGTCAGAGCGAATTACTGGCTTCAAGACCGCAGACATTTCATAACCGTACCATGAAACACCCTTGAGGAAGTGTTTTGTAAGTGGCAAGAAGAGAGAGGACCCTGGAAACGATGTTGGTTTGTACTTAGAACTAGTCTCTCTTCAACGAACAAACCTCCAAAACATGGCAGACTTCGGTGAGGGTCATACCTGTTTAGAATATGGGAAAAGTTACAACAACAAAATGAGGCTTGAGAAGCAAAAGAGGTTTCATAAAGGAGAGGTAGGTTTATGATCTGTGTCCTCCGAACGAAATCTGTAAATTTTAATCGCTTTAAACTGTGACTTGAAAGGGTAGTTTATTTGACACGTGCTGTTACACTGTTCGTCTGGTACGTTTTTAGTTCGTCACTATGGCATTGAACCTGGGTTCGAGTGATTGTTATATGTTGAGAACTTGACCAAAGAAATATCTACTTTCGAGAAATTTGAAGGTCTTTCAATACAACTCGATTTTTTCCTGCAAGTTTTATTTAAAGATGAATTCAACTTCAGTGTGTATTTCGGTTATGACTGAATAGTGCATTTATATGCTCATCCAATAGCCGCAAGCTTACATGTATTACACGATCTTACATAGTTGTTTCACACCAAAGCGCCAACTCCCTGAACTGTGGGAGATACGATGCAATGCTGTCTTCTCCAGAAATACGGAGTGATTTTTACGGGAAGGCAATCAAAGCAATTTCTCTTCACTCCAACTTTTCCACTTTTTGGGTAGAATCTCATTTTATGGGGTACATGTTGACGCTATCCATTCAGTTGAAAGTCTAAACTTAAGATTTTTATGAAGGTAGAAGGATACTGGCAATTTTTTTTTATGAAGAGTATGAAGAGTACAAGCACATTCTTTTTTCAAATTTACGGGCATCAAACTATTATACAAACAATATGTGATCGCTAAGAAAACGCTAACAACGACAGGCTCTGAGTACAGCTCATATTCAGATAACGAACATTTGCGTACACGGAAATGTACTTGGTGAGCTTTCTCGCGCGAAATTCCCAAATCCCAACACCACGTTCGTAAAAATTCACCTTACCCAGGCACCTACAATCGTTTCTAACTGGAAGGCTATGCAACTAGGGTTTTTCATTCACCTTTGGATAGAAAAACCACCGTGATCACCCGGGTCGATCGAACCTTTCTACGAGTTGGCCTAAGAGAAAACTGCAGTTAGTAAGTCGTGTCCAATATCTCCTCGAACCCAACCACTTGCCCTGAGGGCCTGGGGAAAAGATATATTGTTGAAGTTCTTGAGAGATAAAAATTTAAAATAAGTAGTTTAAAGAAATAAATCGCTCAGTGTTTATATTACACCGTAGGATAATGGTTGCCGTGTTGGTTTCACAAGAAAAACGAGGCAATTGGAGGCAGAAAGCGTCTCTAAATGTGAGAACCTCACTTCGTTCTTTAGCTCCCTCCCCCAGACACACCTATAGATGGTCAACCAACCACGAGGCTTCAATGCTGTGCAGCTGTCATTGTCATCTTTTGTAAACACGCTGTTGGATTGTCTGACCACCTGTCGAGGCACACCCTTTCAAACATTTCTTATGAATTAATTTCTGATTTAGCTTTGTTTTAGCAAGACTTATTTGTGCGCTACTAATTACTACATACTCTATTTTCCTACTCTAAAAATACTTTCTCTCTTTGAGCCAAAAGAATCGTAAATTTATAACATCGTAAGAGTGGCGAAAACTTCACATGTAAAAACGCGTGAAATGTAAATATAATTTCTTTACAAGAGCACAACACAAGAAACAGAAGCTTTTAGAGTGATCTCTGGGATTTCTATGCGGGACTTTTTCACACACAGTCTTCGTTAGGGTGTCACGCATTTCTTACAGGCAGTGTTTCGAGACGTAGGGCTAACGCACGAAACGTCAGCTTTGAAACTCTTTATGGTGGCCACCACAGTTTCTCTAGAATATTACACCCTTCATTCATTTGTACCTTACCCAACTTATCATTTTGTGTTTAGCTCACACAATCACAATGAAAACCTCTCATTAGTCTATCGTAAGCACATAAAAGAGTTTAATGAGAGCAACTTCAAAGCTGTTGAAAACAAGTAACAAAGGAACTCGTGGCAAAATATTACTTCTATCCTATTTTTTCTTTAATTAAAGAGACTTCTTCACATGGATCTTTTAAAAATTAAATGGAGAACTGCCATTCTAGCCTATCTGAAAGGTCCAAGCAGGTTACAAAGACTAAAACATGTTTCTGTCCCTATTATTTTTCTCTTTAAAGAGTGATGTGATAACATATTTGTTTGAAATTACGCCAAATGTTAACCGCGAAGTGCTAAAGGTGCTGGCTAAGAATTCAGCAAAAAATTTTTATAAAAACAAAGGTAAGAATTAACAATAGGCAAAATTGCCAGGTGCCAAGCGCATTGAGATTACGAGTCTTTGGCTGGATTAGAGTCAAAAACAAGTTGCGCTACGAGTATAAAATTCACCTTACCTAGGCACCTACAAAATGATTTTCGTTATGAAGCTAAGGCTCCACGAAGAGAGGTGCTCGCCAGTAACATTCTGCTTGGCAATTTGCTTCGGTGAAATCTCTCAAAATGTTCACAATTTTTCCTGCCGATCATTAAAAAGTCGGGAAAAAAGGGATTACAAAGGCAGTTTCCTCGCTATTTGTTTTTATCAACAGGCACTAGGGAGGGCACAAATACGTTTAACGGTTTCACAAATTTTAGGAAATTCCATTTGAGGAGAAGCGATAAATCTTGCTCAAAAGATCCCTATTTTCTATCTGCTGTTATTGTTGACGAGATAAGTCAAATTGTGGCAAGAGCGAAATCTGCATCGTAGACATTCGAACCAACAGTGCACGATGCATTTGCAAGGATGGTTACAAAGGAAAGCCCTGTGGCAAGTGGAAATAATAATGACAATAATGTTGCAAAGAAAAAAAGCAAAGAAAACCGGCACAATAGTGCTTTCACTGCTCGAACTTAGAAATTTCACACCTCGAGCACTAACTGTACACAACTTCTGTATTTTTTGATCAACTCCTCCTCTCAATAAATTTTCTTTGTGGTTGTAGTTGTTTTTGTTGATGGTGTTTTACGAACGTAATGATCATCCATCATCTAGAGAAACACTACTCCCCATGACTAGCTGAAAATAAATGACTTCTACTATAGTCCAAGCGTACCATTCAAATCAACTTTTTCGTCAACCAACAGAGCCCATCCCTAAAAGTTGTGCTCTACTTTATCAAGATGGTGTCACATCAAGCGGCGTGTACACTATTAATCCAGATGGCGGAAATGCCATGCAAGTGTTGTGTGACATGACCACGAACGGTGGAGGTTGGACTGTTTTTCAGAGACGTTTGAACGGCTCTGTTGATTTCTATCGAGATTGGTCGTCCTACAAAAATGGCTTCGGAGATTTGAAGGGCGAGTTCTGGCTTGGAAATGACAATCTTCATCGCTTAACAGCCGCTGTTAACGTTTCGTTGAGAGTTGACCTGGAGGACTTCGAAGGTAACATCACATACGCTGAGTATGCGACATTTAAGGTGGCGGACCAAGCAGATAAATACCGAATTGTAATTGGTGGATACAGTGGGACAGCCGGCGACGGTATGAATAAACAAAGGTATAATAAACAGTAGTTTAGAATTGAGGTTGTTGAAAGTAAAATGTCCGATAAGTTGCAAGCAAACATTTTTATATCTATTCGTTTCGAGACTTGTACGAGTAAAGAGATGGAATCCAAGATTTGCAAACCGTATTTTATGGTGTTAACTTTTTGTAGTGACATGCAGTTCTCCACAAGAGATAGTGACAACGACATAAATCCGGACGGCAGCTGTGCTCAGCAGTTCAAAGGCGCCTGGTGGTATAGTTACTGTCATCATTCCAATCTAAACGGGTTGTATCTCAATGGAAGTCACTCCTCAATGGCTGATGGCGTCAACTGGATTCCTTTTAAAGGATATTACTACTCACTGAAACGTACAGAAATGAAAGTAAAGTAGATCAATGTTGTTGTTTCTTTTCTTTTTTCTTTCCATTTCTCACGAAGAGACTAGTTAGGTTCAGACCACGGCCGCAACACACTCTAGTTATCGATCCTTTTCGTCCCAGTCTCCCGTCGCATTTATTATTTACGTATATAACGAAGTTACTCATTGGTTTATTAAATTAAACGGGTTTTTGAGCCCTATACAGCGGTTTACGTAATTTTAGGGCCATTTTTTTCAAATCATCCTGTGGAGGTGTGAACTGTAATGTGATTATTCGGAACAGTAGCGGCACTGCTCCATTTCAGGGCAGAACTAAAACCATTGATGAAACTGGGCCACCTCATGCTATGCTTAAGGGGATAATTTATGATTTTAATGGCCATCATTTTTAAGCTGCTGGTAATAGGAACAATGATAATCACAGGAGTTAACATATCGGTTACATATTGCATGGTCAAGATAAAGGAGCAAACTCAACAAAATTAACATGGGAAAGGATATTAAATATTTGAAAAACTTTTAAAACATTTATTAAACTTAGATTAACGCAACTTTCTTCTCATAGAATATGTTTGTGAAGTTATTATGATTTCATTATTTTCATCTTATACTTCTGCTCAATTCTTGGTTTTTTTTTTTATTCGCTACTTTTTGAGTATTCATCTGTCTACATATAAATGATTAAGTTGTCTTTGTTGATCCTGGCGCAAAGTAACATTTGCTGGGAAAGGAAGCCTAATGTAAAGGGTTTTAATGTGTATGCCGTCAATTGTATTTAAGAAAACCATAACTTCATCTCTAGCTTCTGGTCTTAATGTAGCCGTTTACTTCTATTTCCTTAGTTATTGAATAATCTTTTTATAACAGGTTAGAGCACCTTAACCACAGTCACGTGGCTGTAGCATTATATAATAAAGATAAGTTCATATTATGCAGTTCTGTATAATAAAGCAGTTATGTAAAGCACTTGTCTACTGCTTGCTCTTTATTATGGTTGTCCAAGTCCGAACGCACAGTTGTGGAGAATCTACACGCAGTTTCCCATTTTAAGCATGAGACCTTCACCGCATGTAGTATTCCCAAGACTTTGGAATAATTACTAAGGAGTCGTTGAAGAGAGTAACAAATGGGCAACCAAGATTTTACTCATGAAAAATCATACTGTTGTGTCCCCCGCACCAGCACGGAGTTTACAAATGTCAACTTTATGCGACCGCTACCTTCAGACTGAAAGTGCTATGAGAGAATTTGTGAAGATGTATCGTCCTTTGAGGCAAAGGACAGTTCGGGAGGAAACCACCAAGGGGTAGATAGGGGCTTTACCACCGGCAGTCTACAGGAAGAAAAAAGAGTCCACCAAAGTGGACTTGTTGGCGGACTAGGGAACGATTTTAACTCTGGTGATCAGCCAGTGGGGCTCAGCAGCGACAGAGGAGCCGTTCAAGCTACTTCGGAAGCTAGGAATGTGACAGATGTCACATTTGTTGAGACTGTGCTGTTGAAGTGGCAGTTGAGCAAATATGCAGACGAATATGACACTGACTCAGAAAACGACTTTCCTCACCGAGAGGATGAAGATATTCCCCCAATTACGATTTCTAGATCCTGGCGGCCAATTCGCGCCTATTTTCGCTCGGATTTCTAAGGTGCGCTTACAGTAGATATCTCTAATAACCTAATTGAAAAGTAGACAAAAGAACATCATATCATGATCATTTCATCGGAGCCGATCGCAATCGACGCGCTATTAAACAAAACATAAAACCAATAAATTGTGCCAGAGGACTCTTCACAAGTTTGTTGTCTTTCTGACGATCTTCTTTCCAACATTTTGACCGACTAAGTGGTTGAAAAAACTGTTTCAATGTTTTGCACGGGCAAACAGAAGTTTGCTTACAGAAGAGTCATAACACCCTTCTAACAAAGACTGAAAGTCACTTGCAAGATCTTGGAATTATTTCATTCCGAAACTGATAAAAAAAAAGTTCCTATTGTACCAATTTTCGACTTAATTTTCGAGTTTAAACTACATGTGCCATTTTAGCCAAAAAATAGGGCCGGAAAGTAACACCTAACTCGCCAAGTTAATTATTAACAGTCACTTAACTGACAACTGACAGATGGCCTAAAATCTAACTGAGAACTGATAAATGGCCGACATTTTAAGTGACAACTGACATTTTTACCCCCTCCCCCCCTTCCCATCCAGACCCTCATAAAAGTCACAAATTAAATAGTGGAAAGAAAGATATCGCACAGTGTTTGTATTATCTAGTAGGATAATGGTTGCCGTGTTGGTTACAATGGAAGCAGAAAGTGTCCCTAAATATGAGAACCAAACTTTGTTCCTTAGCTCCCACCCCCAGACACACCTCTAGAAGGTAAACCAACCAAGAGGCTTCAATGCGTATGCAGCTGTCATTGTCGCTAAGCCTTTGTAAACACACTGTTGGAATGTCTGACCGCCTGTCGAGGCATATCCTTTCAAACATTTCTTATGAATTAATTTATGTTTTAGCTTTGTTTTAGCAAGATTTATCTACGCACTTCTTATTACTACCTAATTTTTCTACTCTAAAAATACTTTCTCTTTGAGCCAAAAGAATCGTAAATGGATTATTAATTAACATAGTGAAAGTGGCAAAAACTTTACATGTAAAAACGCGTAAAATGTAAATATAGGCTGTGACTAAATGCTCGGGAGCAGGGCACGGTCTCAAATAGACTAAATGCCTGGCAGTCAAAAGTTTTCACGCAACTTCCAAAAATTAATTTGGTTTTTTAGTGGACAAATTCTCCGAGCTTGTGCATACCACAATATCGCTCGGTTGTCGACACTTGGAGATTCTACGCTTCTGATCAAACTGCCGGAGAACTTATCCAATGAAAAAAAAAATAATAATAATTTTTGGAATCGCTTTACATTTCTTAACAAACATCTGATTCTCTGAAGACGTTTGTGGCATTTTGGTCAATATTTCTGACTGCCAGGCATTTAGTTCATTTGAGATCATGCCCGGCATTTCCAAGTTGTCGACAACCGAGCGATATTATAGTATGCACAGGTTCGGAGAATTGTGATTGTGTAAGCTGAACACAAAATGATAAGTAGGGTAAGGTACAAATGAACGGAGGGGGTAATATTCTAGAGAAACTGTGGTGGCCACCGTAAAGAGTTTCAAAGCTGACGTTTCGTGCGTTAGCCCTTCGTCACGAAACACTGCTTGTGAACAAGTCCTGCATAGTCCTAGAGATCACTGTAAAAGCTTCTGCTTCTTCCGTTGTGCACTTGTAAAGAAGTTATATTTATATTTCACGCATTTTTACATGTGAGGTTTTCGCCTCTCTCACGATGTTATACATTTACGATTCTTTTGGCTCAAAGAGAAAGTATTTTTAGAGTAGGAAAATAGAGTATGTAGTAATAAGTAGTGCATAAATAAGTCTTGCTAAAACAAAGCTAAAACAGAAATTAATTCTTAACAAATGTTTAAAAGGATGTGCCTCAACAGGCGGTCAGACATTCCAACAGCGTGTTTACAAAAGTTGCAAAATTGCCAGGTGCCAAGCGCATTGAGATTACAAGTCTTTGGCTGGATCAGAGTCAAAAACAAATTACGCAGCGAGTCTACCTAATATCCTTAGCATCCCAAGTTTGGCTGAGGAAACCTCTTGACCTACCTATCTGCTTAAACATGCACGTACTAATATTATTCTTGATCAGTGTCACTGCTTATGCAACAAGTCGCATTTCAAACAGGTTTCCTAGATTTCAAGCCGCTAATTTTGGCGAGATGATGGACGGGAGACAACTCAACGGGAGCGTGATAAAGGAGATAGAGGTGAAATCAGAAAGCTCTTGTAGATTGGAGTGTGTCAACGAAGAGCGATGTAAGTCTTACAACTTTGGAGGCAAAAAGAACAAACCTGAGAGATGGAAGTGCCAGATCAGTGACTCGGATCGATTTGAGAGGCCAGCTAGGGCCAACTTCATTGAGAACAAAGACTTCAGTTACAGAGGGATAAAGGTATTTGGAATGCATTTAAAAGGTTTTGACTATCACCTAGATATGCGAACAAGTTCCAGAAAATGACAATTAATGGTAAATAATGCGATGAAATTGCAGAATTGCACTTAGGGATGCTCTGTAGGGTTTTAGCTCAATGTTGGCGCGCACGCCATCGTATTGTTTTTGTAGAAAAGTTTTATGATTTTGCTTTTCAAGGTCACTAAAAGCCATCAAAAGGCGATGAGCAAGGTTCGCACTATCGTTTGCTGCAGTAAATATTATTAAAATGATTTTCGTTATGAAGCTAAGGCTCCATGAAGGGAGGTGCTCGCCAATGATAATTCTGCTTTGCAATTTGCTTCGATGAAATCTCTCAAAATGTTCACAATTTGTAAAATTTGTCCTGCCGATCATTAAAAAGTTGGAAAAAAGAGAGGTTACAAAGGCACTTTCCTCGCTATTTTGTGTTATCTTTCTCTGTCTCAAATTTGGTCCTATGAATTTTTTTTATCAACACACACTAGGAAGGGCACAAATATGTTTAATGGTCCAACAAATCTTAGGAAATTCCATCTGTGGAAACGTGATAAATCTTGCCCAAAAGATCCCTATTTTGTTTGTCGCAAAACATCATGAAATGGAAAAGAACTTCGCTAAGATCTACATCTGAGCATGCGTAAACTTTCGAATCGGTCGCCTTTTGGCAATCTTTCATACTGTATTTTTTTTCGGTTTTTCAGGCGTATTGAATCGCTATGTTCGCACCCAGATCTCGCGCGGTCAAAAAAACCCTATGGAGCCTCCTGAAACGTCAAAATTAAAAAATCGCGAAATTGATGCAGACACGTTCGTTCAAGCATTTTTACAAAACATGAGAGGATCACAGAGAACTCTCTCTCGTTACTTACCACAAAGTTAAGTTAGGAAGTTTTTTCTTTCCGATTAAAAGCTATAGCTTATCCCAGTTCGTTATAACATAAAACGACCTAGTGAATTGACAATGCCGCTGCTATTTAACAATTCGACAGTAGCTTAGCGTGATCTGTACTCTTATGGACAATGATATTGGTCATTACATTGATCAGAGAGCTGATAAAGCCATTGTGTAACACGTAGACGCGTGCAGCCGACATCGACAAATTGGCCAATCAAATTGCGACATTGCTGCTAATTGTGGTAAAATAAATCGCTGTATCCCTCATTAGTATATACCACAAAGGTGAAGAGTGCTTTTGGCGCGCTTTGATTGGCTGGTTAGGAGGCGATTAGTAAGTAGTACTCACCTCTGAGCAGCCCGAGAGACAAAGTCGCGCGTTAACATTTCAGTTTCCGAGTGTATTGTGGTAGATAGACTAATTCTTTTACTATCTGTGTGGTATATACTAAAACAGTCACTCTCCTCTGTGTCATTGAAATCGGTGAATGTTTACCTCGCAGGTCACTTAACAGCTCACTAAATATCCACCATTATCCACCTTCACTTTTGTAAACAATTGTTAATAATGACTATCACATCATCATCATCACCATCACTGTAATCGTCGGCATCATTGATATATTGTCATCATCATTATAAATTTTATTACTCTTACTATTATTATTATTATTGTTGTCGTTGTTGTTGTTGTTGTTGTTTACAATCAGAGCTTATGGGAACGAGATAAGTCAGATTGTGGCAAGAACGAAATCTGCATCGTAGACATTCGAACCAACAATGCACGATGCAGTTGCAAGGATGGTTACACAGGAAAGCCCTGTGGTAAGTGAAAATAATAATGACAATAATAATTCAAAGAAAAAGGTAAAAAAAAAACCGGCTCAATAATACTTTCACTGCTCGAACTTAGAGTTTTCACAACTTCTTTTTACACAACTTCTAAATTTGTTGATAAATCCCTCTTCTCGATAAATTTACTTTGTTGTTGTAATTGTTGTTGTTGTTGTTGTGTTACAAACGTAATGATCATTCATTATCTAGAGAAAAACTATCCCCATGACTAAGTAAAAATAAATTACTTTTACTATCGTCAAACCAACAGAACCCAAAAGTTGTGCTCTACTTTATCAAGATGGTGTCACATCTAACGGTGTGTACACTATCAATCCAGATGGCGGAAATGCCATGCAAGTGTTGTGTGACATGACCACGAACGGTGGAGGTTGGACTGTTTTTCAGAGACGTTTGAACGGCTCTGTTGATTTCTATCGAGATTGGTCGTCCTACAAAAATGGCTTCGGAGATTTACACGGCGAGTTCTGGCTTGGAAATGACAATCTTCATCGTTTGACAGCCGCTGGTAGCGTTTCGTTGAGAGTTGACCTGGAGGACTTCGATATTCATCCAGTTTAATTATAAGATCTACAAACCGTATTTTGTGGTATTAATTAACTTTTTGTAGTGACATGCAGTTCTCCACGAGAGATAGTGACAACGACATAAAACCGGACGGCAGCTGTGCTCAGAAGTTCAAAGGCGCCTGGTGGTACAGTCACTGTTATCATTCCAATCTAAACGGGTTGTATCTCAGCGGAAGTCACTCCTCACTGGCTAATGGTGTCAACTGGAAACCTTTTAAAGGAAATCACTACTCACTGAAACGTACAGAAATGAAAGTAAAGTAGATCAGTGTTGTTGTTTCTTTTCTTTTTTCTTTTGATTTTTCACGAAGAGACTAGCTAGGTCCAGACCACGGCCATAACACACTCCAGTTATCGATCCTTTTCGTCCCAGTCACCCGTCGCATTTTTTATTTACGTTTATAACAAAGCTACACACTGGTTTATTGATGGGGCTTTTGAGCCCTGTACAGCGGTTTACGTAATTTTAGGGCCATCTTCAATTCATCCTGTAGAGGTGTAAATTCTAATGTGATTCTTCGGAACATTAGCAGCACCGCTTCAACCAGTTCAAAGCAGAACTAACACCACTGGCGGAACTAAGCCACCACAGGCAATGCTAAAGGAGATAATTCATTATTCTAACGGCCATTATTTTTAAGGTTCTGGTAATAAGAACAAATATAATTACAGGAGTTGAAATATCGGTTACATATTGCATGGTCAAGATAAACAAGCAAACTCAGCAAAAGTAACATGGGAAAGGGTATTAAATATTTGGATCACCATTTTTTGAACTTAGAATAACGCAGCTTTCTTCTCATAGAATATGTGCGTGAAATTATTATAATTTCATTATTTTCATTAAATACTTCTGTTCAATTCCCGTTTTTTTTTAACTTGCCACTTTTTGAGTATTCTTCTGTCTACTTAAGAAATAGATTCCAAGTTGGCGTGCGTCTGTTCAGTAATAGATCACAGATGACGTCAAATTGTGGTATGCTCAAAAATGTGGCATTTGTACTTAAGAAAACCATGACTTTATTTCTAGCCTCTGGTCTTAATGTAGCCGTTTACTCCTATTCCAGGTTTATTTCCTTAGTTATTGAATTAACTTTTTATAACAGTCTAGAGCACCTTAGCCACAGTCACGTGGTTGTATCATTGTATCATATCATAAAAATTACTTCATATTATGTAGTTCTGTATAATAAAGCAGTTATGTAAAGCACTTGTCTACTGCTTACTCTTTATTGTGGTTGTCCAGGCCCGAACGCACAGCACCACATAATCATCGTGCGCAATAAGTGTTTTGTAAGTGGTAAGAAGAGAGAGGACCCTGGAAACGATATTGGTTTGTACTTAGAACTTAGTCTCTCTTCAACAAACAAACCTCTAAAACATGGCGGACTTCGGTGAGGGTCATACCTGTTTAGAATATGGGAAAAGTTACAACAAGAAAATGAGGCTTGAGAAGCATAAGAGGTTTCATAAAGGAGAGGTAGGTTTATGATCTGTGTCCTCCGAACAAAATCTGTAAATTTTAATCGCTTCAAACTGTGACTTGAAAGGGTAGTTCATTTGACACGTGCTGTTACACTGTTCCTCCGGTACGTTTTGGTTCGTCACTATGGCATTGAACCCAGGTTCGAGTAATTGCTATATGTTGAGAACTTGACCGAAGAAATATCTACTTTCAAGAAATTTGAAGGTCTTTCAATACAACTCGATTTTTTTCCTGTAAGTTTTATTTAAAGATGAATTCAACTTCAGTGTGTATTTCGGTTATGACTGAATAGTGCATTTATATGCTCATGCAATAGCCGCAAGCTTACCTGTATTACACGATCTTACATACTTGTTTCACACCAAAGCGCTAACTCCCTAAACTGCGGGAGATACGGTGCAGTGCTGTCTTCTCCAGAAATACAGAGTGATTTTGACGGGGAGGCAATCAAAAGCAATTTCTCTTCACTCCAATTTTTCCACTTTTTGGGTAGAAACTCATTTTATGGGGTACATGTTGACGCTATCAATTCAGTTGAAAGTCTAAACTTAAGATTTTTATGAGGGTAGAAGAATACTGGGCAATTTTTTTTTATGAAGAGTATGAAGAGTACAAGCACATTCTTTTTTTCAAATTCATGGGCATCAAACTATTATACAAACAATATATGATCGCTAAGAAAACACTAGCAACGACAGGCTCTGAGTACATTTTATATTCAGATAACGAACATTTGCGTACACGGAAATGTACATGGTGAGCTTTCTCGCGCGAAATTCCCAAATCCCAACACTACGTTCGTAAAAATTCACCTTACTCAGGCACCTACAATCCTTTCTCACTGGAAGGCTATGCAACTAGGGTCTTTCATTCACCTTTCGATAGAAAAACCACTGTGATCACCCGGGTCGATTGAACCTTTCTGCGACGTGATATCTCCTCGGATCAAACACTTGCCCTGAGGGCCTGGGGAAAAGGGGTCTTGTTAAAGTTCTTGAACGATAAAAGTTCAAAATAAGTAGTTTAAAGAAAAAAATCGCACAGTATTTATATTACATAGTAGAATAATGGTTGCCGTGATGGTTTCACAAGAAAAACGAAGCAATTGAAGGCAGAAAGTGTCCCTAAATGGGAGAACCTCACTTCGTTCCTTAGCCCCCTCCCCCAGACACACCTCTAGACGTTCAACAAACCACAAGGCTTCAATGCGTATGCAGCTGTCATTGTCGTTAAGCTTTTGTAAACACGCTGTTGGATTGTATGACCGCCCGTCGAGGCACATCCTTTCAAAAATTTCTTATGAATAATTTCTGTTTTAGCTTTGTTTTAGCAAGACTTATTTATGCACTACTTATTACTACATACTCTATTTTCCTACTCTAAAAATACTTTCTCTTTAAGCCAAAAGAATCGTAAATGTATAACATCATGAGGGTGGCGAAAACTTCACATATGAAAACGCGTAAATTTAAGAATTTTTTCATGCTTAGCGTGCGTACATCGAGTTATAGATGCACGCAGGAAGTTTGGAGAGCACGACAAGGATCTGCGCGAAGAAGCCTTTTATTGTGATAGAGTGCAAAATTCTCACAACGCACAAAAAAGGAACCAAACGTCCCTATTGGCTGGTCAAAAACACGCCACATCTTATACTTTTGTTTGAGCGAGTACATTTGATCCAGTTAACCGATAACTGTCAATGGGAAGCTTAAAATTTACGCGGAAAATGGAGAAAATCAAAGCTAAATGAACTCAAGTGTCACCCAGCTGGTCTTCCGACAAATTTGCGAAACTTGCAACTTGCGAGTTTTTTTCGGCTTTATTTTTGTTGTTTGTTGGATCAGGACCTAAAAGGTCAATGCCGATAGAAAAATTGGGCAGTTCTTCGTTGGTTTCTTCCATATTTCAAAGAGAAGGAAACTTCACTGCAGCTTAACAGGACGGAAACTCTGAAGCCAGGTAAAAAAAATGCTCACGTCATTTTATTTACGCACGGGCGTGCATAAATAAAGATTTTGTTCATAGCGGCTCAGTAGGACTTACATAGGGCAAGCACGCGCGCTTTGTTATAAATAAATATAAATTCTTTACAAGAGCTCAACGCAAGAAGCAAAAGCTTTTATAGTTTATAGTGATCTCTGGAATTTCTATGCAGGACTTGTTCACACGCAGTCTTCGTGAGGGTGTCACAAACAGGGTTTCGTGACGAAGGCCTAACGCACGAGACAGTTTCTCTAGAATATTACCCCCTTCATTCATTTGTACCTTACCTTACATATCATTTTGTGTTCAGATCACACAATCACAATGAAAGCCTCTCAGTCCGCTTATCGCAAGCGCATAACAAAAGGTTTAATGAGAGCAACTTCAAAGCTGTTGAAAACAAGTAACAAAGGAACTCTTGGTAAGATATTACTTCTATCCCATTTCTTTTTAAATTAAAGAGACCTCTTCAGACGGATCTTTTAAATATTAAATAGGGAACTACCATTCTAGCCTATCTGAAAGGTCCAAGCAGGTTACAAAGACTAAATAAAACTATTTCTATCTCAATTATTTTTCTCTTCAAGGTAGATGTGATTTCGTAACATATTTGTTTGAAATTACGCCAAATGTTAACCACGTAGTGCTGGAGGTGCTGGCTGGGAATTCAGCAAATAACTTTTATGATAACAAAGCTAAGAACTAACAATAGGCAAAATTGTCAGGTGCTACAGGTTAAAACAAATTACGTAACGAGTCTAACTAATACCTTAGCATCCCAATTTTGGCTAAGGAAACCTCTTGACCTACCTATCAGCTTAAACATGCACGTACTAATATTATTCTTGATCGGTGTCACTGCTTATGCAACAAGTCGCATTTCAAACAGGTTTCCCAGATTTCAAGCCGCTAATTTTGGCGAGAGGATGGACGGGAGACAACTCAACGGGAGCGTGATAAAGGAGATAGAGGTGGAATCAGAAAGCTCTTGTAGATTGGAGTGTGTCAACGAAGAGCGATGTAAGTCTTACAACTTTGGAGGCAAAAAGAACAAATCTGAGAGATGGAAGTGCCAGATCAGTGACTCGGATCGATTTGAGAGGCCAGCCAGGGCCAACTTCATTGAGAACAAAGAGTTCAGTTACAGAGGGATAAAGGTATTTGCATTGCATTTCAAAAGATTTTGGCGACCGCCTAGATCTACGAACAAATTCCAGAAAATGACAGTTAATGGTAAAAGAAAATCATTTAATAAAATTGCAGAATTGCGTCTAAGGAGGCTCTATAGTGTATTTTTCTCAATGTTGGCGCGCACGCCATCGTATTGTTTTTGTAGAAAAGTTTTATGATTTTGCCTTTCAAGGTCACTAAGAGCCATGAAAAGGCGATGAGCAAGGTTCGGACAATCGTTTGCTGTAGTAATTTTTATCAAAATGATTTTCGTTATGAAACTAAGGCTCCACGAACGGAGGCGCTCGCTAATGATAATTCTGCTTTGCAATTTGCTTCGATGAAATCTTTCGAAATGTTCACAATTTGCGAAATTTGTCCTGCCGATCATTTAAAAGTTAGAGAAAAAGGGTTACAAAGGCAGTTTCCTCGCTATTTGCAATTTTTTGTTATCTTTCTCCATCTCAAATTTGGTCCTATGAATTGTTTTTATCAACAGGCACTAGGAAGGGCACAAATATGTTTAATGGTCCAACAAATCTTAGGAAATTCCATCTAAGGAAACGCGATAAATCTTGCTCAAAAGATCCCTATTTTCCCTGTCGCAGAACATTACGTAATGGAATAGAACTTCGCTAGGATCTACATCTCAGCATGCGTAAACTTTCGAGTCTGTCGCGTTTTGGCAATCTTTCCCACTGTGTTTTGTTTTCGGTTGACCTCTTTTTTCAGGCCTATTGAGCCGCCACGTTATTTTGTCAGTTTAAAAGCTCGCCCTATGTTCGCAACCAGATCTCGCGCGATCAAAAAACCCTATGGAGCCTCCTTAAACGACAAATATAAAAAAACGCGAAATTGAAGGAGACACGTTCGCTCAAGCATTTTTACAAAAAATTAGAGAATCATAGAGAACTCTCTCTCATTACTAGCCACAAAGTTTAGTTAAGAAGTTTTTTTTCTGATTAAAAGCTAGAGATTATCTCAGTTCGTCATAACATGATAAGGCGACATGGTAGGTTGAAATTGCCGCAATGGCGCTACTATTTAACAAGTCCACAATAGCTTAGCGTGGTCTGCACTCTTATCTACAAAGATATTGGTCATCACTTTGGTCAGAGAGCTGATAAAGACATTGTGTGACACGTAGACGCGAGCAGCCGACATCGACAAATTGGCCAATCAAATTGCGACATTGCTGCAAATTGTGGTAAAAAAATCGCTGTATCCCTTATTAGTATATACCACAAAGGTGAAGAGTGCTTTGATTGGCTGGGTAGGAGGCGATTAGCAAGAACTACTCACCTCCGAGCAGCCCGAGAGACAAAGTCGCGCGTCAACATTTCAGTTTCCGAGCGTATTGTGGTAGATGGACTAATTCTTTTGGTAACTGTGTGGTATATACTAAAACAGTTACTCTCCTCTGTGTCGTTGAAAGCGGTGGATATTTACCTCGCAGGCCACTTAAAAATATCCACCACTATCCACCTTCACTTCGGTAAACAACTGTTAATAATGATTATGACATCATCATCATCATCATCATCATCATCATCATCATCATCATTATAATCGTCGGCATTATTAATATATTATCATCATCATTATAAATTTTATTACTCTCACTATTATTATTATTATTATTATTATTATTATTATTGTTGTTGTTTACAAACAGAGCTCATACCAACGAGATAAGTCAGATTGTGGCAAGAACGAAATCTACATCCTAAACATTCGAACCAACAGTGTTAGATGCAATTGCAAGGATGGATACACAGGAAAGCCCTGTGGTAAGTGAAAATAATAATGACGATAATAATGCAAAGAGAAAAAGCAGAGAAAACCGGCACAATAGTGCTTTCACCGCTCGAACTTTCACACCTCGAGCACTAGGTGTACACAACTTCTATATTTGTTGATCAACCCCTCCTCTCAGTAAATTTTCTTTGTTGTCGTAGTTGCTGTTGTTGGTGTTTTACAAATATAATGATCATTCATCATCTAGAGAAACCCTAACCCCGTGACTAAGTAAAAATAAATTACTTCTACTATAGTCCAAGCGTACCATTCAAATCAAATTTTTCGAAAACCAACAGAACCCATCGCCAAAAGTTGTGCTCTACTTTATCAACATGGTGTCACATCTAGCGGTGTGTACGCTATCAATCCAGATGGTGGAAATCCCATAAAAGTGTTGTGTGACATGACCACGAACGGTGGAGGTTGGACTGTTTTTCAGAGACGTTTGGACGGCTCTGTTGATTTCTATCGAGATTGGTCGTCCTACAAAAATGGCTTCGGAGATTTACACGGCGAGTTTTGGCTTGGAAATGACAATCTTCATCGTTTGACAGCCGCTGGTAACGTTTCTTTGAGAGTTGACCTGGAGGACTTCGAAGGTAACATCAGATACGCTGAGTACGCGACATTTAAGGTGGCGGACCAGACAGATAAATACCGAATTGTAATTGGTGGATACAGTGGGACAGCTGGAGACGGTATGAATGAACACAGGTATTATAAATAGTAGTTTAGAAATGAGGAATGGGGTTGTTGAAAGTAAAATGTGTGGTAATTTGTGAGCAAATATTTTTATATCTATTCGTTTCGAGACTTGTGCGAAGAGATGGAATCCTAAAAATATTCTCAATTCATTCATTTTCTATTTATTTTTCCTTTTTGTATCTGCCATTTCCGATTTTGGCTTATGAGATGTTGAACTAGTGTACCAAAAGCTCAAATTCTATCTAATATTCATCCAATTTAATCATAAGATCTACAAACCGTATTTTGTGATATTAACTTTTTGTAGTGATATGCAGTTCTCTACCAGAGATAGTGACAACGACGTAAAACCAGACGACAGCTGTGCTCAGAAGTTCAAAGGCGCCTGGTGGTACAGTCACTGTCTTGATTCCAATCTAAACGGGTTGTATCTCAAAGGATGGTACTCCTCCTCATTTGCTGATGGTGTCAACTGGCTTCCTTTTAAAGGATATGAATATTCACTGAAACGTACAGAAATGAAAATAAAGTAGATCAGTGTTGTTGTTTCTTTCCTTTTTTCTTTTGATTTTTCACGAAGAGACTAGCTAGAGGTGTGAATTGTAATGTGATTCTTCGGAACATTAGCGGCACCGCTTCAACCAGTTCAGGGCAAAACTAAAAGCATTGGCGAAACTGGGCTACCTCACGCAATGCTAAAGGAGATTAGTCATTATTCAAATGACCATTATTTTTAAGCTGCTGGTAAAAGGAACAAAGATAATATAGTAGTTGACATATCGGTTACATATTGCATGGTCAAGATAAAAGAGCAAACTCAGCAAAAGTAACGAAAGGAAGGAAAGGAAAGGGTATTAAATATTTGAAAAACTTTTAAAACATTTATTGAACTTAGAAAAACGCAGCTTTCTTATCATCGAATATGTGTGTGAAATTATTATGATTTCATTATTTTCAACATATACTTCTGTTCGATTCATGTTTGTTTTTTTTTTTTCATTTGCCACTCTTTGAGTATTCATCTGTCTACATATAAATGATTGATTTGTCTTTATTGATCCTGGCGCAAAGTAACATTTGTTGGGAAAGGAAGCCTAATGTAAAGGGTTTTAATGCCGTCGTCGATTGTATTTAAGAAAACCATGACTTCATCGCTAGCTTCTGGTCTTAATGTGGCCGTTTATTCGTATTCCAGGTTCATTTTCTTAGTTAGTGAATAATCTTGTTAGAGCAGGTCAGAGCACGCTAACCACAGTCACGTGGCTGTAACATCATATCTTATCATAAAGATAAGTTCGTATTATGCAGTTCTGTATAATAAAGCAGTTTTGTAAAGCACTCGTCTACTGCTTGCTCTTTATTATGGTTGTCCTTGCCCAAACACACGGCACCTCATAATAACTGTGTGTAATAACTGCGAGCAGACACGTATCCTGACTTTAAAAAGTCGAGCAATTAGTTACATAAACGGTGTGTTCTGCAACAGAAGTTTGCCGCGGGAATGTCAAACATATTTACGAAATTGTCAAGAGTGGTACCATGCATCAAGCACAGGCTGAGTTATTTGAGAACAGGTCACATTAACTTACGTTACTGAAAACGGTAGCTACCCTAAGTACAGATTAATGAAGGATCGTAGTAAGTTAAAACTGGTCCTCCAACCCCCCCCCTCCCCTCTCAACCCCGCCAGAAAGAGGTTACGTCAGATCTTACATAAAATGATAGTGGATGGTCCGGGTATTAGATCGCACAAGGATACACGACTCCCTAATCATAAATCAGATTACTGACTCCGAAATCATAGACTTTTTCCATATCGTTCGATAAAAAACGCCTGGGGAACCCTGGGGAAGTTTTTCGCAAGATGTAAGAGGAGAGAGGACCCTGGAAACGACGCGGGTTTGAACTTAGAACTAGAACTTAGTCTCTCTTCAACAAACAAACCTCCAAAACATGGCGGACTTTGGCGAGGGTCATACCTGTTTAGAATGTGGGAAAAGTTACAATAAGAAATGGAGGCTTGAGGAGCATAAGAGGTCCCATACAGGAGAGGTAGGTTTGTGTCCTGTGTCCTTCGAACAAAATCTGTAGATTTTATGCGCTTTAAACTCTAAATTGAAAGGGTAGTTCATCTGACACGTGTTGTTACTCTGTTCGTCCGGTACGTTTTGGTTCGTCACTAAGGCATTGAACGTGAGTTCGAGGAATTATTATATGTTGAGAACTGGGCCAAAAAAATCTCCCTTTAAATATAACTCGCTTTTTTCCTTTAAATTTCATTTAAAATGATTTAAGCTTTAGTGTGTAATTCGATTATGCCGGAATCGTGCATTATAGACGACGTCATGCAATAGCCGCAAGCTTACATGTATTACACGATCTTACATGCTTGTTCACACCAAAGCTCCAACTCACTAAACTGTGGAAGATCCAGTACAGTGCTTTCTTCTCCAGAAATACAGAGTGAATTTTATTGGAAAGCAATCAAAGGCAAATTCTCATTACTCGAAGTGGCCACTTTCTGAGAAGAATCTCATTTTATGGAGTACGTGTTCACCCAATCAATTCAGTTGAAAGGCTAAACCTAAGGACTGCCAAATTTTTATGAAGATGGATACTGGGCTTTCTTTTTTAGGCATTTTTTTTTTTAATTTAGCCTATTTTTAGCCTGAATGACCACTTGCTCATTAATCCATGTGTAATAAATGGTAAAGAAGAAGAAGAAGAAGAAGACTTTATTTATTGAGGATAGCACGTGATAGTGCACAAACACTAATAAACTTGTGGTCCTCCTAATTACAATAAATATATAAATACAATAGAATCATTAATAGAATGAAATATAAATAGAAAATTAGCTAAAACAAGTAAGAATATATAAAACTACTATCAATAAAATTTACGGAATAAAATGAGCTAAGCATGATTGGTCCTTATAGTAATATTTAAATACGTTGTCTTTAAAGGCCTTAAGTGTATTAGACTTTTTTAATTCAGGCTTTAACTGATTCCATAATTTTATGGCAGAAACTAGAAAAGTTTTCCCTCCTTCTCTAGCCCTTTTAAACTTAGGTAATAAAAAGTTGTATTTACAAAATCTAGTGTTGCGTGAATGTACTGAACTTAATAATCTTAAGCTATCATTAAGATAATTAGGTACACAATAATTAATCCTTTTAAATAGTATTGAACATTTAGCCATCTTAGTAGAGTCATAAAATGGTATCCACTTTAAACGATTGAATAGCATAACTGATGAACTACGTGGTTCAGCATCTAATAGAACCCTAGCAGCTCTCTTTTGTAGCCTAAGTATTCTTAAAAGAGATTCATTAGAGCAAAGTGACTGCCATGCAACATTGGCATAATCAAATAATGGCTTAATTAAACTATTATAAAATAAAAGTCTTTGGTTAAATGGTAAACAAAGTTTGATCTTATTCAAAATTCCAATTCTTTGTGAAATTTTTTTACACAGACTGTCAACATAAGTGTTCATTGATAAATCGTGGTCAATGTCTATACCAAGAAGTTTAAAAGTTTAAGTGATTAACTTAAACACTGTAAACACTGTAAAGTGTAATAAACACGAGATAATGGTATCCAAACATGCTTTCTGCCTGCAGTGTTTGTCTAGAAATATGAGTATTGGTTATAATTGTAATTTTACCCGCAGAGACCTTTTAAGTGCGAGTTTGAAGGATGTGGCAAATCCTTTATCAGACCATACCATCTGAAGCGTCACTCACTGATCCACACAGGACAAGAAATTTTTAAGTATACAATTGTTTATTCATATACATGGCTTTTTATGGCCCCTAGGGAGAACATTTCCACATGTGAGGGAATTAACCCTTTAACTCCCAGAAGTGATTAACATGTAACTTCTCCCCATAACATCCCAATGTAAATCTGCAACAAGGTAATAAGAATACTCAAACTTGTCTGGTGGCTTTTTTCTTGATCTAAAACCAAATTATTTTAACTAATTTCTTAGGAAATGTGCAGCAATTAGAGGGGAGAATTAAGGGTTAACTTTGTACACCCTAACATCAATATGCATATTCTCCATACTGTTCTCTATACTTTTCATAAGGTGCTGACAAGGAGAATTTGTTCACCAATCAAAAGCTAATGTTTCAATGGTGATCATTTCCTTTGTTCTCATGACCTTAATGTGTGATTCACAGGTGATACTGAAGGGAGAAATTAGATGTTAGTCACTCTTGAGGTTTAAAGGGTTAAGAACTGTGCAGTGGGGGACTCTATCAATTGCAGATGTGGACCCAAAGTTATGGATTTTTTTTCTAGACCTGATGTGCACAGTCAAACATCTACATGTATATATTCTTTACCCATTCCTTTTTTTATTTTTAATTTTTTTGAAAAATGTTCAAACCAGTTTCATTCTGATATTTTTCATCTTTGACTTTGATCACTATCTCAAAGACTTAGAAGAAATGAAAGAAACTGCTTTGAATCTCAGACCATAAGATTTGATGTTAAATACAAAAGAAAGGTATTTTAAAACTTTATCTGCTTGTATTGCTCCTACCTTTCTTGAAGTCAGATCCTGGCTCCAAAGATCCAAGTGTGTTACAAATGCATTCAATTAGTGATCATGGTTTAAACCATCCCTCTCCCAGCTATAGACATGTCAGTGTATGCCATCAGTACAACAAACAATGAAATTCTGTTTTAACTAATACAATTACAAATAATGTGTTCTTCTCTATAGATGTTCCTACCCAGGCTGTACACAAACCTTCTCTCTCAAGCATAATTTAAAGAGGCATGAAAAGAGATCACATAACAAACCATTTAAGGTAAAGATCTTATCAAATAACTTTGTAATTGTATAATTATGTACATGTATATTTTGTGATCAAATTTTATCTTTTGCTCAAATTAAACTGTATATTTTCATTTGTAATAAAAGAAGTCCAATCTATGTTTTTTTATTGTATTGATTATGTGAGAGTAAAAGACATATTGGTCTTAAACATGTGACAATTTTTTTAGAATTCAGTGGGTGCTTATCAATATGACCAGGTATTCGTCAGTTTGTGTCATCAAACTTGGATGAACTTTGAAGTGCCACTGTAATGGAATATTCTCGTACTTTTTCTTGGGATTGTGACTTCATCAATAGAAAAATTCATCATGCCATGTATCAGTTTTAAGTCTGACTTTGTGAATGTTTCCTGTTTCAACTGTGCATCATCACTAGTTTGCATTTTGCTCAAGGTGTAGATGTTGAGGAAAAAAGGATGTCAAAGACTTGCTACATGTAGCTAGTTTTATCTAGGTTAAAAATGATGTGTTTCTAAGGTCCTCACTGGTTTTTTTTGTCTACTTTGTTAACCCTATTTCACAGTGCCATTACGAGGGATGTGATGAGGCTTTCAAGAAAAGCACTCAGCTTAGGAGACATATTTGCATTCACACAAATGAAAAGCTGTATAAGTAAGTTTGACTGGATTTAGTTGAGTCCTCTTTCAGTACACTACACAAGGATAACTTCACCTATGTTATTTGAGTCGAAACAGGTTAAACATTATAATTGTATTTATTACGGTAATTACTTAAATAAGTGTGGTAGGGCTTATTTATTTTTTCTAGCCTTACATTCCACCCTTATTCTGCAAATGATACTCATTCAAAAATAAGATGTACACTGTATCAAAGAAATGTTCTCTTTTTTATTTAACAGCATATTATCTTTCTGTATGAAACAATTTTATAACTAACAGAGGTGTCCTTTGATCATCACTTTCTTCTCTCCCAGCTCTTCCAATTGCATCACTAATAATGTCTTCACTCAACTTCGATCTAAATAATGGCCCCTTTTTTGATCTGAGTCTATGGGGCCTAGCATGGGTTAACTCTTTCCAACATTTACATCTAAATCCTTACATTTACATTCCAAAGAATTTGCTCATAGTTCCAATGAGGGAGGTGCATATTCAGGGATAGCTCTTTTTCAAGTACATAAGGTAGTCATGTACATTTGTATGTTTTTTTATCATCGCAGGTGTCAGGTGGAAGGCTGTGGCACTGGGTTTGATAGTCTATCGAAGCTTCAGAATCACATGAAGAAGCACAACAAAGGTAATACATAAGTGTTCCATGATAGATTTTAAACTATGAGTACGAAATATTAAGGATACAAGAAATTCTTTTGTAGATTTATTTCTGTTTTCTTCATTAAATTTTAACAAGATAGGCATCATCAGCCACTGGGTGTGATGTTTGGTTTTAAAATGTTTTAGGCACAAGTGGTGATTGTTTTGAAGCACAATAAACCTTAATTCAGATGATACCACCTGTATCATTGTCAATCTGGATGACAGCACCCTACAGGGTATATCACAACACTTTTAAATAAAGTGAACTGGGAAGAAAAAAATTATATCATGCTGCTGTCAATCATGTTGCATGGGAAATCTGTGCTTTGCACTTTATTGCAGACAGTTGAAAGGTTCTGTTACTGAGTTTTGAAATGGAAGACTTTAGTCCAGTTTTGCTTTGATGAGATTTGTGTGAGGCTACAGGAGTTTGAATGCAATGTAATGTGACAACTGTTAAGGAAATCAAACTAATTCTTAATATGCTAAAGAAACAAAATAATAATTAACAACTATTCACCAGAGTGGAGGTGGCCAGTGGTGCCACTTGGGTGAATATCTTTTTTGGTATGTACTAAAACAGTGAGATAATGTACAGTAGCACAGAAAGATGATTGAAACTCATTTATTCCTACAAAGATCACAATATTTTGTGGTGCAAATCCTGTGCAAGTCTGAGTGTGTCTTAATGCTATCCACTGTTTTAACACCTAGTGATAAACTTTTTTTTTTTAATCATTCTGTTCTTTCTTAATCCAGGATACATTTGCAGTACACCAGGGTGCTCTGCAGCCTTTGACAAATTTTCAAAATTAGCAGTGCACATGAGAAGTCATGGTATGTATCTTACACTGAGAATGCTACATTTACTTGAAACCAAACTTTTGTTCTGCAAGAGATAATTATACATTTCCTCTATGTAAAAATTGTGATTTTATTTGTCAGGGGTTTCTTGCAACCATTGTGGCAAGACCTTTTCACAAGCTTGTGAGGTAAGTGTTTTATCCCTAATATGAGTTACTGTTAAATCCTGTCAGTATGGAATCAATTTGTATAGCAGACACATTGCAAATGAATTAATTTGTTTATTCAAAATGCTCTGATTCACTTGTTTGTACAAATAAAATGTCTATATTTTGAATTTGCTGGAACAAGTGTTCATTATACCCCAGCCATTGACATGCCCTTCATATGGAGCTGGCATTCTTTGAACCTCTGTATTTCAGGCTAACAACACAAAGGAGCCTAATCTGCATGTGTAGGGGTTTCAATGACTTTTTTAATAAGTAACCAAGTGTGGTGCAATAGGTAGCTGCCAATGGTGCAGTAGGCAGCTGCCAATGGTGCAATAGGCAGCTTCCAATGGTGTGATAGGCAGCTACCAGTGGTGCAACAGGCAGCTGCAAATTGTGCAATAGGCAGCTGCCAATGATGCAATTGATGGCTGCAAATTGTGCAATAGGCAGCTGCCAATGATGCAATAGGCAGCTGCCAATGGTGCAATAAGCAGCTGTCAATGGTGCAATAGGCAGCTGTCAATGGTGCAATATGAGACTGTGCGGTAAGGCGAAACCCAACCGTAAGAGCCTACTCGCAGGCTAAACAGACTGTGGTGAGAGCACACTGTTTTATTCACCTCAATGTGACCTGATTGTGTTTACAGCTCAGGAAGCATGCTGTCATACACAATACGAATCGGAAACTGTACGAATGCCCCAGAGAGGGATGCTCAAAAGTATATTTGAAGGTAGGTTACCTTAAAAAAAAGCTGCTGGAATCTGAAAACACAAATTCTATCAAAGAGGATAGAAAGAAGCTTTTGTGTCAAATTACAGTGGTTCATGTAAATTTTCAGCCCACAAGACTTTTTGTAGAATTATTCATCTTGCTCAGAAAACAGTGATGAAGAGTTTCCCCGATAGCCGTCCGTCACTGAACTAATGGAGCATGCTGTGCTATCCTGAATATTGAAAGTCAACTGCTCGGCGTGTGTAGCATAAAACACTGTATTTCACTTTATGCCAGCTGCATTGAACTCGACATTTTGATTTGCTTATTTTTCAGGCATTTAACCTCAGAGTACACATCAAAGCCTTCCATGAGGGCCACCGGCCTTATCTGTGCACATGGGAAGGCTGTGCAAAAGGATTCGCCCATAAGGTACAGCGCTTCATGCTTTATCTTTTTCATTTTTTTCTTTTTTCATTAAATGTTTATGAAATTATATTCCTGATATTTTGTGTTGCTTTTCAATGTTTGTTTCCCCTTTGTGTATCTACAGAATTCTCTCAGAAAACATCTAGTGCTCCACGCAGAGAGAAGAATAAAGCCAACACCGTCTCCTCAAGACAGATCACCGCCTAAGGTACGACTGTGTGTCTTTTATTGAAAAAAATTCCATACATTGACGAGTCTGAGGTTTTTATGCAAAATCTTTTTTGTACTATTAGATGTAAAAAAAAACACTTAAATTGTTACTATGAAACAGTTCAACACTACAAAAATACGAAAGGAAATAAAGAAATTTGAACGCCGCAAACAACCACACTGTAAAATTTAGTGTAAAACTGTGAAATTTTGGCGAATATTCTCTAAAAACTTTTTATTATTCTTTTTTTTTGAATGCTGCGTGCCGAGGTGTACTGTTTAACGTTAAATTTTAAAATATCGAAATTCAGTTGCTCACAAAAGCGTTCAAAATTACTTATTAAATATCCTGTGTTCGTATATAGAGAAGAGTAGCACTCTTATGCTCATAATACCGGTTTGTCCCTTTTGTAGAAAAAAAAGAAGAGAAGAAAGCCACTATCACTCGCCAAAAAGCTCAGTGGGTATCGCTCCTCCTTTTCTGAAAGCTCCGACACCCAGTGCGCGGATACAGCGCCGAAAAAGAGAAAAACTTCATATACTCAATCCGGGAGGAATGAAACGGACAGCACCAAGCACACAGATCCAAATGTGAGGCAAGATGTAAACATGCAACGAACTAATCTCAACACGAGTGGCTTAAACGGCATCACCGAGGCAGCGAAAATGGCGTCTACATCTCTTAACGTCGTTTCGAATAGCACGTTTGTGGCTCAATTAAGTGATGCTACTGTGAACCCTGAAACACAGGGTAGGTTTGAAGGAGCTCAGGGTCAGGATATTGTAGCAGACGGTTCTTCGGTCTCTCTGACTTCATGTGATGATTTTGTAATATTGCCAAATGTGGTTGGTAAAAGACCCGAGGAACTGCAAGATGAAGTTACCTCAAGTCTTTCGACAAACAACGGTCTTGGACAAAATGCAGACTCTTTTGCAGGTGATGGTAGCATGTCTCCTTCCTCTGATGATGGAGGAGAATTCATGGATTTTGAACCAGCCGTTGGTGATAATTCTGTGGCTAATTCCCCTTTACCGTGCGAATCTGAACCTACAACTGACTTGGTGGAACCATTTAAGTTTGGAGAAGCTTCGAGTGACCAACAGTCATCTGCTGGCCTAGTACGAAGGAACATTGAGGGTTCGCCTTTTGGAGTCGACGCGGAAATAATCTCGACTATGGTGACTACTGTACGTGTAAATGATTCTTTAGGAGACAATGACTCGGCTTGTTCGAACCCGTCCAAAGTTTCCAGTCCAGTTGATCAAGTGCAATCAGTTGGAACAAACAGTGTCCAAAACATTGGTGGGAAAGGGATTATGGAATCCAGTGACATCCGTTCTTCAATGACGGGTGATAAAAACAATTCTGACGCATTCTGCTCTGTATCAGATGAAATAGCTTCGGTTTCGCAGCCTGGACCACCTCTTGGAGGTGACAATAACGTAGACGAAAACGGTGTCAGCGACAAACTTGCCAACGTTACAAAAGTCGTAGACTTCCCGATTATGGACGATGTGCTTCAAATTATCGAGGAAGAAGAAAACGAACATGACAGCGTTCGGTGTGGAAAAATTACTGACAGTAAGAGTGCTGATAACGATGAGGTGGTAAGGATGGATAACCTAAGAGTCGATGATACTGGCTATAGAGCAGACATATGTATTGAAACACGGTTAATGAGTCCCACCAACCCGGAGGCGGAAGTCCCACACGGAAACGAAGGCGATGGAGAGTTACCGGAAGAGCAAGACATGGTAGATGATAATTTCAACGGTGCTTCTCATCACGATAATATCGATAGCGATGAAGAGGACATCGTTCTTTCAGAACTGGTGAAACGGTTACGAGACTCTAGCGAGCATAAGACCCGAGCAACGAGTGACAGAGAACACAAGGAACAAAGCTGTTCAACTAGTTCAAACCGTAACACGAGACGAGGAGATGAAACGTGTGGTCTAGGACGTGAAACAAGTCAAAGTGAGGGCAAGACGACGGTTATTGAGAAAAATTCGCGGACGAAAAGTCCACAAATTGACTCAACCCGTGTCACTAACAGTGTGAACGACTCAAACTCCACTGCAGAAGTTGCTCCAGACAAAATTACCGTGGAAGTGATATCCGGGACACGTGAACGGTTTTGTAAGCCGAATTCAAACCAAAAAAGTAAGAAAAATGGTGGTGTTCAACTAACCGTGAACAAGTCCGCCTTGCGCACCCAAGCAAAATCTCTAGCCCCTCGGAAAGAAAAGTCTCCGAAAGGCGCCAGTCAAACTAATGGTAACAACTTGAAGGGTGACAATTCTGGCTCGGGGACAAGAAGGAATTCTGATATAATCGCGGGCAAGAAAGATGAATATGTCAGGGACGTTTCCAAAGCCAAGTTTCGAACTAAAGACAATATTTTTGCCTTTGATGTGCAAACGTTGGAATTATTATGGAATTTTAAGGGGAAGTGACTAAAAACGCTTTTTAAGGCTGCCAGCAGTGAGTCACTAAGGCGGCTCACTGGGAGTTTCGAGTTCATTATCTTGCGGCAGCTCTGGCAGTTTGTTGGAAGACCCAAAACTTTATACACTAGTTTTGAGGAATTGACATTTTTCAGTCATCAGTCTTGATGTTTTGTCGACATATCTCAGTTGGTCTATCTAAATAGAGAACCCACCTGATAATTGCTTGTTTTTCCACCGGAAGTTCTGATAATTGTTATTGTTATTGAAACTTCTTGTAATTTTGGTTATCGATGGAGCTGTCTTCCCTGTTTTGATCCCTGAACACCGTCACTAACAACAGCAATTAGAGAAAAGTTAGCAGGTCTGTACGTTGAATGGTAGAACCTTAAAGCCTTTGTGTTATGGATAACTGCTACCGTTGTAAGGCAGTGAAAACTGTGAAAAATGGTCTGATTTTAAACCACATCTGGGATTGCAATCAAACGTTTATTATTTCAATTGCTGTTTTCAAAAAGGATTAAAACTTTATCAGTAAATCAGGTGCAACACTATTTCTGTTTGACTAAATGCAGACGAGGTATAACCTAACCGGGTTTGCCTAAAATTTGTGAACAAAATAAGGTATTTATATCTATTTAAATGTATGATATTCGAAGTTCAAAAAAAAACAAAGGTATCAATAATTTGATGAAATAAAAAGCAGTCTATGACTGCATGTGCCTACTGTGGTATAGTTGTAGAGTATTGCAGTAAAAAAGCAAAGTGGTGTAAAATGCAGAGGGGTTGGAATGAACAACTCTTGTCAATGCCAAAATTGTGACAAAAGGACGACTTAGCTAGAACAGAGTTTGTGCAATGGTAAAGTGAAAGGTCGGAACAAGGCGGGAAATTAATCCTTTAATCCCTAAGATTGACAAGGTTCTAAGTTCTTACAATATCACCTCTGAATAAAAGGTTTAAGTCACAAGAATAAAGAAAATGATGAGCAGCTAACAAAGCACTTGATGGTTTTACAAATTCTCCTTGTTAGAACCTAGGAAATGTATAGCGTACAGTATGGAGACTATGCATAATGATGTTAAGGTGTAAAGGGTTAATAGAGTAGGTACATGTATTTTATGTGCACAGGAGATTATGAACTGAGAAGTTTACAATCTCTTGACGCGCATCAAATATATTTTTAGACAAAATTTCGCTGCTTCGTAGGCCCTGCGCGATGTATATACCTTCTCCTCTCGAGTCTGAAGTTCAAAGGTTTTAGCCCTGGCCACTTTAACTTAATTTGTCTTTCTTTTTCTCGTCTTTTCTTATTCTCTTTTTTTTTCCCTTTCAATTGAAATTCTTCTTCAAAGGATGTGTTAGACATGTGCAGAGTAAAATGCACATGTGAGAACGTTTGACGACGTAGCTTTCACATTGAAATCGATGAAACAAAAATGAATCTGTAGAAACCTGATCAGATTCGTTCAACTATGGCCAGAGTTGGAGCTGAACCAAATCAGAAGAGTGGTTACGAGTGTCTCACGATAGTCCGCTAATTTGGAAACCGTGAGGGGTTTGGCGAAGGTTCGCGGACTTGCACGACACCGTTACATAATGCTAACGGCCTTCCCGGAAGGAAGGCACAGCAGTCACAAAAACAAAAGCCAAAAAGGTAAGAACTAAATACCTCGTACTACTGCAAGACTGAAATAGAAATAATAATAAAACAGTAGTGACCATGGTGATACTAATGATTGTCATGATAACTGGGCGATCACCATTTGCATCAAGACAGATCAACCAATAAAGTAGTTTCTAGTTTCAAAAACATAACTCAAACGGTTTTGTGCTTTTATGAGGATGTGTTGAATAAGGTGTTTTGAGAATATGATAATGAGGTTTGGCTTTGTGACACTACCTTGGTACCAGTGCTCTTTGCTCGTCAGCCCAGCTAACGGCATCAAACCAAGTGTGATTATTTTGAATAACACAGGATTTAACAAACTTAAGGTAAATTTCAGAATTTGTAGGGAGAGGAACCCGAGGACTTAAGTTGTAGGTAGGTTAACCAGGGCTTTGATATTTTTTAGATTGTTATTTTGCGCATTCGGCGAAGAGGGAGCCGTTCATTATTATCCATGCTCGGAAAGATCACCTACATTTAAACTGAAATTTCACACAGTAGATTTCAATTTTGTCGTGTTTGCAAGCAGCTTCTGTTACATGCACTCAGTTTGCATCCTCATCCTCTAAAAGCATTATTTACTGCACTTCGTGATTATGGTAATTATAAGAGTTGAACAATCGATTCTATATTCCCTTGATTGTGATCTTGTTTCACGCTCAGATTAGTGAACAGTCCAAAATGGCATTTGTGGAAATCTTGATCTTCGCTATGGTTTTAGCTGGAAGTACTACAACGATCGTGACTCTTTTTACACATTGTAATGGCGGCCACGACGGAGAGAAGCACAGAAAATTAACACCGGAAGGAGAGACGATTTCAAAAAACAGACATGTATGAAGTGGCAAGGCTTGTCAAGATTTGTACCGGACTGAACTGATCTTTAGAATCGCATACTCACAAGGGAAGCTTGTTACAAATGGCGAAAACTCATTGGGTTTTGTGGATTGCAGTAAAACCATTTTATGAATTTAATTTCCTCAGGCCAGAATATATTTACATACCGGCCTGGAGCCGTGGTTGCCGGTGAAACCAAGATTATTGTCAAAATATTAGTTGATAATTTCTTAATTAATATACATCATTCTATCATTTACCTTGTATTTAAGGCCATATAAGAATACAGAAACGTTTTTTGCTCGTGGAGAATTGACAGTGGTTCACGTATTTGCCCAAACGCCTTTTAAGGTACGTTTTGGTTAAGTTTCCAGGGAAACCAGTCTTGCCTTAAAGCATTTAGGCAAAATTTATTCAGGAGAAGCCAGAATGATGGGCGCACATTCAACTCGCGTCACAAAAGCAGAGATATAGTTTTACGGTTATCTTTAATGAAAGACGTTATCTCGGAGTTTCTCTCACAGGAAAGTTTGTACCAAAAAGAAGAATAGAAGTGAGTATTTGGGGGAAAATTTAGTTGATTGAACAACAGTAATTCATGCAGTTATACTCGCGTTCGTCAGCAGGAAATGAAATAGAACATTTCATCTAACACAAAGAGGGAATAGTCCAGACCATTCTAAGCGATTTATTACACAATTTTAACCAATCACTGTTTATTGAACACATTGAAAACTTTACCCGTCAGTAGGTCAAAAAAGCAAACGATTTTGATGGGGAGAGATTAATCATTTCTTAAGTGAATATTCAAATCCTAATTTACATATGTAACAGACAGGGGTCCTTTTGACAAACTCTTTGAATCTATTTACATGCCTTAACTTTAGTGTTTCTTATCAAAGGGGAAATTGAAATTCACATCTGTTGCTTAATTTTTGATGCGGAATCGCTTTATGAAATCGCATACTGACTGCAGTAGCTCGAATCCTGCGTTACATGTGTCTTGTGTTATCGAAACACTGACCGATGAGGGGCGATGTGTTGTTGTGCTTTGTTTTTTTAGATAGACTTTGGTGGCATAATTGATGAGTCTTTCGTCTTTGTTTGAACTAAATTTAGCTCATATCAGTGGAAATAATTCCAAAGTTTAATGTAACTTTTCAAGGTAGCAAACACTCCAAATCAAAGTTATTGATAAAGGAACTTATGAAGTATATTGGCAAGGACACCTTAGAACTGAACGATCGGCGGTAAATCCACTTTATCCACACTTCATGCAAGTGTATTATGCGTGTGGCTTTGTGATGTGATCAGTTGTGTGTGACGTTCATGCACGGTTGTCAGTTTTTTGTCAGCTTTTATTTCTGGCGATGATGCAATGTTAAAAAAAAATGGGGGAGGGGGGAGTGTTTTGGAATTTAGAATTTCCCGATGCAAAGCCCCCTCTCTGAATATCCAACTATACGGCTATAACTGTTCTAGAAAACCACATGAAAATTTTCTTCTCGTTTTCAACCAGCCTTTGCTGTTTTTTTCAATTTCCTAATTAATTCAAATTTTATCCATTCGACAACGCCAATATGTTTGCTAGGTTACGTCAAGATGAGGAAAACACTACTAATCATAAAAAAATTTTTTAACACCTTCGGAGGTTCTTAATAAGAATCCCCACCCCTCGTTTGTTCGATCTGTTAGCTCTGCGCGGCCGGTTCCACTGTCTCATCGTTTCCTTACTGAACGCCTGAGAGAGGCTCAAATTTTTTTCACCCAGAAACGATCGTATGAATTTCGATCTTGCAAAGGGTCTTTACACTTCTGCATCACCAACATACGTTCATTCTGCTCCTCCATTCGTTATGTCATATGCCATTAACATTAAGTATGAAGGCCTTATAAACTTACTGTTTTTTTTCTCAATACGTTTTGTCTACTAGTCCACTGCTACAGTCATGCTGGTGGTTGAATCAATTCTGATTGGTGTCTGTTCAATGATTGGTGCGCTGGCTGCAGTACTGGCCGTCTCCCATTGGAAATGTAGAAAATCTAATAACAAGGAGGGAACCCGAAAGAAAGAGTGACATAAGAAAATTTTTGGTACCCGTATAGGAACATTATTTGAGAAGCTTCTGTAATTGTATCTATCTTAATTTTTGATTCCACCATGCAGACTACTGGACAAATAACAAGCGATTTCATCCGCGTTTCATTTAAGACCACCGGTTACTTGGAGGGTGAAACACCGTGGAGTTAAACATTCCAGAATTTGATCAGCCTTAAAGTTTTCTCTAACCACAAGCGTCACATGGAAACACATGAGCTAATTTGTTTGGGGCGGTATGAAAGAACAAATTTACCTTACTGATATTGTACATAGCTTGCTATCCATCATAGACCAATAACTGTAAAACTACGAAATCATTTAATCAAGTAAAGTTTGCCTTATGTCAATATTAGAAATTAATTGATGTCTTTGATTGGGATAGATCTGTAAATCTGGAACCATTTTGGTTTCCTAAACAGAGAGGAAGATCTGCCGGCGACCATTGGTTAAATGATATATTTATTTCACCATTTCTTAAACTTTCAAGGGGCAAATACCACAAATGGCAAACGATATTATATTGTTATGCTTCCTCTGACTCTCTATACTCTGGTTGGTTTCTTTATTTACCATTAACATCTTCACAACCTTACAGTTTGGAGGACTAGCTCCCACAAAGATGATAATAATAAGGCTCTCGATCCTTGACCATCGTCCATCGTGCATCTTCACACTTAACTATAACGAATCACGTTTAGTTACAAAAAGTGGGCCTTGCAAACTTGGCATTTCCTTCGAGATGTTGACTCTTTACGAAGTGATTTTTCTATACCAATTACGATGGAACAAAACAAAAACAAGATTGACTATTAAAATAAAAATTTAGGGACCCTACGGATGTAATAAGAACTACATTTAACAGGAGATCTCAGAGAAAATAACCTTTACAGACTGTTACATAAAAATATCTAAGATAGGCATAAAAACCAGAGAAGAAAGGGTTTATCTAAGGTAACGCTTTTCTTATACATTGCCGAGCTATATGCTCTTCAAACAAGTTACCTGACTATAAATTCATTGCGGATAATAAATGCTTGGAGTTGCCTACACGCACGGTCCCTTTGAAGGAAGAGGCGTCAAACGTGCTAAAATTGAAAAGAACAGAGTTATTTCCTGATCGTGAATTTGACACGGTACGGTATTGTTTGTATAGGTAATCAAATGATTTCGAGTGCAATTTAGAATAAATAAGCAAGAGTAAATTTTTTCAAAGACAAACAAAATTGCACTACGGGCTCGTGCAATTCGTGGTCTTTGAAAAAAATTTACAAGTGCCTCCAAATTGCACGAGAAAATCATGTGATTACGTATTAATAATATACATAAAAAAAATATGAGATAGCTCATCATAATTATGCAGAAGCAAAGTGCGCGCATCAAGTGGAAAAACAATTTATTCAAACCCTGCAAGTGACATTGTGCGTTCGGTCAAAACAACCGCGTACGATCAAAATAATAATATACGATGATACTTTCACACATTTAAGGCGCAATAAAGTTCAAAGTCCGGCTAAACAGTTTAAGGAATTGTTCACTGGGGTTTGTTACTTCTTTGCACTGAATTTACCCTCTTCTGCTTTGAATTACGTGAAAACTGCATTTATCTTAACCAATCAGAACTGAGTAATTTTTTCATGTATCTTATTAGGACGATAAATGACTACTATAAACGCAGGAGGTATTAAGAATGATGGAAACTTACTCATAAACATGTAAAAAGTCTCTGCATGATCCCTGCGGGCGCCGAAAGGTTTGAGTCTGTTATGATAATTAGACAGATGGTTAATTTGAACGAGGTCGTCGAGTAGTTCCCTTGGAACACAAAGTTTTGAGGTTCGCTTCCTCGCTATTAATTTTTCGGTTTCATACTCGTGACAAAACGAACCACGATTGAACCTCGCCACTTGTGCTCCTTCGCTTTCAGGATGATAATGTATGAGCATGCACCATTCAAATTCATTTGAATTTGGGTTTTTGCGCCTCAGATCGCCGGGAACTGAAACACCCAACCATGTGTTGATTTCCTCCCCTATTCTCCTATGATGCGAGGTATCACAGTTCCGTCCGAGAATCTCAGAACTGAAAATAGAGCAAAATAACTGATAAGCTTCATTAGCACTCAAAACTGATCGAGAAAACATCTAATAGGCCTACTTAAGAAGTTATTATTTTACCCGTATTTCTCTGCATCTAAAGTTTTCGTCCTTTGATAAGTTATCAAGATGAACAAATCGATCTGAGTCACTCAGCTGACACCTGAATCTGTTTTTGCTGTTCTTTTCTGCTTCAAAGTTATAGAACTTACATCGCGGTTCCTCCAAACACTCAAACTGACAAGATATTTCTGAATCTACTTCTGTTTTGGTAATCAAGCTTGTAATTAGCCTTAATTTCTGCTGTATCCTTAACATATAGTTAACAGGTTCCAAGCTGAGCTCTGATTTACGACTAATCCCATATATAAACTTGCCTTAAGGAGTAAGCATAGCAGATTCATGCTCTGTTCGTTAACAGTGAGACGGTTTAAATAAAATATTGCCTTGTTTTAAGTTAGTTTATGGTTAGGTTTGCATGATTTCCAAATTCATAGGGTAACAGGTGAAATGAAATCATGATAACTTATTCACTATGACGGCGCTATCATTTCATTCTCTTTCCGCAGTTCTTAAATGAAAAACCATCCGCACTGTTGATGATGCAACAACTAGGTTTTGGTGATACGTTTTATTTAAACATGTTTCTCATAGTTAAACAGCGCGCGGGGCTGTAAGGGTTATATGATAGTGTGTGCCAAGTTTGTCGAGGGCTTGGTTAAAAAGCCAGTGACTTTTTGAGATATCTATTGAAGACGTCCATACTGGAACCCGAAAAAAATCTGACATAAACCTTGAGCAGATAATTAAAGTATTTCGTAATATAATCGTTAATAGGAAAGTCTTGTCTTAGCAAGCCAAATGTAGGATACAGGCGCATTTTTGTTCTACCCTACATGCACAATGTTGAGATCAGGAATGTGAATCACAGACTAACTCCTCTAATTAGCTGTGTATCGGCTAAGGAAGGGAAGCTAGCGCTAAGGCCATCATCAGGATGACGTTTGTGAGAAGCACCGGTTAAGTAAACTACCCTGTGTAATCATTCCTGCGATTGTATGAAGGAGGTAACTTTCTAAAGAAACTGTGGTGCTGCGTCGGTGGGAGAGTATAACAGGGTAATTTAGTGTTAACAACTGAGCTGATAACGTAAATTGGCCACTGTAAAGAGTTTAAAGGCTAACGTTTCGAGCGTTAGCCCTTCGTTAGAGCGATCATTTGTTTAAGTATCCTGTCGAATATTAAACACCGCCGAACTGCAAAACAGTGTTCGGCCTGTTGATGATGGAGTGAGCTGGAGCTGGAATAATCATCAACTAAATGCATCACTAAATATAACAATTTAAAGGTAGCTATACTACTCTCAGTCTTTGGTTTCAAAATTAGGGAGCTCCACTCTGACTGCTTGAGAAATGTTTGAAAGTCAGCGGATGTAATGCTTACATCATTTTTATCCTACCTTTTCTCATAATTCTATATGTTGTTTCTTTGGAGTATGACCCAGGTAATATTTATCTCCGCATAGAGTAGTAAAATACCATTTTACGAGACCTGTTTTACAGACATCATTTTTTGCCTCGCTCTTCTCTCGCGCTTTTTCCCGCTTGTTACAAAACGTCCTCTCATCGCATCCCTTCCCCTCCCTCTCATTTCATAAAAAAATTAGGCCTTTCATGCTGGTTTCATTTACTAGTAACTCCGATGGAATCATCTTTACGTACAATAATATCAGAGAGGGAAGTCATAAGATCATCTGATTGCTACAGTTTTCTTTAAGAGACAGTTGGTATTCTCTTGTTTTCTTATAATAATCTTAGTTGACATGTTTTTTTCTAAAGATTATCTAACAATTTTAGATTTATTCTACAATATTCACCTATAGGGTCTTATGATAATCCTAATTGACATGTTTTGCTAAAGATTATCTAACAATTTTAGATTTATTCTACAATATTCACCTATAGGGTCTTATGATAATCTTAATTGACATGTTTTGCTAAAGATTATCTAACAATTTTAGATTTATTCTACAATATTCACCTATAGGGTCTTATGATAATCTTAATTGACATGTTTTGCTAAAGATTACCTGACAATTTTAGATTTATTCTACAATATTCACCTATAGGGTCTTATGATAATCTTAATTGACATGTTTTGCTAAAGATTATCTAACAATTTTAGATTTATTCTACAATATTCACCTATAGGGTCTTATGATAATCTTAATTGACATGTTTTGCTAAAGATTATCTAACAATTTTAGATTTATTCTACAATATTCACCTATAGGGTCTTATGATAATCTTAGTTGACATGTTTTGCTAAAGATTATCTAACAATTTTAGATTTATTCTACAATATTCACCTATAGGGTATTATGATAATCTTAATTGACATGTTTTTCTAAAGATTACCTGACAATCTTAGATTTATTCTACAATGTTCACCTATACGGCAACTTTCATTTCAGAGCGAGGATAGAGTATTCTTTTGTAAAGACTACTTTGGAAGGAATCTACAAATTCCACTGTCAATTTCTCCACCGAGGCGCGTACCACAGCAAATCCTCCTAATTTTAAGTACTCAGCCCAGAAAAACAGCGAGCTTCCTTGTGGTACTTTGTCTTTGTTCGGGGTGCTTTTCCACAAAAAGTTGCCAGCTCCAATAACGAAATATTCAACGGAGGAATTCTGTTCTTTCAGGTGCTGGAGGTTGCCATTGCGTCATAGATTTTGAAAAGAATAAACAGAAGGAAAGAGAAGTAATTCAAATGGTCAGCTAAAGGAATATAAGTGGTGATTACCTACATCTGACAATTGTTGTTATTGTTGCCAACCTAATATATAATCGATTATGACAGGGTAATTTAGTATTATCAACTGAGTTGATAACGTAACTTGGTCATCGTAAAGAGTTTAAAAGCTGACGTTTCGGGCGTTAGCCCTTCATCAGAGCGAATGACAAAGGGCTAACGCTCGAAACGTCAGGTTTAAAACTGTTTACGATTGCCAATTTACGTTATCAACTCAGTTTATAATAATAAATTATACTATTTTTTTTCTGATGAAGGGCTAACGCTCGACTTACCGCTTGCGCCCAGAGAAAGAGTCCCTTCTTTCGTATCGCCTTACGAACTAGGTATTCACACATTCCCTTAAGTAGTAAATTCCCTTAACGAACGTGCTCACTGCTTCTCAGTTGTGTCCGCCTATAAGAGCTTTACTTGAATCGATCGTTTCGTTAGTGTCGGTGATATTCACACAAGCGAATATTTTGTAAATAGAGAAATCGAGATCCCTTTCTTTTAGCACCCACGACAATCAAAAGGAGTAATACATTCGAATTTCGAGGTAATGTTGGTGATGATCATTATGATAATGATGATGATGGTGACGACAATGAGTGGTTATGATAACGATAATAATGATGACGACAGGGGTGCAAAGGAGACGTCGAAGCGGAAAGAAGAAGAGAGAGTGAGTGAATGGGCGAGGGGATCACGAGGATGGCGAGGACGATGATGTTAGATGCTCGTACGGCCTGTCCACGAGGCGCATAATTGCCGCAGCGTGACTCGGTTTCTGCATCATGAAGCGATTTGGCCGGAACACTCATATTCTCCGAGAATGACGTGTTGGTTTACCCCTAGCACACTTCACCCAAACCATTTTAGAGAAGTACCGTGCGAGCTTTGTCCTCCGTAGGGTATTGTAACAGCATTGCTTAATACGCAGAGCTAACACGATAAACCTGAAGGAGATCAACACGGATTGACTTCCGCATTTGGCAAAAGGCTAAAGCGTCTCCCAATTCAACTTAAAATAGATATAGCAAAACCTAATCATCTACTTTATGGGATAAAAATTCTTTAATTGTTTTTCTGAATAGAGTTATTCCTACAAAATTACAATGCATCTGCAACACGTGCAATGGAAAGGTAAGAGAAATTGTTTTGGACCAACAGACCCAGTGACTCAGAATACTGATAGGCAATGGAAAAAGGTAGAGAAAGGAGTACCTCTAACAGAGTAGTCAGCTTTGCAGGTTAGACATAGGTAAAGTAAACGACGATGCAATTATTTCCGTTCCTTGGTTTACCTCCGAGTAGTTTGTTAAAAAGATTAAGGTACTAAAAAGTTGCTAAGCTCGTCACCATGTCTCTCTTCATTCCGCCCAACGGAGCGCGTATAGAAGAGAAGGCTTGGTATTGAAGTTGGGAAATTTTAAACTGATCAAGAGATTTTCATTTCTAAAATTGGGTTAAAGTAGAAAAATAGTTAAAGTAGAAAACCTCAAGTCGTAGATTTCCACGACAACACACACAAAAAACCTATTTAACTCATAAACCAAACAGATAAGGTACTGCGACGCTTTGATTTAAACAAACATTGCGAGACACAAAATAATTTGCGTGAAACGAACTGACAGGAAAAAGGGTACAGAGCGGAGCGTAATAACTAAGCTACTGAATGACGAGGGTTGAGCTGAGCTTTATAGACAGAGGATCCATGGGAATCCAACATCTCTAGTGTAGTGCTATCCACCGCCATGTGCACCATAGCAAATCCTCCTGCCTTGCTGTAGTCAGCCCAGAAAAACAACGAACTATCTTTGGGAACTTTGTTGCTGTGGCTGGTATTGTTGTCTATTTTTGCGCCAGCTCCAATTACAAAATAATTGACCGAGGAGTCCGCTTCTTTCAAGTGCTAAAGGCAATCGATAGAATTAAAGGTAAATCCAATGACGTGAAAGAAACATAGAAAATAATGAAGTTTATCACATGATGGCAGCATTTCGTCGGCTTGCGTTCTGATGTTGCAACTGAAAACGACTACAGAGCCAATTATGATGGTGATGATAATGATGATGATGATGATGATGATGATGGTGATGATGATGATGATGATGATGATGATGATGATGGAGGAGATGGCTTTCAAAATGGTAAAAGTGATTGCGATGTCATTTTTAATGTTGAGAACAAAGAGGGCTGGGAGAGATGACAACATTAAGGAGAGAGGAGATATTATGGAGGAGAAACAAGGGCCGACTTCGTAAACCTTATTAGTTTACCATTGCAAAAACGCAGACAGGTATAAGAATAATATGGGAAAGTTCTTTAAAACCTTAGTCGTGGTCAGTGATTCACATGCCTTATTTAGTGTTCTCCCGTCATCTCAAGTGTGTTCTGATTACAGCAAGCAAAGCAGTGTGGAATATAGGGAATAACTCAAGAGTGTATTGGTTAACCTAAGCAGAACTACTCGAGTGACCATCACAAAAGTTTATATTCAATTTTTAAAGAAATATGCCTATTACCTGCAGGTTATGATCATGTCCACTGATATAAGCAGTCACGTGATATTTCTCCAACAAAGGTCTTAGTCGATCAACTAAACATTGGGTTGGTCCGTGCTCAGCTATAGACCAGACTGGGAAATGGCCTCCAACGATCAGATAATGTGCTGTGGACGAACGAAGGGTAGATTCCAACCAATCCCATTGTGCCTCGGCAACTTCAATAGATTCGGGCCCTGAAATTTATGGGCGAGAGAAATATTGAAAGCGCAAAAGAAAGAAAATTTTCTTGAATACAACATTAGAAGCATAAATTGGTTGATCTGTTGTCAGGGCCAATCAGTCAGATATATTATCATTGAAATGGTAATGATCTGGAATAGCTTAACAATTTTATCCTTAATACCCCTCTCCAAGTCAATTGTTGTAGTTTGCTATTTGCGATTGAACAACATGGAATGGGGGAGCCGAGCGCAAGTCCATTTCTAAAAGTGGATTCGTGTTTTTGTTTGTTGGTTTATTCTGTTTTCCTTGGTCACTCAAGCTGTTTGCCATTTTAGCGGAGATATGTCGATGAGGACGCGCTGAGACACAGGTTAAGTCAAGAAAGCAACACCAGGAGATCGGGAGAGTTGTGATTTACGCAGGCCCTATAACCCTCCAAACCACTAAGTGTAACCACGATCTAACTTCTCCTTGCAAAATAACTGCTAAACCAAAACAAACATCAGGGTCATGGGAATAAAAAAAATGATCGCCAACGTAGGAAGCTCTTGATTGTAAAACAGATTCTCCCTTTCGACACCATAGGAAATGCCCAGAGAGAAGCGCAGAGATTAACTCCTCCTGCCAGTTATTAGTGTAAAAATTTCGGAAATGGCACCTAAGGTATTTTACCGGTGGAACTGAATTTAGATCGCTCACTTTATGAGAGGCTAAGTATGTGGACCTAATTCCACAATGTGGCTCGGACTTTTGCAATCAAAGTATTTTTAATCTTGTAGTTGATTTTTTGGGAGAAAAGAAAGAAAGAATACTATCATAAAGAGGTCATGATACCTTCAGGTTGAGTATGGGTGTGATCATGTCCAGTATTACCGCAGAGCAGAACCGTGTCTATAAGAACCAACTGCAATTCCAAATCAGAGCCTTAAAAAATGAAAACAAAAAAATTAATGACCAAACCAAAAGGGAAAAGAAAGATCATCCATCCATCCAGTTATCTATTCATTCTTCCCTCCGTCCCATCTTCTAGGCACGCCTCCATTTTTTTCTGTGGATCCTTTGTTTCCCCACTCCCTCGGTTCACTCGGTTCACTCGGTTCACTCGGATTCCTCGTTCCCTCGTTCCCTCGTTCCCTCGTTCCCTCGTTCCCTCGTTCCCTCGTTCCCTCGTTCCCTCGTTCCCTCGTTCCCTCGTTCCCTCGTTCCCTCGTTCCCTCGTTCCCTCGTTCCCTCGTTCCCTCGTTCCCTCGTTCCCTCGTTCCCTCGTTCCCTCGTTCCCTCGTTCCCTCGTTCCCTCGTTCCCTCGTTCCCTCGTTCCCTCGTTCCCTCGTTCCCTCGTTCCCTCGTTCCCTCGTTCCCTCGTTCCTCGATCCTCGTTCTCTTGTCCTCTTCCTTCCTCGTTCCCTCGTCCCCTCTTTCTCTCTTTCTCTCGTTCCCTCGTTCTCTCGTTCCTCGATCCCTCGTTCTCTTGTTCTCTTCTTCCCTCGTTCCCTTTTCCCTCTTTCTCTCGTTTCCTCGTTTTCTTGCTTCCTCGTTGCCTCATTCATTTGTTTCATCCCTCAACTCTCAGTTTGACTCTCAGTCCTCGTAAGTTTACTTCCCCGCTGTTAATTCAACACCTCTCCCCTTAGTCCACCTTCTGCATGATTCCTAAACCCCACCCTCCGTCTCAGTAACGAACCACTGACTTACCAGGAATCTTCCAGGATTTAGTGTAATAAAAGTCTGGAAAATTCCAGCGTTCGGACCTTGAACTGTAGGCAATCTGAGCAGATGCGTTGCCATAGTGATCGTGATTTCCGGCGCAAAAGAACCACGGGGTCATCAGTGATTCGGCAGTGAACACGTCCTCAAATGTTTCTTTAAATCTTTCATCATCCACGTTTTTCACCCCCGTAATATAAAAATTATCACCTGAAAAATAAAATAAAATAAAATAAAAAATAATGAGGTGGTAAAGGGAACAGAGGGTATTAAACTAAGGAATTGAGGTCGGAAGACTTTGGTGGCCTATTAATTATTTCTATGGTTTCCCTTCTTCCTTATACCCTGTTGGCGATGACCAATCCCCCCCCCCCAAGTTCACTCTCAAAACCATGTGATAGCTAAAATCCTTCGACCCTACCTTCGACTCCAACCACCTCAGGCGATGAATAACTCCATTCTAGCAACTGTTTGGAGGAAATGCTTTCCTTACAAAAACAATAACAACTGAAATGGCCTTTCCTTTCCTTTATATTTTGGGTATAGTCCATGCATTGACACGAGAGCAAAAAAAAATTCGTAAAAACGTAGCAATTGAAGTTGATCAGGACATAATGAACTTGTCATTGTGACCATAAGGTTCAGGAAAAAATATTTGAATTTTACTCTGATGTCATTTTTTCATTGTTGTCCGAGGTCTCTTTATAAACGACTTTGGTATAAATTAAAATAAAATTTCGATTTCAAATTGGTTTCAGTACGCAGAATGGAAATTCTATAGATGTGTTATTGTTCATCGTGGTTTTATAGATAAATGAGCGTTTGTTTCACTATGTAAGATTCAGGCTAATCAATCGTGTATTGATTGCGACGTTTCGAATACTATGCTGCTAGACTTTGTCAGGCGACGAGCTCGAAAATTTTCGTGTCGCCGTTTCTAGCACATTGGTTTGATGTTATTAGTGAGTTACTAGGCTAAGCGTAACCTCAAAAGGTTACCTATGTGACTGAGCATACAATACGAACGCACACAGTGATCTCTATTCATTTTAGATGATGGCGCTAAGACGTAATTTTGCTTGATGAGAATAGTGGTTGAGGTTACGTGTGTGTGTGGTTCGAACTAAAAGAAAATACAACAGAAACTAAACTAAGAAGAATGCGTTGCGAAACGTAAGGTTAACCTAACTAAAAATGAAGCGATTGCACGGAAAACTGAATACGAGAACTACACCAATAATACATACAAAAGGTAAACAACGTAAATGTAAAGGAAATATAGACTGACTTTGGTCTAGCTCCTAACGGTAGCAAATAGCTTGTAGCGATTATCTGGCAACGACGATTTAGCAGCGATGATTTAGTAGCGATGATTGAAATAGAATCTTTATACGTGTACTTAAATGGGAATTGATCGGAGATAACAAACTTGTTGGGTAATAATCATTAACTAGCGAAAGACTTATTGATTAAAAACGAACCAGAACAAAAACGACAATAAAGTGTGTATTAACTAAGCGTTTCGAAACTAATAACTGGTGTATTTTGATCCTCATTATTCAAAAGTTTCTCTCTTCAGCTGGGGCGCTAAGAGTGGATTTAAATTCACTATTTTGCTGGATCTTCGAAAGACATTTTCTTTAGACAAGCAAAATCTTGCTTTTGAAGAAATAAAATGTATCAATCATCAGCTTTTGTGGGGCTTCACACTCATGGAATCCCATTATAACTCTTGAGAAAAGAGAATTTGAAAAAGCCTAGGCAGTGGAAAGGAGATATTTGAGTTTTAAAATCAAATGTCGTTTTCAAAGAATTCTCTATCGCGCAGAGGACAAATTTCTGAACTTTATTTTTCATTCCGAGTTAATCAGTCTGATGCGATATTGTTGTCAGTTAATAAAAAATGATTTGGCCTACATTGCGTAATAGAGTCTGACATCATATCTCGTTTCGAATCAAGTTTAATTTAAAATAAGCAAGCGTAATCACAGCCTGTTGAAGACGATCATTTAGCAAATAGCTTTGCGATAGTATAGAAAGAATAACGCAAAATGAAGCAAGACTCAAGGTAGCTCTACGAGTTCTATTACGAACTCGCCGCCGTTTAATAACCTTCTGAGCGCCCGGAACAAGCTACAAGTTAGTGAAAATATCATGGGCATAATCGTAATATCTTTAACTTAAACCTTAAAGACTTAAGTTTGCAACACCCTTCAAAATTGATCTGGAAAGCAATGAATTTTTTTCTTACCAAGAGCGACGGTAAACTGTGTTCCCAGTTCCTGTGCGACTTTTCCCATAGCAATGCTAACGGCGGTCTCGTAAGGAGTAGTATACGGGAACCAAGGCATGCCGCCCCAATCACCCACCACCAGAAATCTCAGTTCATCGCAGCGAACGTAAGCTACGCTAGTAAGGAAGATCGCCAAGAGAATACGCTTGATCGCCATCACGTTTTCGTGCGTTATCAATGAGATTATAACCGGGATTATAGTAAAGTAAACCAGCTCTACCAGCTGACCCTCACGTGATAGTGATGGTATGATGTTAAACTTCCGGTGTCAAAGTATTTGTTCCGGCCTACCACCTCTGATAATGGGTAGCCTGCAGTGCAGGCGTCTTATTAGTGTGGGCTAATGTTATAAGCTCGCGATCGTATATCAGACCGGCCATGTTTGATTTGGAGTTAAAGTGGACGGCGGGGGTAGGGGGCAGGGGAAGGGCGAAAATACGCCCGCCCGAAGTAGCTTTCGTGTAGCCGTACCCTTCCCCCTAGGGTGAAACGGAGGCGCTTCCGTTTCACCTCAGGGGAGGGAGGAGGGTACGGCTACACGTAGGTTAGCCCGAAGAGGCTATATACACCCCCTGATTAGTTGCGCTTCACTGCATTTCGGGAAGTGAGCAGGTAATTTATCAAAATGAGTTAAATTAAAAAAAACCAGAAGCACTGTCTTCCGACAAAAACAAACACACGAGCTGATGAGTGAAACGGTGAGCCAGTTGCTTTATTAATCTCTTTCTCCTTCTCCTTCCGCGTGCTCTTCCCAGTTCTGTTTGCTGTTCTTGAATCTCTTTTCTCCTTTTTCTTTTTCTTGAATTCATTTTCTCATGTCTCTCTGCATCTCTGTTATCCACATCACTATCACCGTCTCTTCTCGCTTTTACTCCCTTTTCTCCTTTTTCCACTTCATCACGCTCACCACTTTTCATTTTTGTTCTTCTTCGTATTCTTTGTGCAAACGAATACTATTTAATTTCTCGCTTCATCCACTTTTTGTTTCTTTTATGCGCAGTTCAAGGATTAACCATGATCTGCGCATTAGACTCCATGAATCTTTTCTTTTCGATGAGTGATAAGTTGGAAGCAAACAAATGAAGTCAAATAGACAAATTCGCTCTGAAAATTACTAAGATAATTACTGAAAAAGAAAATAAGTCATTAGACTCAGTCATTGGAAAATATGACCGTGGAAATGTTAGATTATTTTGGAACTACTCTTTACAGCACACAGCTTGCCAGTCAGTGACTTTAAATTAACTCAGTGACCGCTCCTCTGCAATGACTGTTTTGTTATAAAAATCCTCACGCCGCCCTCCAGCGCGTCACGCCATGCCCTCTAGTGCGTCACACAACGCCTAACGAAGTTTACCGCTTGCTTTGCTCTATCTTCGCCTTATGCTCAGAGCAACACATAGATAGGCCTTGTAGTTTAGATTGTAAACGTTCTTGTGCTCCACCAAATAAGTTGATTGTTAATTAAAGGAATGAGGTAATATTTTAATGCGGTCAATAAATGAAATCTGCTTATGATATGAATCAGATATAAGATTTGCTCTCGTTTTATCCTCTCACTATATTTTTTTACCTGTATGTTCCATACTTCGTTGATGTACACACACTGTTTGTCTTTTGGTTTGTTTTTTAAGGTATGACACCCTACTCAACGAGTTTTTCTTTCCTTCACATTCTACGAATTATTCATGAAGTAATTTCAAGCTGCATGTAATGCGAGAAAGGGCAGGCAAACTGTTGAACAAATTGTGTATAATTCAGCTTACAATAGAATATCGAATGGACTCCCCGAGGATAGGACGTGACAACATATTTACTCCAGTAGAAAGCCTCGTCTTAAAGAAAATTTAATGTCGAAAGAAATCCTACGGATTCATCGAGCCATTTAGCACAATCCTATTTAGTGGCGTAAAACCTTGACCAAAGTAATCAACACCAGCCAGTTAGAGCAAAGGAATATATCACGAGGCGCCCATAAAACGCAAAGCAAAAACGAGCAAACTGCGTAACTCAGGAAAACGCGGGTGACCAGGTCGAGATTTGCTGTAGATTTGAAACTACGAAAGTAGAAGGGCGACTGTGTTCACGTCGCCTTATGTACTGCAGTTATTATTTGGTAAAAATATTGCATTTCATATGCTTTCCCCTTTAAAATTCCCCCCTGATTCTTGTCGGAACTACTCAGTTTTCTACGATCTTTTCAGGTAAATTTGCATAAGAAATTCCTATTTCCAAGAGCACGATATCCAATCCACTGATCATGAATTTCCTCCAAAAACACCAAGGCGCTCGCCTCAGTCTCTGCTCGTTCAAGCGCAATTTTCTCTCTTGGCGAAGTACATAACACTCTCTCTGCAAAGTGTTGTTTTTCGATTACCATTTTATCGTGTTTCCGCTCGCAAATAATGTGATCATTGAAACTTAAACATTTGGTGCTGATTTTATGTCCATTTAGAATGAGACATAACTGATAGACGCCTAGAATGCCGTCTGAAGATGTTAGGAAAGACTTTATTGTCGCAACGACCGGCAACTATTTTGGTATCCAAAGTTCTGACAATGTTCTGGCTGAAGTTACTGCCTCGAAAGAGCTCAATGTTTTCCTGGATGATGGAAATTCGCCGGTTTTGGCTGCAAAATACGACGTCCATCAAGGAAAGAAAACGATCAATTTGTTAAACCATGTCGAACCCAGTGACACTGCTGAGAAGGTATTAGTGTTCTTCAAGCTTCGTCCGGAGGCCATTACACCAGACAATGTCCACGAAAATGTTTTCGTCTCTTCGATGCTTTCCTCGCCGGTGAACACCTTGTATCATTCCGTGCAGAAATTATTTGCTCCTTTGCTGCTAAAGGATGAAAAATGGAGCCGAAATTTTGACCCGAAATTGCAGAGTTTGTTGAGCGAACTCGAAGCTGGGCTAGGAAGTGTAGTACGTAAACAGGACAGCTCATCTTCGCGAGCAGCTAATGTGGGCGATGAAGAAAACCTCGGTGGTATTTTGACTCCTCAAGACGAGTTTCAATACTGGTCAGACGCAGCAGTATCAGGCTATGATCTGTCTGAGAGGGAAAGAGCGTCTTTTTTCCAAGAAACTTTTCAGAAAGGTAAGCCGCCATCTTAAAAAAAATGATTTGCTTATATTGTCGTCCATAGCAACTGAAGTAGGTCGGACGCGACAATTTTCCCCGTTAACTGATACAAGAAGAGATGTCTCAGATTGAAACAGGAATTTTCCTTACGGCTTTACTGACAAGTGTTCATGATTTGTTTTCGTTATATAAATACAGTTAACTTATGTGTTACAAGGTGAAATAAGCAACACCATTTTGAATGGTTTTCATAGGTTGCTATTTGGCTGAGTCACGCATATTTTCAAAGACATTTCCCTCACTCATCCGTCAATCCTCAAAATTTTTAAGAAAAGAAACCTTTTATTTTTTTCTTATTGTAATGGAGAAAGAAAACTCCTTTTTTCCATAATTAAGTTTAAAATGTGCTCTAGTGTGGGAAAATATTTAAATGGTAAATTGAGAAAAAAAATATGTCGATATACAGGGTTCTTGGTACAGTTCGAGGTAGGCTAGTATTCCTGAAAGGTAACTATTGATAAGTGTCGACCCATTTGCTCCTGGGAGTCAGAACAGAGGAAAAGTTTCTTTTTATATATAGGCAACATCAATTTCAAGCAGAAAGGCATGAGAATAGAAAAAAATGGTTTGATGTAGCACTCAGTTTCTGAGCTAAAAATATAAGAAATATATAGCAAACAGGGCACAAATCTCATATTTTGATCTTTGGATGGGAGTGATGGGGATAAGTTTTAACATCAGTCCTGTAATTTTCATTTTTGCTTTCTTCACATGACAACTGTCAAATTTTACTAGAATCTGGTGGCAAAGGAGATCAAAGTGGCTTATACTAAAATTATGACCAAAACTTTTATTGATATAACAGGAAATGTCTCTCAAGACTTTTCCAATCTTGATGCATTGGATCTTGATGAGACTCTAGAACTTCTGGAGTCTGCCCAAGATTCTCTAGATGAGATTTGGAAACAAGAAGACCATAAGCCTTACCCTGAGGCACGCATGAAACATCTCCTCGATGTTATGGCAGGGGCCTTGGGTCGTTATGTTCAACGTAAACTTGGAATGCTTGACATCTGGCATGACTCGTTTCAGCAAGTGAAAGATTCCATGCGCAAGGGGATTACAGTTTGTGAAAGGTGGGTGTCCACCTGCAGTGAGACACTCACATCGCAGTATTGGAAAAGGTTTCCTCCTCACCCATGGAGAGGTGAAAAATTTGTTCCTGAAAATTTGTCACAGCTTGCAGCAAGGCTAGAAGAGGTAACTGACTCAGTAAATACTTTGAAAAGATTTGATCTAATCCAACACTGAAATGTTCATAATATTCAACTGACAAATTTTAGTTTTGAAATACATAGTTTACCTAATTTTGCTTATTTTTGTATTTTGGCATTCCCTTAAAGGTGCCATTTTTTTTTAGATCCTCTTGTCTATTTGTCTTTATTTTTTTTCTCAAGGTTCTCACACTGAGAACAGTTCATGAACAGCTTGTCAGATTGCTGTCAACTTCAGAGAGGCAGCAGTTGCGAACATCAGAGGCCTTTCTTCCTTTCTCAGGATTAAATCCACTGCACCACAACCCCTACACAGAACCTCTGTGGAGGGCAGCTGTGGCACAGTACGAGAGGGGAATGGCTCCTGCTGAGCAGAAAATAGCTGGAAAGCTGCGACAGCAGCTCAGTAACTTGTCTGCAATGAAGTCACATCAGGTAAGTTTTATAGAATTTTGTCTTGTGTACAATGAACCAATTTAATCAAAATGGAACCAGCCAACTGTTAATGACACCGTATAATTTTGGTTGGTGTTTTTATTAATCACAATTTTTTTTTTCCTAGCTTTTGAGAGAATTTCAGAGATATCAAGAGCTTGTGAAAAGGCCAAGTATCCGGAAAGAATTGGCTCCTGAAAGGTGAGCTGGTTGGATAAGGTTACAGTACCGCTCAAATATATGTTAAGTGCACAAACCCATTTTCATATGCTTAGATGCAAGGTAGTGAGACAGGCATATACAATTTTTATGCACCCATAGACAAAAAAAATGTGCGACTTATGTACCCTTGTTATTAAATGCTACAAGTTTCCTTTGAGTTACATTGTTGTGTAAAACAAAGAACCTTTGGGTTTGGAAAATTGATAAGTTGACAACGGAAATATTTCATAATAAAAAGGCTGTTATGTTACACACAAACACATCGCACGGCTTTGCAAAGTCATTGAATTACAAGTGATAGCAGTAGATTTGCTGGATTATATTTATGAATAAATTAGGTCTACCTTACCTTGTACCTGTCTTGAAATTCTTTTCTCAAGTCGAGTGCTAACAATTTTCCTATCCATATCACCCAAATTTTAAAAACATCTGGGCCAGTTGTTAAATCAGTGGATAACACTATCCAATGGATAAAATCACTATCCAGCAGATAACTGTTAAGAAAATGTATTGCGCTATCCATTGGATATGTGCACCTACACCACCACCCCCCCCCCCAACCTAAGAACAGTCAACTGATAACAGGGTAGGGTTAATTTTGGGCTAGGGGAGGGGTAGGTGCAGGTTCTTTATGGTAGGAGTAGACTTGACCTGGGGAACAACAGATTGTTGGTTGAATGCTCTCATCTCTTGGCCAGGCTGCCTCCAAATATGTATATTTGATGTGTGCTTTTCTTCCTTTTTATTTACACTTTGTTTTAGAGAAACACTGCTTGGTCAGTTGACAGTGTATGTGAAGGGCATTCGGGATGACTTCATTTCAAAGACTCAGAATTCTTACTCAGGTGGAAGGGATGGTGGTGGTCCCCCTCAGGGACGTAACATGCCTGAGATTGTCAATAACATTGTATGGGTCAGACAACTTGACTCTAAGGTGGGTAAACCAAGTCTTTGCTCCTGACGCACTAGTATGATCAGTGTTGGCAGAAGTTAATAGGAGAATTGTCTTTATAAGTCTTAGCTCTGACAATGGCTTTCAAATTAATGTTCTTATAGTACTAAATGTACCTTGTACCACATTGTCTCACATGCATCTGTACATGTTCTCTGGAAGTATTGAGAAATGTGATGAATTATTCTGATGCAGTTGTGATACAGCAGATTGTGAGCCTGTATTTCCCATTATAAACTTTTTTGTTACAAATGTAATCAACTTTTCTTGGTGTGTAAAACATGCTGTGTGGGAATATGATGAAATAAGATTGGAATATCGCATATTTAAGATACAGAATACAGTTTAGTACTTTTGGGATGGCATTAGTTTTTTAGTGTACAGTAATGTAATTTTGTAATTTCAGGTGAAAGAAACACTGAGCACTGCCGAGAGCCTATTGGGAGACTTGTCTGGGTTCAAAGGCTTTAAGAGAGAGGCAACTGAGCTGAGCGAGGAGTTAGGCTCATACTGCAAAGATCAGTTTGAGAGCTGGGTTAGTGAAATGATGACAGCTATTGATGATCCAAAACAACCTCTCAGGTAAACTAACAACGGTATTTCTCAAGATTATTCTATGACAGGGTACTGCAAATCCTTCCCTCGCAGAATATTCATTCAGAGAAAAAGCAAGTCGTGTATGAACAAAATAGAAGCTCCTGTAGTAGTTCTAGAGGTCATCAGGGAATAAGATTGTCTGAGCCATAATTCACTCCCCTATTTTGATTGGTATTATTGACTTGAAATAGATACGATGTTAAAAATACGATTTGGAGAAGGAAAACTGGAAAGCAGAAGTTGTACAGAAATGGTCGCGTGCACCGCGGCATTTAATACACGCTTGATGCGCGTCCAAAACTTACGCACTGCACGCGCGAATCGCGCACACTGCGCGTCACGATATGCACCTATGGGTAATAAAAAATGCCCGTATGTGAGAGTAAAATGCGGGTAGGTTACACGAATCAGTCAACTAGAACTTATTGAGGGCGCACATAATTCTTCAGTAGATTTTGGATCAGCAAGAGCAAGTCACTGCACTTTGTTGCGTTTCTTGCAGATTGAAAATGCCTTCTTCACCCGCCCTCGGTACTCAATACATGCTTTCGATACACGTTTGCACCCTCAATTCGCCTCGGTTTGGTTCTTCTTCGATTGAAATTTATCTGTTACAACCCAGATGGTGTGTTACAACCCAGAAAAATAAAAAAAAATTGCTTTTGAAAGAACTCTGCTCGCTTGATTATTTATGTTCTGGATAGATTTTTGTCTAATCTTGTTCATACCTTTTCTTTGTATATTTTTAACTCTTGCCAATAACTGGTCGGTTGTTGGTTTTGTAAAACTGTATTTTAGCGAAGGGGAGTATGAGATGCCTGTAACACCATGAAGGTGCATTTTTCTTTACACCTATTGCAAGATCAGGCATTCAGGTGCATGGTTCTTCAAATACATGCATTGACCACCATCAGAATGCAAGAGGTTTTTGTTGTGCAAATGAGAGAACTTAGAACTGAACAAGTTCTTTTCCCTTGAAGCTTACAGACCAGTGGTCGATTGATGGATCTGGACCAGAGGGATGGGAAGTTGAGAGTTCACTATGGTGATAGGCTTGTGACATTAATGCGAGAAGTTAGGCAGCTTTCTGCTCTGGGATTTGCTGTTCCAGCTAAAATACAACAAACAGCAAGCACAGCCAATAAATTCTACAGACATGGCATGATCCTGAAACAGGTAAAGTGGAATCGTGCTGAAGACTTTAAACAAGCTTGCGAGGAAGCCCTCATTACTATTAAGCGTTTTTCGACCCAGAAAAAGTAGGAGGCTTGCCAGGGGTCTAACAATGGCAATGGGTCCTGACCCCCTCCCACACTTGTCTCAAACCTTCTTAAGGGAGGAGGGATGAGAAACGCGCGTCTTGCAGCCGTAATGACGAGAGCCTGCTCGTACTGTAGGCTAAGCTTGGCCTAAAAAAGGGTGTTCTGCAAGAGACTTAAAAACTTTTGTAAAATTGTTTATTTCGTATCTAATTTCGTCAATAATCTTTAAGCTTGCCTTTTTGTAAAGCCTCTTGCTACCATATGATAAGGTTTTATTTACATGTAAGGAGTTTCCCAGGCTCCCTTTTATGCGCCATTTTACCATCAGCATGCGGTTCACTTGTGGAAAAGCCTGTTATTCAAAGAGTCGAATGCGTTAAATAGTGTGGGAAAATTAGATAAAATATTGTTGTGATTTACAGCAGCAGTGGAAATTTGAATCGATTTCATCTTGAAATGATAGCTATAAGCACCTGTAACTAAATGAGTAACAGTCTGTAAAATAAAACGGTTCATACAGCTTTAGATTATTTAAAGTTTCATTTTCAGACTGATCTTTATTCTCCAGGTTGCTCATTTCTACAACACAATAGACCAGCAAATGATTCCAAGCCAGCAATCCATGATGTTGGACTCAGCTCTGTCATTTGAACGCCTGGTGAAGAATCCCAAGACAGGCTCTAAAGAGAGTGGTGGAAAAACCCAGGTGACTTGGGACAATCCACTGGAATTGGAGGCTTACATCGATAAACTTCAAGCTGCCGCCGACAAGTTGACATCAGAGAACAGGAGGCTACGCAAGTGTCATTATAACATCAGTGATAAGGTAGAATATTTGTTGTTTTCATGTAAATGTATGTTGAAGTATAGTTATACTGTATTGATTTCATCTTTCTCTGCCCCTCTCCTTCTCTTTTACCCTGAAAAAAGCCAAAACACAGAAGCAACATAGACAGCAGCATCTAATCGTGTGAAAAATAAATCGCACAAAACATCCCTAGCTTCACATCTCGAAATCCTCGAAACGTGACCAAAACAATTTTCACGAAAACCCTGAATAAATTCTTGAACGGCCTTGAATGTCTGGAATCTTGACTCCCGTCTCAAACCTCAAGGTTTTCGAGAGTGAAAGGTTGGGAATCGTGGATCGAGGAATCAATGATCGAGAATGGTAGATCGAGTTTCGATAGACTCTCAACTCACATTCGAGCGATTCCGCACTCTTAGTCGCTTCAGTTTGTTAAAACATGCATGGGATAAGCACAAGTAGGTATAAGACTCTGGCTTTTAGGACCAAAATTCTTAGGTTCCTGGATGTTGTGCACATTCATTAACATGAACAACTTTCCTTATCTCATGTCGAAGGTTGTGAATCTAATGAGCATCGATCTGCTCAGACAGCAACCCCGCTGGAAAGAAGCTCTTGTGTCCTTAAGAGAGATGATGACATCCCTTGTCCAGCAGGTACTGTTTTGTTTTTTGTTTTTTAACAATGTTATGCTTGTAGTTTAAATGGTAGGGCCATCTACAGTGATAGCTGTCACGGCACCATATGACTTCAACCACATGTACCCTAAATCCTCTACCCTAAGCCTCCGTCAAGAGATTCAAATTGTTTAAGATACTCTTTTCCCCTGTTCACTAATTCCTAATCAAAACAGTGGACAGATCAAGTGTCGAGTGTAGTGTGGTCATTCATTTGGGCTAAGTAGGGTTTAAAACATACTTGTATTTGAAGGCCTGCAATATTTTCCGTTTTCTGCATGTCTGGGTGTCCATGCTATTTAGTTCCATGGATGGATAGGACTAATATATGTATATGCACACTTATTGGTTCCGGCAGTGTTAAAAAAGGTCTAGGGGTGGTGTTGCAGTGGGGAAGTTGTGGAACACTTCGAATTACCTTGTTTTTTTTAAAAAGGGGTTTAAAGCAGACAACATGAAGACCTGGAAGATGCACTGGGATCGTCAGCTGTACAAGACTTTAGAACATCAGTATCAGATGGGACTTGAGGCCCTGAACGAGAATCTGCCAGAGATAAAAGTTGAACTGGTCTTTAGGTTGGTAGATATTCAAAACCCTAAGCCCTCTGATCCTATGACGAAACCTTTTACTCCCGGAAGCGACTCATAAGTAAATTCTTCTCGTAATATCGATCAAAATTTTTAAGCCAAAATTGGCGAGAAGAAAGCCAGATATCAACGAGGGGATTTTCGGTTTGTTTTCACACAGATCTCTTTGAGTTTAAAATATGAAACAACAATATTGAAAACAAAAGCTACAAAAATTTAAGGGCATGTAGAGAGCATTGACACAGAGATCTTAATAACGCCTAGAAAGCTGACTACTTCTGGTGGTTCGCTCGAAGAATATCACATTCATTGTTTTATACTGCTTTTCCTCCAATTGTAGACAGCAAAAGCTACAATTCCGCCCTCCACTGGAAGAAATCCGAGCCAAGTATTACAGAGAAATGAGAAAATTTATTTCTATTCCAAATCATTTCCGAGGAGTCGGTGAAGACAGCAGTATCTACCCAATCATGATTGATCAAAACTCTGCAGGTTTTACAACTGTCTACAAGAAAGCAGAGGATCTCTTCAGGCGTCTAGTGGAAGTACAGGATCAGTTTAAGGACTGGGTAGTACTGGGGACTGTGGATCTTGAGAAGCTGATTGAGACTCACTTGCAGACTGTTCCAGACTGGGAGAGGAACTTCAAAGCCATAAAGACTAAGGGGAGAGAAGCTGAAAAACTACCTTTGTGAGTTGTTGCTAATTCTCAAAAGCCTGAATATATCGCTACTACCCATAACTCGAGTGTCTGGTGCACATTTCGTTGGTAGTTTTTGTTGGAAAAAACCTCAATGTTTGCAAATATTGTTTATTTTAGGGGGTCAGGATCGACCGTTATTATTTTATTTCAGGGAAGGGTTAGCTATTGTACATGTAGGAATACAATGGTTGATACTTTGTAAATTTGTGAGAATGTCATGCACATTGTATATTAAGAATTACGTAAGTATCTATAATTTTTTCCTTAGCATAAGGGAATCTGGTTTGCTCCTCTAACTACAGTTTTTTTATTTCGCTAATGAAGTCTGTGCAATCAGATCAAAACAGTCAGAAAGTGGAGGAGCATATCGTGTGCGCTGTTGGCCTCTAATCGTTAAATAACTATGCAATGGTTAAGACATTTTCCCACTCCTTCAGTTTATGAGTTTGCAAAACTTGATGCACGGTTACTTCTATATCAAGAGGATCATAAATGATGTATTTTTTCATCAAGTCAATCAAAATTCGCGATTCTTCTAGATGAAATCATTCTTTTTGTTCCGGACAGGAATATAAAGGTTGACTGCATCAGTGTTTCTACTTCACCTGTCAAGTCAACAATCGACGACCTCATACAGCAGTTATTTGATGCGCTGTTGACGTCTCTGCGGCGCTCCATAACAAACGAAGTGCAGACCATTGACACCTTTTTGACATCTGCTACGGAAGCTCTTTCATCCAGGCCACAAACTGTTGAGGAGATAGGAGAGGCCAATGCCAAACATGCAGAGCTGGCCACAGAGAAATTAAAGGCATGACTTTGAACTAGTTAGGTGTTGTTATTTTCGCTAAAAAGCGACAGATCGTGCACTATAAAAATGGCTCGTGTCCGCAACACACATAATTCACTTAAAACACTATTTGAAGCCTCTCGGTTGTTTAACCCTTCACATTCCTCTTTATAAATTTTCTTTGGTACAGACAGAGAGATGTTATCGTTTTGGAGTGATACTGTATGGAGAAATCTGATGCTAGTAACTTTTAGGGTTTATGGGGTCGATGCTTGGAATGTGCAACTATTGCCCCCAAGATCACGTGCTTGTCTACGTCCAAAATTTCTTCCTTTAGAAACAGCTGACTTTGATCGATTTTGTGTCAGAACAAAACATATACCATAGTATATGCATCATGCCGTAAATTTCTTGATTGTCTGCAGGTTTTCCCATTATTTGAGAAAGCTGAATCCAAGAACAAGTTGTTGCGTTCAGTTGCTGGTGGAGGGGTGGATCAGATTGGCCAGCTGCAGGCGAGGTGGGACAAGTTTGAAATGATGATGGAGAGTCATGAACTGATGGTTAAAGAACAGGTTAGTAAATGCAACTTGACCAGCACGCTATGAGTAGTCGGCACTGATGTAGGCGGTCGTGACCTTAGAGCTAAGAAAAAAGTGACCTTCCTATTTCGCTGTTGCATGCTTTACCAATTGAGCTACAGATAACTCTTTGGTAAACAAATGTAGGCCTTATACCAGGTTCTCATGTGACTGAAAACCACGTGGATCAACGCTATTGATAGAGAACTATGTGTACATAAATTTTTTCGAAAGTAACCTAGATGGCAATTTTTCAATGGTCAAACCTAAAAATGCTCCATCTCTCTTACTCCAATGTTGTTGACGTTGAGTACTTATGCATGCAATTTTTTTCTGGAAGTGAATTTCTGATGCGGTGAATGCTGTGGAGTGGTTAAGATACTTGACATACGAAGTATCGATTGCACAAAGTGTAGCTTCAGGCTTTTAGCGTCCTAAATATTTTTTTTTGTGTGTGAAAAACAAAAATACTGTCAACTCAAAGGGCAGCCCAAAAACATTAGCTGGATTAGATAGTGAAGTGGATGGCAGGCAATACTGTACAAAGAAAGTTCTAGGATGGCTGAGGGTGGCGAAGGTTAAAATGAATTCCAAACAAAGAACAGTCTCAGTCTGTCGAGCTATAAAGTTTGCAAGATGCAGGGACCTTTGTCAGTAGCAAGCTTTGAAATGATCTTTTGACAGGTGGAAGTGATGAAGAGCAATGTCGAGTCAAGGGTGCAGGCCTTCCAACAAGAACTGGACAAATTCAGTGCCCGCTGGCACCAACTGAAACCCCGTGACATCGATGAGTACAAGGACAAACAGTCGTGCCTGGCAGCAGTCAATTCAATCAACGAGAGAAAGGCAGAGTTTAGTGAACTGGAGGAAACGATGAAAAAGCTCATGTAAGGGCACAGATACATGTAGTTCAGTAACTTGGAGATAGCGTAGACAATGGTATTCATATAGAACTTGAATCTGTATTACTTAAATGAGATTTTGATAGATCGCCCAGGTCACGGTTTTAAACGCGATTATGTGGTTTAGAAACCCTTTAATTCAACTATGCGCACTTGAAGTCTTCCTTTGAAAAACAAATCATGGCAATCTATAGGAAGTAAAAGGGTAAAGTTCCTTTAACTCTAATTCAAATCCTGAGTCGTGAAAGCGTTGACAAGTAATTTTTTTAGCCTTATTTCCCCACCATTGCTGGTTCGCTCACTAGATGTACTTTTTTTCGTGGCTTCTTTTGTCGTCGATTCCCTGCTAGTTACCAACTTTTGATCGACTTAGTGCAGAGTTGTAAGGTTTGCAATGAACAAATGAGATAACCTTAATTTTTCAGCTTTGAATGTCAGCACTTTGGCGTTGCTGAGCCTCAGTTTACGGCAGCAGAAGAACTCAAAGTCGATATCTCTCAGCATGAAGCAATGTGGGGACTGTATGAAGAGTTCAGTAACGGATTGGAGGAGCTGGCTAAGGAAGACTGGATATCATTCAGGTAAATTATACTGCTCGTTAACAAGTTAGGCTATGGTAGGTTGTCGAGAGATGTTCGGCACATGAAATTTGAAGAAAAACTACAACAGTGCGTCGTTAAGTTATAAGATAATGAGGCCGTTCATGACCTTCAATGAAGGCGTCTCTAAGAGAGTCGACTGGGAGGTGGCACTTAATGAAACTATCCAAAGAACTGAAAAAAGTAATCGTCCAAATCAGGTCAGTTGGTGGCTACGATTTAGTACAAATCAATGTTTCGTTGCACAGTGAAACCAAAAAAAAACCTGAAACTAGTAGTTGACAACATTAAATAGCAATGCCAAGACGACGATTTGATGGAGTCACTACCCAACTATTAAGCAATAGGTTCAAATATTTTACGTTTCCTTGTCTCCTTTAACATCTTCATCTTTGCCACAAAACGTAAAGGACAACTAGAGTCAGATAAATTGTAGAATAATAAAATAGGTGAAATTAATCGAATATGTTTGAGCTGCGTTGAAGATATTATATAAAGTGTTCCCCCTTCCTACAATGCAATTTGGCATAAGCGTAGACAGAAGGAATAACGACTACTGCAATCTTTCTGTACAGGGGTCATCTCTATAGATTTGATGACTTTTTGACGGCTTGGTCCGAGAAACTAAGAGCTAAGGAACCAACAAGTATGACTGTGAGACTGCAGAAAGATGTCGACAAATACAAGGTTAAGACTGATCCAGTGACTAGGTTGTCGTTGTAATGTACAGAAGTTTTGAAAACAGTGTAAGGCTTAAGTAATCGCCTGAGCAGTAAAGCAAAAAGTCGACGTTTTGAACATGAGCCCCGCAGTAAAGGACTCCTTTGTTACATACCACTGGTTGTAGCCAGAGAGAATCATTCTGCCTTGCTCCGAAACGGAACAAACGCTTTATAGCCTGTGAGGAGCAAGAATCCTTTTCAGGGAGTGAAAAGCAAAGTGATCGCAAAGCTAAACATTACAGAGAACTGGTGAAAAGTTGGAAAGATACAAGTGGCATGGGAAACGCGAATCGGGTCATTGTTAAATGTGTTTGGTTGGAGGGCATGGCGCAAATTTTCAAGATCAATTATTCTGCGTGGTAAAGTTAGGATATTGCATTGGAGTATTATCAATTGAAATACGTTCAAATACTCTATAATTAGATGTTCTAGTGTATTGAAATACGATAATTCCGATTAGAGTGAGAAGACTTCAATGTGTTCTCCTTTTCTTTAGAACATTGTTCCTCTTCTTAAGTATGTCCGTGGAGAGGCGTTATCTCCTGACCACTGGTTAGAGCTTTTCAGGCTTCTGAAGATGCCCAGAGGTACCATCTTGGAGAAGCTGACATTTGGAGATGTTCTCGAGAGTGCTGATCAAATCATTGCTCATGCTGATGCTCTTAAGGTGAGATTAAGGTAACCTTAACTGGGTAAATACCAACAACAGCCAACAGCCAAAGACGGCTCGTTACAGACCTACGCACAACCGCGTGATCAATTCTTAAGTCCTGTCGATATCATGGTTAAGTGAGCTGTTTTCCCTCAAAGGCTAGGAAGTGACGTTCATGATAAGTCTTTTCTTTTGACAGGAACTAAACAGTCGGGCTCAAGGAGAAGTTTCAATCAGGGAAGCCCTTAGAGAATTGGAACTGTGGGGTGCTGGTGCTGTATTCTCTCTCACGTCATACGTAGACTCACACAACAAAGAGTTATCCATCATCAAGGACTGGAAAGATCTGGTCAATCAGGTTAAAAAAAAAATTCAACTTTGAATTCAATTTGCAATTGTACGCAATTGTTTCTTACAGCAATGTAATAGGGCCACTTTTACTCGGTGCAATTTTTACCTTGTAAGGCAGAGCGAGCATGCAGCTTTGTATGCTATTTTTTTATGTTAGCACGACCTCTCAATACTTGATAAGGTTTGATTCTCACTTTTTACATCCATCTTGTTTCGTCTCAAGGTTGGTGACAACCAATGCCTGCTGCAGTCATTAAAGGACTCTCCTTACTATAAAGGGTTTGAAGACAAGGCTTCCTTATGGGAAACCCGTTTAGCCGACCTTGATGAGTATCTTCACAACCTCAACCAAATCCAAAGAAAGTGGGTTTATCTGGAGCCCATTTTCGGCCGGGGAGCTCTCCCCAGAGAACAGGGAAGATTCAAGAGGGTGGATGATGATTTTAGGTTTGTTAAAGTTAATTTTTATTGAGATTATCGACATGAGTGAAAAGTAGATGTCTTAAAAATAAGGTAACGGTGCCTTCCGAAAGGAGGCAATCGTGGGTCTTTTTTTTTTTTTGGCTAATTTTTGTTTCAGTATATGCAAATAAAATGCTTGGGATGGGTATTTGCTCACCTGCAAACTTATTAAAAAGCTATGATTCTGGTTGTTGAGTTAATGTGCGTTAAAGGTAGCAGAAGTAGACGTGCACACTTAGGCTTAATGAAAGAGAAAGAACGAACAAGTAATGGAAATTTACTCGGGCCACGATATGTAAAATTGCTGCAGATATTGCCTTTACATGTTTGTGTGCATGAGGCGAATTTTGATACATGTTGGTTGGTAGGTCTCAAAGTTCCCATTTAACCGCAGGTGGGGTAAACTTTTAAGAGTTCTCGCTTAATATTGATTTTTCTTTATCATTGCTTTTCCATTCTATTAAACATGAATGAAATTTTGAAAATGTTTTTGCTGTTCAGGGCCATCATGCACGACGTTTCAAATGACAACCGAGTGTTGTCACTTGTGGCTCAGTCAGGCATCAGAAACACTTTGGTTACACTCTTAGATCAGCTGCAGAGATGTCAGAAGTCTCTTAATGAATTTCTTGAGGTAAGAATTGTATTTCTATAGATTTTCATTGTGCTTTTGGTATAGAGAAATGGGCAGAATAGATCTTATTTCTGAAGAAGGTTGTATCAAGTACCCATTGAGCAAAGGGTCCGCTCTCATTTTCGCTATAAGCTATTGTGTCATTTCTTTTTATACCAAGCACTTTGACGTTCTCTTTGGCAATTAGCCTTTTCACCTCCCAAAGTGATCACATGCCATTTCTCCGTACAACAGTTGATAAGAATAAGGTTATCTTATCTGCTAGAGTAAAGTAGTACATGTATCTTGATTCAAGGTACCACTTACCTACAGTGACTATTAATTAGGAGTTGTTGAGTAACAAGAGAGCGGAATCGCTTATAAGATAAGTTTCATCAGCAATGGAAGCCTAATGGCTAAACTCATTCATACCTTGAAAAACAGAACAGAGAAATGAAACTAACGCGATATCTCGTTAAAAATAACGACGGATTTCAACGCGTGTCGTTCACATTGAGTAATAATTTCTCACACAGGAAAAGCGCGCGCTCTTCCCACGGTTTTATTTCATCGGTGATGACGATTTACTAGAGATTCTTGGTCAAGCTACCAACCCACTAGTGATTCAGTCGCACCTGAAGAAACTCTTCGCAGGGATACACAGTGTTGTGTTTGATGATGGATGTAAGACCATTATGGCCATGAAGTCCCTGGATGGGGAAGTTGTCCCTCTCAAGAGGCCAGTCACAATAACTCCAGAGGTTGAGGTGAGTAGTAGTGGTGTGGTTTCCAATGAGAGCTTGAGATAAGTTTTTTTATACTGAGTTTCGAAAGTAATGCAGGACTGCATTTTTTTTTTGCTACCCTTCAATGATTAGCCTGGTAACCTTTCGCCATCTCTTCACTCAATCAGATGCAAAACTAAAGCTAAACTGAAGTAAACACAGCAACTACTCAGAACAAAGGTGAACGTCATTATTAGCTAATGAGAACTCAAGATAAAAACAGGCAAACTGTTTAAAGTGCAGGAATGCGCGAGTGATTATTTCGTGACAATTTGTAGTTTTGCATCTGTTTGCTTGTGTAGATGATGCGAGATTTCTTCTTATCACAATGCAATGCAAAAGTCTGGACTGTTTTAATTATCCTCCACCGTTGTTGTTGATGTTTTTTTTTTCATTGATAGGTTTGGCTCGGTGATCTTGCTACTGAAATGAAAGACACACTGAAAAAGCTGGTGGTTGATTGTTTAAATGCCAGCAGGAAAGGAGGATCGAGTGGTGGAGTTGACCCTTCCAAGTTCCCCTCACAGGTGTGGAAGTTTTTTTTCTATATTCTTACGCATCTAAGGTTCGGTTCATGGCTGGTGTGATGAGGCGTCTCGTGTCAGCAAGAAATGGTCTCCGTAAAGATATTTGATGATAGGAAGTAGCCGCCTTTAACTAGGCACTACTACGACTTTAATCGTTCTTTTCCTGAGAAGATTTTATACACAGAATATGATTATTTCATGCGCTGTGTGTAATTCGAAGTTTTTCAGGAATTTATTCTTGGTCAGCAACTCTTCAGTTTTGACTTGAGTTGTCAGATAACGGTTTGTACAACAATTTTGCCAAGATATTCTTAACAGTTATCAGTTATTGATAGTAGTATTATTATAATTGTTATTATCATTATTATCTTATTTCGCACAGATACTATGCCTTGCTGAACAAATTCAGTTCACAGACCGCTGCGAGGCGGCCATCAAAAGCAACTCCCTCCAAGAGTTTCAGATCGAGATGGAGTCCCAACTGGAATCTTACACAAACACTGAGATCGGAGGAGGGAACTCATCTGACTCGGAATCTCGTGTTTTGGAACTCAAGCTGAAGGCGCTGATCCTGGATACGATTCACGCCATTGACGTGGTACAGCAGTTGATCAAGCACGGAGTCAAGTCACTGGACGACTGGATTTGGCAGAAGCAACTTAGATTTTACATGCAGAAACAAAGGGGTCTGTTGAGCAACGAAAGTTGTCATTGGTTCTCTCACAATTGTGAAACAAAGAAACTTCTGAGTCCCACACGAGGGATTGAATCCCACGCATTTGGCACTTCAATGCTCTACCACAGGACGCTCTTGTCACCGCTTATCCAAGCGGTATATAGGAAGCCTGTGGTGTATATAACCTAGAAATCGCCCTGCTTACCAGCGAGTTCTCTGAAGTTCAGTGGGGGACTCCGATGTTTTTCTTTTTCCCAAGCTAGTTAGCTAACAATTTACCATTTTTCTTTCTATGCTCACACATAAGAGTTTGATTAGCTTTAGTTGCATGTCTTTTCTTATGCACGCGAAAGATAGGTAGGGCGGTTCGCAGACAAGGGAGACTGTTTCGGTTATGCCACGATATTTCGAGTCACTATTTCTAGGATTTTTCTCGTGATAATTTTTGGATGAAAGGTTTAAGCTAGTATAGTAAGTTAAGAAATGATTGACGAAGTAACGGCTATCTTTAAATACGCTAAGTTTTGATAGCGAAAAAGAGATTAACAGAGACGCGTTGTTTTCAATCTTCATATTCTTGATTTTTCCTTTTAGTTTGGTGGACTTGTTGCACACATGATTCTTAGAGTTAATTTTGAATAATTATTTTACTTCGCAGAAATCTGTTTGATTCGAATGTGTGATGCCGAATTCTACTACACTTACGAATATCAAGGAAATGCGGCCAAACTTGTGCACACTCCTCTCACGGACAAGTGTTACCTAACTCTCACCCAGGGCATGCACATGGGGCTTGGTGGAAACCCATATGGGCCGGCAGGAACCGGGAAGACTGAGTCAGTTAAAGCTCTGGGAGGCTTGTTTGGCCGGCAGGTTCTTGTTTTCAACTGTGATGAGGTAAGAAAATCAAACGCTTCAGCGATCCTGCCATTTATGTTTAACCTCTAACTCCCATGAATGACCAAGACAAAATTTCTCCTCACAAATCAACTTAATATGAAGCAGACGAGTGATGAGAATAAAGAAAAATATTAACCAAGGGATTTTTAGTTGATCCAATACCAAATTCTCCAAACTAAAATCACGAGAACTACAGTTTGTTTATCACAGACAGTAAGGAGAATTACTGATGAGATCTTGGGAGTTATAGGCTTAAGCCTCCTCGTGCAAGTGCGAGTTCTCTTAAGCTGAGTTTCAAGAGCATCTGAGCTGAAATCGATGCTGGCTGTAGTTAGAATCTTAACAAGAGAATCATTCAAATTTTACTTGTTCCATTATCGTGATAGATGTTTACTATTTATCTTACCTTAAAAAATGCATGCTTTCTGATGAGCAGAGTTCAATAATTACTCCATGTCTTTGTTTTTGTAATTTGCATTGTTTAATTGATAATTCAACTTGTACATTAAGGGTATTGATGTCAAATCCATGGGTCGTATCTTCATCGGGCTGGTGAAATGCGGAGCGTGGGGCTGTTTTGATGAGTTTAATCGTCTGGAGGAAGCCGTGTTGTCTGCTGTGTCTATGCAGATTCAGACCATACAAGCTGCGCTCAAGAGTAAACTGTCCTCCACTGAGCTGCTCGGGAGACAGGTACAGTATGTTTGGATTTGTAAAGCTGGATTTCTTCTACACTTGGGTGCTGAAGTGGATTTCATTTGGCTTGTTGTGTTTTTAGAGTTAATGCAACAGTTTTATCCAATTAATCGTTCTTTCACGATGTATTTATTTTTCAGTTGGAGCTCTCGTGGGCACTCTCCTGCAAACACTTCGTGTTTACTCTTGTTCACTTGCTCTTTTTTTTTTCCTTTTCCGATGGCGCGGTCCGCCTACGCCAGTTTCAACTGTATTTTGTTCATTATTTTCATTTCATTTAAAGGAAATTTTCAAACCGAAATTACACCTAAGCGCAAGATGCGTCCTCCACACGGCGCACACCAGTAAAATGATGAAATCAATTGCTAAATATCGTTTGAAATGCGTTCTCTCTCTCTCTCTATGCATTATAATGTGTTAGCTCTTGGGGATAAACCTGATATTAAACTATATTTCCCAGCGTTTCCAACTTACCACACTAATCACACAATGAACTCTGTTTTTGCGAACTACAAGGTCGTAAATATATAACGTCTACTTTATCTATTTTTCACCTGTAATGCTTAAAGCAATTTACATGATCTTTACTTTGGGTTTTCTTTATTGTAGGTTGAGTTAGATCCTAATTCAGGGATCTTCATCACTCTAAACCCGGCGGGTAAAGGCTACGGGGGACGTCAGAAACTTCCAGATAATCTGAAGCAGTTATTCCGTCCTGTGGCCATGTCTCGACCCGACAACGAACTGATTGCTGAAGTAATCATGTTCTCAGAAGGGTTTAAGGAAGCCAAGAGCTTAGGGAGAAAACTGGTGGCCATTTTCAATTTATCAAAGTATGATAGTACACTGATAAGTGTTTAATGTTGAACTTAATCCGGAAATGCATTGTGTTTTCTTCGCTTCGCCCTGTGATTGGTCTGGAAAACTCGTGCTACCTTGTTACTGAGCCAGATTAAAAACTAAAACCAATGGCGGCTTGCTCAGTCACGTGCTCGCACTGATATGCCTGTTTGCTTGCATTGACTTTAATTTTAATTTAATAATTCTGTTACTTTCTGTTTGTTCTGATGAACTCGAATGAGAGAAGTGGGAGAATTGACGATAACGTAATTCGAACTGAAAGAGTTTTTGTCCTTTGATTTTTCAGGGAACTGTTATCCCAACAGCAACATTATGATTGGGGGTTGCGTGCACTGAAGACTGTTCTGAGGGGATGCGGAAACCTGTTACAGTCGCACAAACAGACGAACGGACAAGGTAGGGCTGAGTACACCCCGAACAGAGGCTAAGGAAAATAGAACAATTGTAATCACTTGTTTAGTTACTTTTTATGTTCCTCCTTGTAATTTCATTTTTAAGAGGAAACAGAGCTTCGGACCCGGGTATAAATTTCAATTTTTTAGTAAGGACCAATGTGAAGCTCCATTAACGCGGTCTCAGAATCTTTCTCTTTTGCAAAAGCTTGACTGAAAGGAAGTAAGACTAATTGTTGTTAACACGATTCGTGCGCTAAAGGATATTCGTGCTCAAGAATGTATCCTTCCTCAAAGAAACTAGCCGCACTTAGCGATGGCAAAGTAAAACTACCTATCCCAGCAAAGTATTTTTGAAAGATAGGTAAAAGTCACTGCATTTCCCAGGAATGCGGCGATGGAGAGAAATGTGCAGGGCGACCAAAAATACAGCTGACTGTATCCAAATGCGGTGGCAGTTACGCTCTAAGTGTCTCCATCTCTTCCGATTACGTGCAGCATTTTTTCATTAGTAGCATTAGGTTATTAACATTACAGAAGCTTTGTGTCTGGGCGGATATGCATTCGATAATACAATCAGCTGATTTTTTATCTAAACAGCCCTCCGTGAACCAGCAAAGAATACGACATCCTTAAAATCAGACCTACAAATGTAACCCCAAACTTTCTATACCTCATTTTTATTCCATTCAGAGAAACGTTCGAAAATAAACTAGACTTATGGTGATGAAATGAGCTTCATTATTCATGGAAATACCACAAACTGATGCCAGCGTTTACAACGATGCTCTCAAGTTATCAGTTTCAATTTTTGTTTTGATATTGTTTGTGTGAAACATTGTAGTGTATTTTGCTGTGGGTTTAAAATGACTGAGAGGTTCTTTATACGTGTAGTTAAAAAAGTCTTTTGAAATTGCCTTGAAAACTGCTTTGACCTTACTTGTTGCTCACTTTTAGTGGTACAAATTATACTTACTCCTGTGTTGAATGTTTTTACAAACTTCAAATATACTATGAAACATAAATCGCAGTATGTTGTCGTCGAATGAAAATTTGTCGATCCGCACACATCACACAATCTGAAATGTTCTTAGAATGCAAATAACAATGCCTGCCTTTAAACGACTTTTTATTCATTACAATCATAGCAAAATGTTGAATATTATGATATTGATATATTCTTTCTTCAAACTGTTTGCATCAATTTTTTTAACAGCTTATTTGGAATTTTTTCTTAATTTGCTGTTTATATATTTTTTTTACGATTGACGTTAACTTGCGTGTTGTCATAAACTTCGAAACTTGTATTGATTTGTCGATTGATTCGTTTAATTAATTCGTCCTGCTGTAACAAAATTGACCTCGTATCGTAAAACCTACCAACACAAGTCTTCGCTTCGAAAAAGGACTGATCAAAGTCTAATGTACATGCGATTATTCTTGTTAAATTTCACGTGTCCATCATCAACAAATTACTGTACAAACAAAACAAGTATCTGGTTTCAAAAGGTAACGAAATTTTTCTTGCGTGGGGCGTCTCCATCTTTCCGACACGTATTCCGTTGCAATCGATGATACCCTAGTTTGTAAAAACATCTGCGTTGGGTGTACTAGAATTGCCTTTAATGTCTCTCAGCCTTTATCTGTCAGAAGTGATCTACTGAGGATGTTACTTCTTAAAATTTTCAATACATTCCTTAGTAAATGTGTGATAATAATGGACATTGCAAAGTGTTCTGCAGGAGATGCGAAGGAGCGACGAAATTCTGTCCCGCTAACTTAGTTGGAATTCGAACACTGAGCCATTTCTTCCCTGTAGACAGCGCACGAGTTCAATTTGGCTCACGGCAGCTACACAACTGTCTAATCGCGTCCTTCATTGCTTGTTTTACATCTCTGATCTTCCAGCAGTAAAGAATTGGGTTCAGCGACGAGTTAAGGTAAACAAGCGACAAGACAGTGTACTCAAACATTTCAGGAATAACGGCTGGTTCTTTTATGAACATCATGAAATACACGCTAAAGGGAAGATAGCAGGCAAATAATCCTAGCTGTACCCATGCTATGGTGGAGACTGTTCTCTTGTATCGTGCTAAATTTAATGCGGTTGCTACGAAGCCGTTTGTCGCTGGATGTTGTTGAACATGGCCCTGTACATGCAGTAACTGGTATCGGAGACGAAAATAGATCTTGATGTAAGAAAAGGCGGAGATAACGAGAGAAACCAACATCATGGCAAGGTATATGGATTGAGGTACTCGATCTATAACAAAAACCGAGCCGAGAAACGCAAAATTAAAAAACAAAAAAGAAACAAGAGCCGCTTGGACCCGCCTTTATGTAACAACTTGTCTGTATCTTAGCCCTAAATACAGTGCGAGAAGTCTGTCCACACTTATTGCAGTTGCTGTCAGGAGAGATAGTCCACACAAGAAGCACATGGAGGTTATCTGAATAACGACCGATACGCTCAAGTTGAAATATAATTCGTGGCTCAGAAGATTATATACGAACAGCGGTTGTGAAATGAGTCCAACGCAAAGATCAGTAAACGCCAGACATCGAAACATCAGTTTTGTTGGAGGAAAAATCGAAGATACCTTACAAAAAGAAATTAGGATCAGAAAATTGCCAAGCGATGCAGTGATGGAGAAAAATAGGTTTAGTACAACGAGAGCCGCAACCACCTCTACTTGTAGCAGGGAGGTTTCCAATGAAAAGTTTCCCTCCATAGCAGTTTTATTCGTCATTTTCCTAGAGCGATGTTAAGCTGGTTTGAAGCAAAGAAGGCGCGTCTAAAGTCTTCCAAGCGTGACCGCCTCATCTGATTATGCGAAATTAACAGCGGATCCTTTACACTGATCTTTTTCTTCGCTGCGTTAATGGATATTTTATTATGTCGAGTAAATCAGCGACGACGCATGGGTTTTTTCTGATTGACTTTAAGAACTTTCAGCTTTTACTTCTGTCAGGTTTGTCAGCGAAATTTTTTATGTTCAATCAAGTGACAAATTGGCAAGTCACCTTGAAGTATGGTCGGTGATTAAAAGCATGTATTCAAGAGAGCAACATGCTCCGAACCTAATTTGATCCTCATCCCTTGTGGACAGATGGCTAAAAATCAGCTTTTGTCCTTCACTGCTTGTTTCGCCTCTCTGATCTTCCAGCAATAAAGATTGGGCACACAGAGAATTTAAATTACCAAGGTTTAAGAAAACTCGCAAAACAATTACAGAAGTATTCCCTGTAAATGTCAGGAGCTTCCTTTCAAATACGCGAAAGGGAAGATAGCGAGCAAATGATGCGAACAGTATCCATTTTTTAAGGGAAACTCTTTTTTTGTACCGTGCCACGTCCAAAGTAGTCTCTTAAGGCTGTTCTCTCTGTGGCCCTACAAACGCAATATTTGAAGGTAGAGACCAACATAAATCCTTGTATTAGAAAAGACGAGATAAACAGAGAGTACAATATTACGAGGTGATATCAATATGAGAACAAGATATCTGAATGTCTATTTGAAATAAAGAAGGAACCAACGAATTGAGGTTAAAAATTTAGGTGCTCAAGATAAATCCTCGAATCCGCCTTTATTTGACAGCGATCGTGTGAAAACAAGTTTTGCCTTCACAAATGAACGGACGGACGGGGACAACTCTTAAAAACTCTTTCTGGGTAAAGGCTTTCCTTGGGGGCACTCGCTGGCTGCGGGAAGGTAACCGGAATCTATTACGGTTGCTGACTATCCTTGAGAGAATGACTAACGACAACAGGGTTGGCTCCAACGTAGATTTATTCTGCAAGCTCGACTACAATTTTGACCAGAACGGACCTGGCCAGGGCTGGTTCAACCCTGCTCTACTCCCTTCTCTTTTCCTCCCACTAAGCTTTACAGAACAGTCCTATTTAAGCTTAACGTACATAGATAACGTAATGCCATGAATAATCTAACGAATCATGTAATCTAATACACTATTGGCTAAGTAGGAATTTCGCCTTTTGCAACATTAATTACTTTTAAAGAGTTCCGGTGGATAACAGTTACACAAAAAGACATGACAGGTGGCTGTTACAGTTTAACACTAACAACAACTGTTTACGGGTGACTGAAGGAGAACTGGTAGCGTTTACGCTTTGCTGAACTAAGTTTTCTACGTGGAATATTGTATTTTTGAAGCGTAAGCATGAAAGAACTCGATAACTAAAAATCACTAAAAATCCTATCGTTACAATCGGCAATTCGTTTGATGGCATGTTTTAATGAACATCACTTTAGTTGTCAAACAGCCTTCTAACTTTGACTGTGACACCGCTTTTTTATTAAACAGCACTTTGATTGTTAAAAAGCCATCTATCAAAATTTGCCAGAGGGTTCTATTTGGGTACAATTAGGCTTTCAAATATATGGCGGCTTTTTTGTTATTTCTGTCAAAATTTCGAAATGCACAGATGGAAAATCACACTTACATATGTGCATGTGACGATTCCGATTCTTGCGTTTAATTTGGTAAGAGCAATTATGTAGGAAGCGTCACATGAAAAAAGCTTCTTCTTTGACCCTCCGTCTATTCATAACTTAAAAATCTTTTAACTCACCTGTCACTTACACATTACATACCTGTAAAATGCCCCGAGTTACATGCAAACTTCAATGAAGCAGCTAGGTTAAGAAAGATCGCAATTCTCTTAAAGGAAGCTGCCTGCTTAAAAAAAAAGCTTGTGTAATTGTCATGAAAACTGTTTCACACCTTTCTTGGTGAGCCCCCTTTTTTGCATTACTAAGCCGCTATCGAAAAATTATAACGATCGATCGAAAAATACCCTAAATATCGAATTTTAGTCAAGCTGTGTCGATTTGCATTTAGTACGTTAAAATGTTATTAAAATGCAAATAAAAGAGCCTGTTTGTTTTTTTGTTAGTTTGTTTGGAGACTTTTTGTATGTAATAATCATCATGTTGAATATTCTAATATTAATTTTTTGGTCCAGTTATACTTCTACAGTTGTCTTTATCCGTCGTTTATACGATATTAAAAACCAAATTCCAAATATTTTGAACGAAGGTTTACACCCTGCACGACATTTTAAACACGTTCCACATTAAATTCTTTCCATTTGTTCGTTATTTCAGAATTTCGCTCTTTTTCATCCGCGCCATTATGTTTTAATTCTCCTATTTCAGTGAATGCTAAGGTGGAGGCTCGCTTAGTTGTTCAAGCCCTCCGTGTGAACACACTGTCCAAGCTGACGTTCGCAGATTCCAAGAGGTTTGACTCCCTTGTTCGAGATATCTTCCCTGGTGTGGACTTCAAAGGCGTCGAGTATGCTGAATTGGCGGAGGCACTGAGAACCTCAGCTCAGGAATCCAACTTGATGGTCATGGAAACTCAGGTGATCATTGCCGAGAATTACGGCTAACTATAAATAAAGGGTAATTTAGTATTATCAACTGAGTTGATAACATAAATTGGCCACCGTAAAGAGTTTAAAAGCTGACGTTTCGAGCGTTAGCCCTTCGTCAGATCAGCTTTTAAACTCTTTAAGGTATAGCCAATTTACGTTATCAACTCAGTTGATAATGCTAAATACCCTGTTAGACTCTCCCATCAACGCAGCACCATGGTTTCTTTAGAAATTTACCCCTTCATTAACCATAAATACACTGGGCATGAATGTAGTTACCTTTTGAAACAAACTTACATTAGGCAGATATTACAAGATAATCATTTCAAACTAATAGTTGATGTGAGGGGTGTACCTTAACATTGAGTCGAATAATTTTCACTTGAGCGTCGAAAGTAATCTCAGATTGCATTAGTCTTCACATTTTTTTTTTCGCTCTGTGATTGGTCATGAAGACTCGCGCCATCCTCTCAACCAATCAGATACGAAACTGGAACCAATCGTGACTCGGTCACACTTGTTTTCCCGCGCTCCAGGCAGTTTGCGTGATTTTACTTTGTCAGAATTCTCGTTGTTTTTGTTCTGCTTGGCCGTTGTGTTTACTTGGTTTTGGTACTGCAATATGCTATGGCGAATTGCTAATAAGAATGCAACAGAGAGCTGGAATATCGCTATATCTCCAGGCATTTCTTAACACTAGGTGGATATATTTATTTACCCAGGTGAAGAAAGCACTCGAATTGTACGAGCAGCTTCGTCAGAGGATGGGTGTTGTGGTCATTGGTCCCTCGGGCTCAGGAAAAAGCACCATCTGGAAGCTGCTACGCCTTGCCCTTGGTAAAGTGGGCCAGACAGTGAAGCACTACACCATGAACCCGAAAGCGATGCCGCGAACTCAGGTTGATGTTATGTTAAAGCGTAACTTACTTTCGAACAACAATGTTGCGTTCTTAGTCGTGGTTAAGTAATCTTTGGTCCCCGTTCTCCCTTACCTACTTGTTCCCTTGCTTCCCCAATATTTGGTATCCAATGCCTGGTCTTAATCGTGGTCAAGTAATCTTTGTTCCCCGCACTCCTTTACCACCCAATGCCTGGTTAAGTAATCTTTGGTCCCCGCTCTCCCTTACTCACTTGTTCCCTTGCTTCCCCAACACCTGGTATGAAGGCTATTCTTTAAATTCCACAAATCTGGTTGTTTTTATAGAGGGAAGGAGACAGGAAACTTCGTAAAGTTTAAGATTTAGGTCTAGTACTTTGACGCTTTGTGTGTTTTGGTCTTTATCAACGTCTGGAAACAGGTTTTTTTTTAAAAAATCCTTAATATAATGCATTTAAAAGCGCAGCAATAGGCCTGATCGTACAATATTTTAGATAGCTTGCTAATTTCGTCGTCATGCAAAAAAGCTAACGTAAACAAGTAAACTTTGAGGGTTAATTTTTTTACGTTTGTTGTTGTTTTTTTGGTTTGTTACTGTATGCAAATAGACACTGCAGTTAAGACAACTGTTTGCTTTGTGTCATAACCAGAAATTTGCATATCTTATTCCACCAACAGCTTCTAGGACAGATTGACATGGACACTCGCGAGTGGTCGGACGGAGTTCTAACGAATGCTGCCCGGCAAGTCGTTCGTGAACCAATCGATATCCAGTCGTGGATCGTCTGTGACGGTGACATTGATCCGGAATGGATCGAATCGCTGAACTCAGTTCTGGATGACAACAGATTGCTGACAATGCCCTCCGGTGAAAGGATTCAGTTTGGTCCGAATGTGAACTTCCTTTTTGAGTCTCATGACCTGAGTTGTGCGTCACCTGCTACGATTTCGCGTATGGGGATGATATTTTTAAGGTAAAGCAGTTCGAGTGGGTATAGAACTGTCGCCCAGCTTTAGTGAATACCGTATAAATTTAATGAGAAAACATTTTCATTTTCTCCTGATAGTGATGAAGACACCGACGTCAAAGCTCTGGTCAAATCTTGGCTCCAGAGCCAACCCGAGGAGGATCGTCGCATGTTGGAAGCCTTCTTAGAAGATCATTTTTACAAGGCATTGGATTGGGTGCTAAAACAGAACGAGTTTGTAGTGGAGACAAGCTTGGTTGGCGTGGTCATGAATGGCCTGTCCCACATGCATGGCGTCAAGGTGAAGTCAGAGTTCGCCTGCAGTTTGATCAGAGGATTGGGAGGCAACCTGTCTTCATCTGCCAAGACTGCATTCGCTAAGGAGGTGACTTATTATGTGTCTGTGATTTCTAAAATGATAGAGATACTGTGGGAATGGTTGATGTCTGATTTCCACTATTACTCCGCTTTGTTCAAGTGAATGTGACCTCAATTATCTGCAGGGCGAAGTCTTTCACTTATGCATTATAGCTTTAAATGAACAGATTGATGATTCGAGTCTAAAAGTTCTTGGTTATATTAAGACTATACGGTACCTCGGTAGTGCATTTCATAACATATGTTTGCGTAAGAATCTTTGTGATCTCTGTTCGCTTGATGGTTGGTCCCTTTTGGAAACCAAAACCAGTGATAGATATTTTTTGCTCAAAGATTCCATTGTTGTTGGTTGCTCGCAAAAACTCCCTTTGTGTTATTTAATGCCATTATGTTTTTGTGTGGCTGAAAATATTTTTTGACAGGTGTTTCATTGGACTCATGAGATGCCGCCGGATCAGAAGAGGCCGTTGGACACATATTATGATAACGACAGAGGAAGACTGGCTTCATATCAGTTGGAGGTGAGTTGGTGCCAGTATTTACCTTGTCTCAGCGACTAAGAAGGAAATTGACAATGTTGTGGAGTAGAACGCTATGGTAAAGTCACATATTCGAAGCTTATAGCTCTAGGCACCAGTTTTTCAAATGACGGATAGTGCTAACCAAAGGCTATCTAGCGGACAAGAGTTAATGAAACGTACTACGCTATTCCCAGGATAGAGATTTATCTAGTGAATAGCGTTATCCACCCTTCGAATATCCGGGGCCTTCTCAAGCAATGTGACGGCAGTCTTCCAAGCGTCTTCCTTTGATATTTGGATCGGATAAATTCAAGGACAGAACCAGAAATGTGGTGACCAATCGTTTGCAATAGCTCTTTTTTTTTCTTACTTTCTTTTATTATCTCTTTAAATTCGGCCACGACATTCCGCACTGATCTATTAATCTGTCTCCTTCCATACCAGGTCCCAGACTCTCTCAGTGTAAACGAACTAAATCAAAACTCAGGTCTTTTGCCAGTAATTCAGACCGCGGACATCAAGAGAGGTCTGGACATGTTTTCTCCTTGGCTTCACCCAGATCAAAAGAAGCCTTTCCTGTTAGTCGGTCCGGAAGGGTGTGGCAAGGAGTAAGTCTCTGTTCTTGTTGTTTTTGTCGCTGCTGCAAGTGTCCCTGCTTATTTGTGCCCAGATACAGAGGGGCACTAACTGGCGAGCACTAATTCCGCTCGTGTGGACGTTGTTTCGAAGACTCACTCTAATGACAAGATCATATACTATAAACTTATTTCTTTCCCATGTAGGTTTCAAAATCTTTTAAGGCTTTTTCACTTTGCGTAATTGTGCCCTGATGCAGAAGAGCACTAATTGGCGAGCACTATTTCAGCTCTTGTGTATGCTGTTTCGAAGAAACATGGGTTTGGAAGACCCATTCTAATGGAAAAATCATATTCTATAAAATTTAATTCACTTTGCGTCTTTGGTTCGTTAATGTCTAGGCTTCTGTTAAGGCACTGTTTTGAGCAACTTCGCTCGACCCAAGTCGCTGTGGTGCATTGCAGTGCCCAGACCTCTCCCATGCATGTTCTCCAGAAGCTTCAACAGTGCTGTATGGTGATTAGTTCCAATACTGGCCGAGTGTACAGACCAAAGGACTGCGAGAGACTGGTACTCTACCTCAAGGACCTCAACCTGCCAAAACCGGACAAGTGGGGAACTAGTCAGCTCATTGCCTTTTTACAGCAGGTAAAAACAGTTTTGACAACAATCTAACGGTAATTTATGATGGAAGTGGAAGTGATGTAGAATCCTATTCTAACTACATTTTGCAGCTTTTATGCAGGAATATTATTGTGCTTCAAATTCAAGCTAAACTTTGTAGCCCTCGAGTACTTCTTAAGCATACTACACTTACTGCTACTACTGTGGCATTAATTTTTGCAATGAACGCATTACAATTCTATAGGTCCTGACCTACAAGGGATTCTATGACTCGAATCTTGAATGGGTTGGTCTTGAAGGTGTTCAGATTGTGGCATCCATGAGCGCTGGGACAGGCATGGGGAGACACCAGCTGACAACCAGATTTACATCCATCGTTGGTGTATGTTCCATAGGGTAAGAATGATAAAATATTGTCTCTCCGGTCTGTGCGAGGACTAGTAGTATGGTTAATGTTCCCTTGGAAAGTCACTCCGGTTGGAAGTTGCTTGGGTAAATAAGACAGAAAAAATGAATTGAAATTTTAAGAAACATGAAAATTCTTAGCCACTTTCTAATAATTTTTTTCCTAAATGGCATCGTCTCACCTTTTAAGTTATGTTCTTGTGCAGCAATGAAATGGGTTAAGTGTTTTAGAAGAATGATATTGGGTCGCTTGTCTACACTACCTTTAGAAAACACAAGAGTATCCTCCATAGAAACTAAACCTACCATTATTCGAAGCGTTTTTTTTCTTACAGAGCTGAAACAATATGATTGCCCTTTGAAAGCTTAAAATGTCTGAACAAACCTGTTGAGCAATTAAAGATGATTAATGTATCTGAGCTATAAACAGATTAAATAAAGCTTAGGGGTCATTCTAGTCTTTAAGAGAGGAGTGAGAAACTTCGCTGTACTCCGTGTGGTTTCTATGTGTTATTTTGACAGGTCAGGAGAAATGTTTTTTAGAATATTTGCCTTCCGCTATGTTAATCCCCAATTACTCCTCTCTTCTGTAGCTATGCTGATCGAGATCAACTGCAAGCAATCTACAGTGCATACCTTCAGCCCGTGTTAAGTTCATCCCTGAAGTCCCATCCAGTGTGGGGTGCGGTGAAAAATGTCCACACTTTGGCCGGCTCAATGGTTTCTGTGTACGAACAGGTCAGTGGCTAGCCTTAAAACAAAATCAAAAGAAGTAGGAAGGGATGATTCAAACGTTTTTGTCGGTTAGTTTTTAACTGAAACATATTTAGCTCTTGTTTACAGCTGGCAGTGTCAAGGTTACCGTATAATCGAACGAAAAATTGATCACTGACTCTGTACATTTATTTCATCCAAAAGGACGTTAGACCGATATCTGTTACTCTCAAAATGAAAGCCAGACAACCAGATAGAAGTTCAGTTGTTGTCGTTTCCCGTTCGCGTAAACGTAAAGTTGCTTCTTAGTTTCTCTGCTTTAAGAGGTTGAAATAGTAAAGACAGTGTCTCTCAAATAGGAAGGCATTTAAAGGTGAGTTTGTAAATGAACCTCAAATATTTTCCTTGTACATTGTTTTACGGATAACGAATTGTACACGAAAATTTTGGACAACTGTGTTGGGTTAAAAACTCCTAAAAAATAAATGCGTCTCCCTTGATTTTCTAGTGTAAGTTTAAGTCGTGACTTAGGAATTGCACGAAAAGTTTCACGGTCGGGAAACAAATATATGTGAAATGTAAGTAATGGTTAAACCTCCCTTTGTTGTTTTGTTGGTTTCCTTAAACTTTAATTATTCACTTGATTTTCTCAGGTTCGCTCCAAGTTTACTGTTGACGACTTTTCTCACTACCTGTTCACCCCGCGTGATCTGACTAATTGGATCCAAGGTCTTTTGCGGTACAATCTGGACTCAGGATCTGGGGATAGCTCCACTCAGCATCTCTTGGAAATCTGGGCTTACGAGGCACGTCGTCTTTTCAGGGACAGACTTGTAGGAAAACAAGGCCTAGATAAATTCGACAGGTAAAATCAGTTTGGGAAGTATTAGTTTGATGATTTATTTCTTTATCTATCCCAAAAAGTTGCTTTATCTATCCCAAATCGTAGCGAAGGGTTATCACAACAGGGATGGGGATAAGATGGGGCACTACAGGCTGGCAAAAAGGGAAAAAGCACCGCAAGCGTTTTCCATCCTTCTGGTATATCTAAAGATTTCAAAACAATTTTATCAGAGCTTCATGTCAATGCGCGAATTGCGTTTTGCTAGAATTGATTACGGAACTCAATGACTCCGATCATTCCATTATCAATGAATTACTAATTAAAATAAACAAAGAGGGTCCAATGAAACTTTTTGACAAAATTTGGGATTAATTTAGCATTCTAGCCTCCCAACTGCGTGCTGATTGGTCTGTTACTCTTGATCGCCTTGACAACAAGTATTATGTCACATGGGGTAGCAGTCTCACTTCTGCATCAGCACCCTCAAGTAATGCCGGGAAAGAGGGTGAAGCGCCTGTAGCCACGACGTCTGGGGGCTCACTTCCGCCTCAAGGAAAGATGCTCGGGAAACTGGATCCGAAGGACTTAGTGCAAGTAATCAGCAAAGGAATGAAGACCTATGGTATGTTCAGATGCATTGCAATATTTATATCATCGTTGGTGTTGTTGGTTTTTAAACTCTAACTTTTAACTTTTCATTTACTGAAGATTGTTAGAAATGAAAGAAGTCATCAAAATACTGCTTGATACGTTAGCTATCATCTGGGTTGTGTCCAACGTAAGTTGCACCACAGTCCTATCAATAAAAATCGCAACAAATGAATATTCTTCTCAATGGATTTTTAATCTTGATTGTATCCCGTGGAAGTCCTTGTTACTTTGGGTAATACACAAATTTTACTTTGGGTTTGTTCATGCAGCGCGTGAAAACCGTGAGCTAGACATCCTCATTTTCAAAGAAGTCCTGGAAAACATCGCTCGTGTCGATCGCACACTCACCAAACCTGGCGGCTCGCTTCTCATGGCTGGTCGAAGTGGTGTTGGAAGGAGAACAGCGGTTGCTCTGGTTGCTCACATGCACAACGTTCAACTATTTACACCCAAAGTATCCAGAGCTTATGGACTGAAACAGTTCAAGACTGACCTTAAGTCGGTAAGGAAGATCTTTGCCTGAGAGATGTCGCCCAGATCGAATTTTTTAAAAAGTCTCTCTATGATGAACAATGAACAAACAGAGAGAAAAATATAATCTTGTTGAGATAAAGTACAACTTAGTATGAAATTGGTATAGTCTGGAAAGGATCTCAAGTAATTGAAGACATCTGGAGATTTCCGATCACTTTTGATGGTCGCCGCGCACAGCCGAACACTTCTTATTTTTTTTGAAATGTTATTTTTATGCCAGCAGATATTTCCCAACACTTTCACCAAAAATTATTGATGAGCACTTGAATCGTAAAATATGTCAATTAAAGCCCCTATGCCGTTCATACTTGATGACCTTCCCCCATGAAATTTATTATAAGTGTCACTTTCATTATTAATTTTCTGAAAATAAAAGTAAAAAATGACCCTTTTTCAATTGCAGGTCATGCAGCTGTCTGGTATCGACGGAGAACAAGTAGTTCTTCTCCTGGAAGATCATCAGGTCGACCCATCATACCTAGAGCTTATCAACAGTCTACTCAGTGCAGGTGAAGTTCCCGGTCTCTACACTCCTGAGGAGTTGGAACCCCTGTTGGGTCCCCTTCGGGATCTTGCGTCACAAGATGGTTTTCGTGGCACGCTTGTCTCGTACTTTGCTTCCCGTGTGCGAAGGAATTTGCACGTTGTGTTAATCATGGATTCGTCTTCCAAGAATTTCACGGCTAACTGCGAGTCCAATCCAGCGTTCTACAAGAACTGCTCGTTCCAGTGGATGGAACGTTGGAGTAAAGAGAGCATGGCACAAAGTAAGTGATTTTTTAAACAGATTTTAAATGTCCCCTTTCTCAGGTGTATTCTGTGGCCCCTCACTGAAAAATCTAGCCTGGTATACAGTCTGAAATTATACTAGTTACAATTTTTATCCTAGTCTTACGACTTACAGGAAAGGTTTGTGCACTTGCCCAATGAGTTATGAAGTGGAAGGTAGCTGATATTGACTTTCCTTGTCGTCGATACAAATTTTTATATATTTGTTCAGTGGTACCTTATTTTATCTGTGTGTCTTTGGCACATATCGCCCCTTTTTGGTGGTATGTTCGAATCTGTAACGACAATGACGCCTCTGCCGATTATTCCAGAAATAACGAAGAAACCAATAACAAAATATTGTAGGTGTCCTTTTTCTGTTCCCTTCATCCTTTCATGGTGCAAGATGAACCAAAATACAAATGCTAACTCCGAAAACGCATGGCATACAGCAGCACCCTAATCGTGGCTGACAAATCTTTCATATTTTACTTTATTAGTACCCGGGATGCTTCTCTCTGATGAAGGGCTGCGCAGTGATGAAGGTACTAAGGGTAAAGATGGCAAGTCTGGTGTTGAGGAGCTGGTGAAGAACTTCCTTCAAATTCACGAGTCGTGCAGTGATAAAGACGCAGCCCCAAGACGCTACATGACTTTCCTGAAGACTTACAAACGAGTTTATAACGAGAAGAAGGATGGAGTGGTGAAACGACAGCAGCATTTACAGGTATGATGGTATTTGGTTGGCATTGTAAATTTAGCCTTAAGTTCTTCATTTGGAATCTGCAATAATCTCTGCCGTCTCTTTCCTGATAGACTGTAATTTAAAGTGTTAATTATATTTCTATAAAGTGTTTCTAGTATCGGCGGCTCATTCTACGTTAAGTTTCATTAATAAAGTGAGTGGAAGATCGAAACAATGCGGCTCACTTAAATGCACTATTTTCTTTACGATGAAATACTGACTGAAGCACGCTCGTGGAATATCAAAGCTTATGAAGACTTTATCAAACAGTGTAGTGTTTTTTTTCGTACTTATAGGCTGGTGTGTCAAAGCTGACCGATGCTAAGGCGCTGGTGGATGATCTGAAACAGAAGGCAGGAGAACAGAGCCGACAGTTGGCTGACAAACAGGAAGAGGCTGATGCAGCGCTCAGGGAAATAACCGCCAGCATGCAGGTAAACATAGACATGAGTTTGAATGAAGAAATGTAAAGCGCGTTTTTCTGTTAATAATCAGCCATTTGTGACAATAGCGTAATGGATATTTGCAAACTTAAGATCTATGATACGTCTCCTCTTACCAAGATTTAAAAATTTGCTTTTTATTATCCTCTCAACAAAGCGTGCTAGCGAGTCCAAAAGTGAGATGGAGACGCTCAAACAAAAACAAGGGGAAGAGTCTCTTAAGCTGGAGAAAAGAAAGAAGGCCATCGAAATTGAGTTGTCTGAGATTGAACCGCTCGTCCAAGAAGCAAAGGATGCTGTTGGTGACATTAAACCTGAGTCACTCTCTGAGATACGCTCCTTACGCATGCCTCCAGATGTCATCCGGGACATCTTAGAGGCTGTGCAAAGACTGATGGGGATTTTTGACACATCCTGGGTCAGCATGAAAAGGTAAGATTAAGATTGAGATGTTAGAAGGATCTTCAATTTGCCTGTGCGTTTTGTTGTTGTTGTTGTTGTTGTTGTTGTTGTTATTGTTGTTGTTCCCACCATTTCTAGTGGTCGCTTATTCCTCCAAGTCTTAGATTGGAGTGACTTGACCAAATCAACAAACGTAAGCTTCCGCATACTCCATAATTGTTTCGAAAATTTCCATGTTTCACATAGCTAACCCCGCCTGATAATACTTTAGCGCGACTTAAATACCATTAAAGCAAGAAGTGTAAATTTGTTTTTCTACAGTTTCCTGGCCAAGCGTGGTGTTAAGGATGAAATCTGTTCGTTTGATGCTCGAAAAATCACTCCTGACATCAGAGCAAGTGTGGAAGAACTCCTGGAGAAAAATGCCAACTCATTTGATCCGAAGGTGAGAAAAAATATATTTTACCGTGAAATTACAAAAGTATTGACAATTTTCACTCCTGCTACGCTGTAGAGAGTTAGTTATGCACCTCTCTGAACTTCACTGCTGTTAACTAGCCCAAGCGGGACTTTGTGTTTGCAGGGATGCGAAGTTTTGAATTTGAGAAGTTGGCTATTTTGGAGGTATTTAGACTGACAATACAGAGAGAGGATTATACTCAAACTTGAGTATAAGAGTATTTTACAGTAAACTTTTTAAATTCTTCATCCTTCAGATTGCAAAGAGAGCCAGTGTGGCAGCTGCTCCATTGGCTGCCTGGGTGGTAGCTAACGTGAAGTTCTCTGTGGTCCTGGAGAAGATTGAACCGCTAGAAAACGAGCAGGCGCAACTGGAGAAGTATGTTATTGATATTTCACCCGGACTTTTATCAAAACATAGGCCTTGAAATGTAGATGGTGCTGATCTCTGTTTTGAATGGGGAACTAAAATGTGTTTCACTCACTCTTTTTGCTGACAACTGTTTTAGGGACAGTAGCTCAAGTATTTTCTCGTCGATTTTATCATTCACATCGTATTCTGACTTAGTTAAATTGTAGACACCTCTGTGGAATTCGCGTTGTCATTGTTCAATCTTTTTTGATAGAAATCTCGCCAAATCTCAACAAAGGCTGGTGAAGCTTGGCAATGCCTTGGACAAAGTAGATAGAGAAGTTGCCGAAATGCGTAAAAGGTGCTGTATGCCAAACTATATTATCAGTTAGTGATAGATAAAATATTGTCCACTCTCTCCTTTTCAATTTTTTTCCAAGACTTAATTCTGCTACAGCGCAACTAATCATGTTGTAGTGTTTTTTTAACTGAGCTCACGTTTTCATGTTGTGAAAGTGCTTGTTATTTCTTAAGTGCTTTCGATTAATTGTCGTGAAACAAAACCGACAGTAATTACAGCAACCTTTCCGAGGAAGAGTTGAAATCCTAGTGAACCAGAAAAAACGCCCTAAAGCACGACTAATTGCAAGTGAACAAGTTATGCTTGCCTATAGGATCTTTGGTTTTATCGACTGAGTTGATAATTTAAACAGCCATCGTAAAGAGTTTCTAAAGCTGAAGCTACGATGGGCAGTTTACATTATCAACTCAGTAGATAACACCAAATCATCTTGTAAAACATAATACTAACGCAGCACCACAGTTTCTCGCGAAACGTACACCTTTACTCAGTGGTCCGCAGCATTACAGTTTATCCAGAAACTTACACCCTTTATTAAGTGGTCTGGAGCATCACAGTTTATCCAGAAACTTACACTATTTATTAAGTGGTCCGCAGCACCACAGTTTCTCCAAAAGCTTACACCTTTATACCGTAGTCCGCAGCACTACAGTTTCTCCAGAAATTTACATCCTTTATTTGGTGGTGTGCATCTCCAAAGTTTCTTCAGAAACTTATACCCTTTATTCATTGGTCCGACTTACTTTCAACATTCAGTTGATGTAGCATTGTAATTATAATTGATCAGGTTCGAGCTGAGGACTCAGGAAGCAACGCAGCTTAAGATGGAGCTTGACAAAGCGCAGGAGACAATTCAAGCTGCCGAGACACTTGTTTCTAAACTGGATGGTGAATTCAAAAGATGGTCAGGACAGGTACAGGCACACAAACACTCTAGGATTATTCGAAGGAACACATCCATTTTGACAATTTTTGCCTAAGAGCTCGTGCAACGAAATTGTTCATTAATTTTGCTTAATTTTCTTGCATTTGCAAAGTAGTATAGAAGGGGAAAATAGAACGAATACTCGAATCCTTCAATGCAAATATTCCCTTTTTTGGTGGAAAAATCGCTAAACCATTTGTCCTTTTCCTTGATTTTCGCCGCTAGGTCTTGATGGTGAGTTTGAGCCCGGTGCAAAAAAGCCTTAAATCAATCCCATAGAAAAAGAGGAAAAAATAACTCTTCTTGAAAAATTAAAACTATGAGTTTAGTCTGACAACGGCGAAAGACAACCGGGAAAGGGTCGACCTCCTTGTAAACGGCACTTGTTTCCATCCTAAATAGTGCACGTTCTAACATCACTGGATCCGTTTTCCGCTCCTGTCGTCTGGTTTCCTTTAAAGCGTTTCATGCCACGCCGTTACGTACGGAAACGTACGAAGAGAAATTCAATGTAAACCAATGAGATAAACTATGATGCACACCTTGTTTCTAAGGTCCACGAGCTCACCGCTGAACTGGAACAACTTCCAAGGCGGGCTCAGCTGGCTGCTGGATTTATCACTTACCTGAGCAGTGCCCCAGAAGACGTGAGGAAGGCCACCATGTCTAAATGGTGCGAGGCAGCAGGACTCCAGGGATTTGACTTCAGAAGGTTCATGAGTACTGAGAGTGAGCAGCTTGGATGGAAAGCTGAGGGGCTGCCATCTGACGACCTCTCCATGGAGAACGCACTTGTTATCTTGAAGGTCAGTTGATAAGCACCTATCCATCTTCTTGACTACGAGATAAAGTTTGTTATAGGATTTAATAACACGTGTTCGGATTGGTGCACTCGGCAAATAGGGTGACAGGACTTCGTTTGGTCGATTTTACGACAATCACGATTGTAGAACACGAGCTGTGACTGGATGACGTTGTTAAGATGCTTAAATGATACGCCATGATTTGATAAATTTACAGTTTTGATTCTTTAACAGCCTCTCTGATAGGCTGAAATCGAGTCGAGTCTCGAAGGAGTCTTTATGTCTATCTCTATGTATAGTTATTTGTCGTTTTATTGATTTATGAAATCATTTTTTTTTTGACAGAGTACCATGAGACCATTCCTGGTGGATCCATCATGCCGCGCAACAGAGTGGCTCAAAACAAATCTGAAGGAGCAGAGACTGGAAGTCATCAACCAACAGGTACAGACCTGCTAAGTCTGTCGTTCTTTCTCTGTTAAGATTTAATTTTTGTTTTGGTTGTTATTGTTTTTTCCGTTTTCTCTGTAATACGATGCATTACTGATTTGTATACTTTGTTTCGTACCTTGTCAGGACTCGAATTTCTCCACTGCCTTGGAACTGGCTGTACGGTTTGGTAAGACGCTTGTCATTCAGGAAATGGATGGCGTGGAACCTGTCTTGTACCCAATCTTACGCGGAGACTTCATCAGCCAAGGTGAGATTAAGTTATGCATTTCTACTTCAGCTTAAATAAAAAAATCGACCCTTGTTTTGTGTTCTACTTACCTCGCTTTCTTACAAACTAATCTGGCATACTTTTGCATTCTTTTAATCAGGTCCGCGATATGTTGTTCAAATTGGTGAAAAAGTTATTGACTATAACGAGGACTTCAAGTAAGTATAATTGTTTGTGACCAAATATGTTTCCGTTTTGTTTTTTTTTGTTTTTTTTTTAATTAAAACTACAGTTTAGAAACCAGAAAATTAACGCTATGACAGATTATATTTGTGAACGTTGAAGAGTAGCTGCACGTAAACTGTAAGGAGACGAATGAGAAAGCTGCAAAATTTCACGTTTTCTGTGAATATAACGATCTGGGACGATCTGGAAAGAGGGGATTCTTTGCCCTGTCTGGGATTTTACATTCGTTTTTGAGACCCTTGTGTGAGTAGTCTCACTAGAAGTGACCCCTGTTTGAATTTTCAGGCTGTTTATGACTACAAGGAATCCTAACCCTGAGCTTCCCCCGGACGGGTCTGCTATCATCTCTGAAGTGAATTTCACCACCACACGGGCTGGATTGACAGGACAGGTACTGAAATAAAAATTGAATAAAACTCTAGGTATTCTTTTAAGGCTACTTCCTAAATCATGTCAAAAGTGGAAACTCTTCTGGTACAAAACAAATGATTAATTAATCTCTGTATTTTGGAGCTGAGTGCTTGGATATCCAAATTGACGGTTCTAGAAGGTTTCGTCGTAGAGAAAAGGGACATTATATTTTATTGTAAAAACTTACCTATCTCCTATCTATAGAACACCAACGAGGCATGGTGAAGAAAAAGTTGGAACATCAGAGATCAGAGATTTGCATCTATGGGAAACTAATAATATATAGATAGTCTTCTCTTTTGTTTCAAAAAGAAGGGAAGGGTAACATAATGCAACACATCTTTTGCAACACAAAGCATTTGCATCATTTTTAGCCATCTTCATACTCACTCACTGTAACGTGATTACCATTTCCACTTTGCCATTATCAAAGTTGCTGGGAATAACCATCCAACACGAGAAGCCACAACTTGAAGTGCAGAAGACTGAACTGCTGCGGAAAGAAGAAGAACTGAAAGTGCAGTTAGCCGAGCTGGAGGAATCGTTACTAGAGGTACGCAAAAATACAGCACAACCATGAGGACATCAACTTGAATCAATTCTAGTTCCAGTAAATCGAGGTTTATCGTAGAAAAACGTGTGGATAAAAAATAAACGGTGGTAAAGGAATTTCAGTTTTAACAGTCCGCCTATATCCCAATATTAGCCAATATCCCCCCCTTTCAATAAATTATTGCCTAATATTCCATTTCTTATGGCAGACATTGGCCAGCGCTGAAGGTAACATCTTGGAGAACAAAGTTTTGTTGGAGTCATTGAACAAAACCAAGGCGAGCTCCATGACTATTGCAGAGTCACTCCAAGATGCACACAGAATACAGACTACGCTGGATCAGGTGAGTCGCAGCTTGACGTTTGCAAAATTAATTTATTTAGTGCAGACTTTGTTTCAAGATCATGATACGTATTAAAGCAGGGAGAGTTTTGCAGAACTATCTCGCGAAAGAAGACACTTGTCAGTCTGAAAAGGTGACTCGAAGTTAAAAAACTCAGATTCCATTCTTTTACCGTAGGCGCCCTTAATATGGTAGTCTTTCAAATTCTGTAAACCCAGTAACAAATTTCAGATTGTCTCCGATTTATATCGTTTTCAATTCTTCCTGTTTGAACATATTAGGATCAATTTTATTAATGACTGATGCCATTGTCTGTTACCTTGTATGGTAGTTTCATTCACGTGCTTTGTTTCCTTTTTTATGTGACAGGAGCGTGACGCATACTTACCTCTAGCTGAGAGTGGCAGTACCCTGTTCTTTGTCATCAGCGACCTGGCCAAGCTGAACAACATGTATCGCTTTAGTCTGAGTGCTTTCCTGAGGCTTTTCCAACGATCGCTGGAAACAAAACAGGTAAAAAACCAAGTACGGTTTGTTTTTCCGTCGATGTACAGCCGTGGCAAGGAAATCTTAACGAAATCATTGTTAAATATTCAGTTGGGTGACATCACCAAAGTACATCGCGTTTCACAGAGAATCCTAAATCTTAAGGTTTTTCAAGCGAGTAAAAGTAATTAACAATTTTTCGCAGCAGGCGCACCCCTTATTGATGCATTTTAAGGTTCACCGTCCCTTCAACGGAGCCGTTTCAGCCAAGTTCATGACCTTAACAAAGTAAAGCCTTTGACACAAGTTTCATTTTAACATTTTGGATAATATTGTTTTTCCTGTTAGGAATCTAGTAGCACAGAACAAAGGATTAAATCACTACGAAGTTCCCTGCAGTCACTGGTCTACGAATATGTTTGTAGGTCTCTTTTCAAGGTAAGGTGACAACAAGATGCGACCTTTCCAGCCTCTTTCACAACAATTCACTCGTTACTTTCGCCTTTAAAAATTGAGAAATTGAGTCTTATTTGTTCCCATTCAGGCCGACAGGTTGATGTTTGCCTTACATTTAGTACACGGAATGCATCCAGAACTGTTTGAGGCACAGGTAATCAACTGCAGCACGACGATATATTTGGCTCTTTATTTTGATAGTCAAGTTTCAAATTTTGTTATTAGTTTATGGTTATCCATGAACTCTTTGTTTGTTAACATTCGGCATCACGTATAAGTCTCATTTTAGAGTAGATTTTGACACCGTTTTGACTTCCTTGGTGCATTAGAAACTGCTTTTCGCTCTTTACCTGGGGGGCGGGAGGATTTAGCGTTGTCAACTACGTTAAAATCTCGTAGGGAAGTCTCGCTTTAGGTGGTATCTCGGCTTGGCGCAGCCACTGTGTAGAGCAGATGCAATCAAACAGTGATCAGTCTCGTTATGATGCTGCACTAATGACCAATGAGTACTTCTGCCTTTTACTATTTTCCTCTTTACAAGGGTTATCTCAGTCTTTGTCCAATGAACTAAATTGTTTTATTCTCTAATCAGGAATGGGAATATTTCACTGGTTTGCTGGTTTCAGATAGCGTGTTTAAAAGACAGGTAGGCTTAAAAACTCTGTGGTAAAAAAGGAAAAAAAAAATATATATATATATATTGTCATTAGGTGTAGAGATTTCAATCAATATGTAAGAGTGATCCATAATGAAAAAGAAAGGAAAACAACAAAATCGCCCGAGAATGTCCTGATGCTTTTCGGTTTGTTATCACATATACTGAGTTGCCTTTGCGGAAATCTGAAGGCTTTTTCACTCGATCGCTTACTTGTTTGAGCGTGGAACGTGTTGGCCGTTACAGTGTTTAAAGGTGCCAAACTAAAAGCGTTTGCATTTCGTCCTTGAAAAACTTTACAGCGAAATTAAACAGAAGATGGAAAGAAACTCCGAGAAAGGTCTCTACTGAATTTTTCCGGCGAAATTTTGTTCATTGTCACTTAAAATCTTCTTTTGCAGGACTATTGTACCTTCACCCCAACGATCACACCACAAATCTTTTCCAAATCTGTAAACAAACTTTTTTTATCGTGTCGAATGGTAGAAATTGTCAACACTACCTTTCTTTTTGTCTTTCGCAACAAGTATTTTTGCTCTAAATTGTTTCGTTCTAAATTTTTTTCCGCAGGAATCCATGAAGAACCTCCGAGACAGTCTTCCGTCATGGATCGATTCTGATCGTGCTGCTGCTGTAGGATCACTCAAGGTTCGCTTTAAATTTAGGATACAAAGTTACATGTTAATTGCACTTTCCCCTCATGGCAATCTTTAAGAGATGCCAAAAACATTGACGCGTGGTTTACCCATAAACCAAGTCTAGAGATTTTCATTTGAGTAACGCAAAATCAAAATAGCCAATACGCCCAATACGAAATCTAAAGAGCCAATGGGAATTCAAAATAAAAACATAGTGAAGAACTTGAAGAGTTGGAAATCGCGCCAGACTGAGATGAGACCGGCTTGAGCCTTGCATCTGATTGGTGAAAACAGTGGCGCGAGTTCAATAGACAGATAACAAAACTAGCTGAAACAAAATGGCTACGGTAAACCAAGATTGATTTCCACATGAGATGAAAGCTACTCTATACCAAATATTCTCAAAATACCCGGCAATCGCATGATATCAACGGAGCTGTCAATCTCCCAAGATCAATCCCACACCATAGAGACAAGAAACCATCGTCTGATCATAGCGGACAAGGTCTTTGGATTTATGCTTTGTTTCAACATACATTCATGGGTAAAGGTACAAATTTAAGCCATGTTTTTGTTTGTTTTCGTAGAACACCTTTCCAAACTTGTGTAAGACTCTTCAGCTGGACAGCTCAGACTTGTGGATGCCGTTTCAGCGTAGTTCCCAGTGTGAGCAAGACATCCCTCCCGCTGTGGCCAAGAAGATCAGCCTCTTTCAGCAGGTTAGAACACTCGCAAAGCGTTTGAAGATAATTCTTCTGTTTGATCTCTTTCCATGCATGTTTGGAGATGATATGACGGCCTGACAGAAGCCTGAATTCTGTTCTTGTGAATGAACTTGTGTGAAAATACTTTCCAAGGGGTGCGTGGGCAAACGATATCCTCGGACCTGTAGCTTCATTACCATTTCCGTTTTCTGTTGTCATGCGACATAAAAAGACAAAAAGCATCGAAACCCTACCGCTTTTTCGTATATTTCTTCGGTGTGTGCTCCGCTTCTTTCACATACTATTTCAGCCTTAACAGAAATTCAACTGAAATTCGTTTCACGGATGATCGTTTGTGATTTTCTGTGTTATATACAGGTGTTGATTGTCCAAGCTTTCAGACCGGACCGTTTGCAGAGTGCGATGAGTCTTTTTGCTTCAAAGGCACTGGGTAAGATTATATTTATGAAAACACTTCAGAAACATGTTCCGTAGACTTTTCAACCACCCTTCCAGGTGTTCTTCCTTTGAGAGATTCCCAAACTTTTGTTGTATAGAAATTTCCAGGTTGGTCGTGCTTATGAATATATCATTGTCTTACTGCCCGAGTTCTGTCAACCAACATAGAGAGTACGATCATTGAAGGGGAGCCCGTGATCTCGACCCAGATAAGCTGCCTTCTAAAGATTCTGAAACTAGGAAAAACCGCGAAAAACATAATCGCTGACGTTTTACTGTATGAAAGAGTGAAATTAGAATTAACAATTTATTTATGGATCATAATATATCGTCTCCTCTCATCCATAGGAATGAAAGAGCTGTCCCCTCCAGCCCTGAACCTCAAAAGGCTTGTAAAGGAAACAGTTCCAGGAGAACCGATCTTGATTGTGATCTCGCCTGGAGCAGACCCCTCTCAGGTAAGTTTACACTTTGGCAACCAGCTTGTTCTTTTAAAGACACTATGTTGTGCCTTGAAAAAATGGTGATCATTGTTGATGCCTGAGAAAAACACTATTAGTTGTTGTCACAATTTTTCTCCATTCGTTTTCGTTTTTGTACCTACATTTACAAAGCTTAAAAACTTGTTCTATCGCGAACTTTAATGGCATGATTTTGTGAGCGAGGGAGTCGTTGGATTCCTTGAGCACCCACGACCAAGGCAGAGGTGGAGACGGAATAGGATTTGTCAATTGTCAGAAAATGTCCAATTTATTCCAATTCCGTGCTCATTATCAGTTGAAAACTGTTTTGTCGGGGTCTTATGGAGACCTTAGCGTGGAGGAACAAACCAATTGCTAGTTCTCGGGCCCACCGTGTAAAATCAGATGCGTGCGACTCCGGAATCTAATTTTTTCTAGATCTTAGGCGACGAAGTCATTCTGAGTGGCATGGGAATTTTGGCTTTCCATCCGTTAGTTTCATTTTTTACCTATGAGATCATATTGTTCTACGCTTCTGATTCAGATATCGACTTAGTCCTTAGTATAAACCAGGCATAGTAGTAGTCTGTTTGGATGACGCCTTCTTTTTCTTAGGAATTACAAGATACGGCTGCTGACGTCATTGGAGTGGACAAATACCATCAGGTGTGTTTTCTGAAACAAAGCGGAAATCTTCTATAGTCACTGGATATATTTTGCTTCCTACTGCTAGAAAAATGTCGTGGCGTTCACAAGGATTCACACCACATCGGATGTGTCGATTTTTGGTTCTGCGCGTTTTACACGGAAAGAAATATCGGCCATCAAAACTGCAAAATTTCATGCCAGCAAAAGTGGTTATCAGTCCATGAGTTCGTTGGTGAATTGACAGTTGTCGTCATCGTATTGCGTGTTAATTTTTTTGTATTCAATTTGGATTTATTCGTGTGTTCAACCCTTCATTCAACTTATTTTTTTACATTCGAATTTTGCAGGTGGCCATGGGTCAGGGCCAAGCGGACATTGCCCTTCAGCTTCTTCATGACTGTGGCAGGAATGGGGAGTGGCTGTGCTTGAAGAACCTCCACCTTGTTACCTCTTGGCTTCCGGTCCTGGAGAAAGTGAGCGCCTTTTCATTTAATGTCACCTAGTCGGTGTAAATAGCGACAGTAACAACAAAGTATGGCAGAAAATAGGTGTTTGGTGGAAATTGTGATCTTCCGAAGAGTGCCCTATGACTGTTTTATTTTTCAATTGTAATTTACTGCTCTTTTCTATTGTTTGTCATAATTTGTATTTTTGTTTGTTTGTTTGTTTGTTTTTTTTTTTTTTTGCTGCTTTTTTTTTTTTTTATTATTTATTTCCGTTAATTATTATACGACGATACAGACATGCTCTACTGAGGCTCACGCTTAAAACTTGCGCGCATAAAAAGAAAGCCCCAAGATAATTTATGAAGATTACTACAATAAAAATTGGTTCACCTGTGGTATGATTGGCATTCTTAAGGATTTCATTCGGCTTTACGGGGAACGCGCATTTACTTATTTATTTTTCGATGCTTTTGTTGTCTGCAAGCAAGTAGTTGATGTTATGCTGGCCAAAACTGATTGTAATTTGTGAATTTTGCAGGAATTGAACTCCCTGGAGCCTCATGAAAACTTTCGTCTGTGGCTAACAGCTGAGACACATCCGAAGTTTCCTACAATCCTTCTGCAAACTAGTCTTAAAGTCACTTACGAGGTTCGTGATTTTTTACTTGCGCTTTTCCATATAGAGTCAAATTACGAAGGTAATGTGAAACTTTACATAAAAATTTGGAAACAGCTTGGGATTGATGTGAGAATTTGGTCGTTCGCGAGTACGGGTTCGGTGCATTTATTGACAAAAAAGACATCTGCAAAACAGTGCTTTTCACTCGTGGTAAAATCTGTTTTTGCCCTCTTCCTTTTAACTTTCAACTCTTTGAGTAACTTATTAGGTTTAAAACTTTTCCTCGCAGGCTCCACCAGGAATTAAGAAAAATCTTCAACGAACCTACGACTCATGGAGTCCGCAGTTTATCAGTCGTGGCAACTCTTCCATCAGAGCGCAGGCACTGTTTGTGCTGGCTTGGTTTCATGCTATAGTGCAAGAAAGAAGAAACTACATTCCACAGGTTTGTAAAATGTTTCTATTATCACTCGAGCCTTCGCGGCAAAAAGATCAGTGGCTGTTAAAGACATCTAGTACTTTGAGTTAGGTTAAACACCTGTCACAAACAATAAACGCTGTTCGAGTTTCACTTGAGTCCCAAATGTTACCTTAATTTTTCAGGGTTGGACAAAGTTTTATGAGTTCGCTTTTGGTGACTTGCGCGCGGGAGCTGATATCATCGACAGACTTTGCACAGCTGCCGGTAAGTAAATATAAATTTTGCAACATCCTTAATCAAGAATCATGCGAAACAAAAGCAAACAAAACAAACAAATAGCATTTAAATAAACAGAGAAGCAGTTCTGCTGTCAGAATATATCGGAGTAAGTGAACCGCATCACGACGTGGACGTCTAAGAAAACAATTTCCGTTTTATAAAAGGCTAAAAATAACTTTGGTAGAATCTACATATCTCAGCCAACACCCTGATTTCCCTTCTCTGTCCCATGTTAACATCAGAAGTGCGTCCGTTTTTTTCATCTTCTCCCAGAATCCCGGTTAAGTTTTTATGATGGTAATGATCTATTTGGGTGAACGAACAATTCCTTCCTTTGTGGTAACACTTTTTTAACTGTTACTGCAACGTGTGTGGTCAGTGCGGTTGTCGACAGTGTTTCTTGGTAGTCGAAAACAGCCACTGAAAACCGCCTGAAATGCTCTTCTGTAGGTTGGAATTCTCCACGCGTAGACGAAGGGGTTCAGGCAGCAGTTTACTAGGATAACTTTGTTTGTTGTATACAAAAAAAACCGAAAAGTATCTATATATACGTATTTTGGGTGAAAAATAAATATATTTTGAGCAATAAACTGTGGGGCGAAAGATGCGTAAAACAAGATAAGAACTAAGAGAAATGCGGACACCATTTTGCATTCTCTGTTCCTGTGGGCCATGCCCATGTGCTGTCTTCGTTCGCAATCAGCTACATCTTGCACCTGATTATTGTGTAGGCGAAGCGCGCGGAATGTTTTCCAGTATACCATAGGCAAGATGATCAGGGGAACTGAAACATGAAGATGGCAGTACAAGAGAACGAATGTAGATGTCGCTACCCCCATCAACGGAAGACAGGCGAATAACAGGGAATAAATCCAGATAAACGCCATTGCTACTTTTATCTTTGTTTTTGTCACCAAGACTTTGTACTGAAGAGGAGACGAAACCATGAACAAACGGTCAAAAGACATCGCAGTAATCGTGCCAGAAGAAACGATATTAGTCACAACAGCGGAAATAGTTAAGAAACGCTGGATACCTACAAGATTTGCTCTTCTCTGGCCTCTTAAAATAGAGATGTCATAATAAAGGCTCCCGTATCCAGGCACAAGACCAGCCAGTAGATCGCACATGCTTAGGTTGACCACCAAGAGAGTTGCAGGCGTTTGCCAAATCCTCTGACTCGCGTTTGTACTTCGAGAGATGGTGATCAGTAACAAGACATTTGAGAGGACGGCTGGTGTGGCCAACATGATGCTTAGAATAGTTTGTGAGAAGAAGAAATGGTCGTCATCTAATGCTGCCTTCGAGTTGGACATCTTTAAAATATGAACTAAACTTGAATTTTCTTTTTTACTTACGTAGCGGAAACGAATAAATAAGAACCGAAACACTTTAGTGACGTTGGTCTTAAATTATAAAGCCTATTTCAGCTGTGATAATAAAGTTATTATCAACACCACTTATTCGCATGGGCAAAACTAAAACGGTGTTCGTGACTTAATTATCGTTTGTCACCTTAAAGAGGCGTGCTAAAACAATTCATGAATATTTTGGAAATTCTGTTACTTTTTTTTTTAATAAGCGGTAAAAACGAGGTATGGCAAAAAATGTTCATCTCGAGTTCTGACATTATGTAAATGTATCAGGGACAATGTTTACAAATCCCTAGTCTCGTAAGGGATTACAGTAGAAGTTTCCTTAAGACTAAGGCTGTGAAAACAAACATTTGCAGATACCGTAAAGAAAAAAAAGCGATTTTCCACACTTTGTTTACAGTCAAAGTAAGATAACGACGTTGACTGACAACTCTGAGAAAAAAGAAAAAAGACAAAAGACAGCTGAGAAAACAAGACATTTCAGTTGCAGTTGCAGTGGAGATGAGGAAGGCGTCTTTCACGCATCTTTCACGCATCTTTCACATATCTGATAACGCTCTTTTCTCTCCTGTCTCTTGATGACGTAAAGAAGTAAAGAAAAGAACAGACTCGATTAAAAATTTAATTAAATGGAAGAAAGTAAAATAGGATTAGATAAAACAAGTGACTTTATTTTAGAAACTGGAATCTCGAGACCGCGTTCGGTTGGTGTTTCTGTGCAAGGTTACGGTCGTCTGTGATTTTGATCGCACAGCTTTTTTATCGAAATGGAGTGGAACACGTTTAAACATTTTAGTTTCATTTTGAACCTTTGGTAGAGTTATACGATTTGATTCACGAGTTGAGAAGTAGAATAAAATACAGTAGAGACAGATCTCGGAAGCTAAGAAGCTTAGATTTTAATATCATCCTGCAACATACCACGCGATAACACCTCTTACGTGCGCTTATTGTTGATGGTATCTTTTTTTTCATTTAAATGAACAGTCGTTCCCGACGATTGGCTGAATTTTTGACATTTCTTGTTTGTTTTTTAGGTTCAGGGTCTGTTCGATGGAAGTTTGTTCACGGTTTATTTGAAAATGCCATTTACGGGGGTCGCGTTGACAACACGTTTGACGCCAAGGTTCTTCAATCTTATCTGCTGCAGTATTTTGAACAAGCTGTCTTTCCAGGCCAGGTGAGATGACTGCCACTTTTCTTGAAATCAAACTTGTTAGTAGGTACTACTGTGCCCTGCAATCTTTGCGCGGTCAGAATGGACGATTAATTGCAGGGTTTAGGAAAGTACCTCCGTGAAGAATAATCCGCGAACGGCTTCCCCCTTTTGTAGCGCAGTGTATGTAGATTCAATGAATTACAAGAAAAGCTTCTGAGCTCTACTGTTACGTTGTCGGCGAACGACAAAATCAATTCAGATTTTGTCCACTCCTTCTCTAATCCTGAAGATTAAATCCTTCAGGAAAAGAGGGCAAGATGTAGCATTAAGAGTAAATGAAGTTTTTTTTTCAGAAAGAGAAAATGGCTAAATTGTGCGGCATTTTCATCAGCTATTTTCCGTAAAATTCATGGATATACTGATTGGAACTTGCGATAGACTAGTATTCCATCCGAGGGCAAGATGTAGCATTAAGATTAAATGAAGTTTTTTTTTCAGAAAGAGCAAATGGCTAAATTGTGCGGCATTTTCATCTGCTATTTTCCGTAAAATTCATGGATATACTGATTGGAACTTGCGATAGACTAGTATTCCATCCGAGGAGAGGCACGATTCTCCCACTTTCTTCTTGCTTATGGAAAACGATATAAGGTGTTTATGACACTCATAAAACTTTTTGCTATTTTTTTTAGGGAGGAAGCCGATCCAAAGCTAAGAAAGTGATTCCAAATGTGACTCTGCCGACATCTTGTCATCACAGGGTGAGAAGTTTATTTGTTTTAGTAGTATCCATCGGTACAAGTTGTAATGATTTGTGAAGAAGATTGATGGTAGTTCACTTTCCACAACTTTGACCGACTGGATAAAGATTTGAAAGTGGTTTGTATGTTTTTTAGGATTATTTGGAGATTATTAACTCGCTTCCCGACGATGATAAGCCGTCCTTCTTTGGACTACCAGCAAACATCGAGCGATCTTCGCAGAGAATAATCAGCTCTCAGGTAAGGCACACAGTTAGCTTGGGTCTTTCTTTGTAAGTTGGTCGCATCTTTTACGTTACCTTTATTATCAAATAACCGTTTCAGCTGGGTGAGAACATGGTGAGAACGCTGGAATCAAGAGTTCAGTACCTGTCGTATTTCTGTCTTCAGCTTGAAAAAATAGGGTAGCCTTTGTATCATTTCGATGATCTAGAAGGTCACCTTAGGGGGTAGGAGTTGTATTGAACTGAAGATGCTTTGATAATCAGCATTACACACGAGCTTTGCGCGCTAGCGTGGCTGTCAGCGAACTAACCCTCTCTTCTTTGTTATGATTCCTCAGGTGATAGGTCAGCTCAAAGTGTTGATGCGCTCCAACCTGGAGGCGAGCAAGTTTGACAAAGAAAAGTGGTCCACTGAGCTGTCGCCGATCTTGAACTTGTGGAAGAAACTCAACCAGGTATCCTTGGGTAACTCCGCTCCTTTCCTATCCCTTGTACAATGTGATTTTTCATGTGAGTTTATTGATCTCAGTTCGTGTGAGAGGGAACATTGTCAATGCCCTGCCTGAAAGCCCTGTCCTCGTATTTACTCTATTTGCTGATCGCCATTTTGTGGTCGCAGGGCTCCCAACTGATTCAGATGAAAATCTCGGCACCAACGGAGACTGGTGAGGAATCTCCAGTGACGTCATTCGTGCAACTTGAGCGTTACAATGCAATCCGATTGGTACAAATCGTGCACGCGTCTCTCTCCTCCCTCAGTAAGGTCATCCGAGGAACGGCATTGCTGGATGCTGATGTTCAGGCTTTAGCGGGGGCTTTACTCAAACAAGAGGTGAATTTACTTCAAATCTTTAAGGAAGACACATCCAGCAACAGTAACAACAGCAAATATATATTTCAAGAACGAGAGAACATCGGAAAACCTCAAATCGCAAAAGTTAAAAATACGGCGTATATACCAGAATAGAAAATGAATCTAAGAATTTAGGACAAAAAAAAAACTGAAGTTTTGCTTCCCTAGAAAGTCTTGATAACTACTACTAAAAGACAGTCGCACCCTTTAAGTCAATCTTTGGTGATATGTTATCAGAATAAGAGTTTAGACTCCGTTATTATGACTGAATAGTCCACTTGAAATCGTTTGGACTACAGCCTCCCACTTGATCCAGTTCAAGAAAGTTTATAACTTGGACGGGAAGTGTGGAAGAAAGCCTTAACCTTTCGTAGGTCGTGATCAAACACATTGAGTGTCTTATATGCGTACATAAAATTTTCAGGTTATTCATGGAAATCAGTGCTTTTTAACATAGGTCTCAATTGACTAATCTCTGCTGTTTGCATATGTAGGTCCCTCTCTCTTGGAGCAATCGTTTCGAGGGCCCCGAGGACCCTATTCAGTGGTTGAGGTCCCTAGTTGCAAAGTCCCTAGCACTAGGCTCCTGGGTTGAGAAGTGTAGCTCAGATTCCTTGTTAAGGGACGTGTTGGACCTCTCAGACCTTTTCCATCCAGATACGTTCCTCAATGCCCTACGTCAGCAAACAGCACGGTAAGAGAATATATGTCGCTGCTTTTATCACTCTGTGTCCAATTTTAATAGCATTTATATCATTCAAGTCAAAAGCGCCAGTTTTTAGAGGCAAAATTTCGCTTAGAGTGTTTGGCGATGGCCGCCCAAGGAGCCCTGGCACTGTTCTTTCCGAAATCGTTGAGTTGTACTCCTGGATAAAACCCGTGTCTGTATGGATTTCTTTCCATCAATAAGCGTGAGCAGGCGGCCACCGTAAACCCACAAAAAACCAATAAACCCTCCAAAGGCGGGCACCTCATAAGAGGTGCAATTAGTATTGCTTGAGTTGGTCATCTATGGGAGGTATTTAGAGGGAGTTTAACATATTTTCCGGTGGAAGAGCAGTCCACTTACGAGAATCTCTTTGAAGAAAGCTTTGACTGTTTTAACTTTGAGAAAATCGCCTTGCCGCTCTTACCTTCCGTAGGAATTTTGCATCCAAGTAAGAAGCTAGAAAGAAGTACTGAAGCCCAAGCTCTCCTCAAGAGGATGTAAACGATTAGCATTATTGCTATTTTCAAATCCTAACTTCCATATGTAATTTTTTTTAGAGCGATGAAAACGTCCATCGACAGTTTGAAACTTGCTGTGTCTTGGAAGGGATCGCAGATACCTGGAGCCAAGTTTACAGTCAAGGTTTGTACCTGCCAGTAACTGTTTATGGAGGAAGGGGCTATTTTTCTCAATAGATACAACATTTTCACTTGATGTAATATGTTTGGAGCTCTGCGCCCTGTACAAATTTTTCTTTTTTTTTTAGAACCTTATTGGGCTACATAACTGCGTAAGTGGCTTGTAGTGCAGCCTGAAAACCTTTTAACATTTAGGTCTGTTCTCCACTTAAAAATGTTTGAATACCCACGTTGTTTTCTCTCTAATTAGCTCGGTGGTCTTCAGTTGGAAGGTTGTAGCTTTGACGGTAATACACTGACAGAAAATCAGCGAGACTCGCCCAGTGTTTCAGCGATCCCCACTGCTGAGGTGGCCTGGGTGCCAAAGGTACGTCGTTTATATATAGCGGTGATCGCTAACAGATTGGTTCTCTCTCCCTATAATATCCGCTTCACTCTTCTCGAATGTACACAGGCAACCATAAAATACACGTTAGAAAATGGAAGGCTAGAGTTGGACTTTTGCTTGTGTTATCTCAGGTTTAAAGTTGGCTATGTGTTATCCCGCTTGAGCAACGCACCACTCTTTGTCTGCGTTTGCTCAGGAAGAGCTTATCGTTAATGTACACAGTATAGGAAACATGCTAATCGCTCCCGGATAAGTAGCTGTGAAAGCAAATTTAGTATTCCAATCTGACAATCTGAAGTACCAAATAGTCACTATTACTACTGTGTAATTTATTTGTTATTTTTGACAATAAGGATACCGCTGACCCTTATCCAGAGATCGAATGCATTTCGATCCCAATCTACTACAGTGCTGACCGGGACAAGACAGTCACGTGTTTCAACATGCCGTGTGGCGGTAACCAGAGCAGGTGGACCCAGTGTGGCGCGGCACTTTTTTTAAAGAGTCAGTAAAATGATCTGGACACTAGAGTTGTACTTATGTTTGGAGTGCAAGTGGTATTGTGTTAAGCAGGAGTGTTTGGCTTCTACTGAATAAAGGAGTTGCTTCCTTGCTTTGTGTTTTTTTTTTATGTCGCTCCCCACTGGGGTGCAAGATAAAAAGTTTTCTTATGCTAAATTGAAATTTACTAGCCTGAAAGTGTTCACAAGCGGAATCGTGTTGTTTAGCAATCATTTCCGTCGATCTTTACTGAGACTAAACTGTCGAATGTATCTGATGTCTACCAGATCTTTCATATGGCGTTTTTCAATCACCATTAAACTTACAAGTCAGTCCAAGCTTTTGGTGAGTTGTAAACGCATGTTGTAGACGCAGGAGACCCTTCTCCTTGACCTTGTAACACGATCGTGGATGCTGTTATCTCCTAGTTGTTCTATTTTTAGAAAGTTACGTATCCCCTTATACTTCCTTATATCATTGGGACGGCTTTGTCGACCAAATGCGTACATGGAGATGGCGCCTCCAACAATAGTTCAATCAATGGCTTAATCTTCGTGCTGCTGTTGTAAACTTTACCCAATTTGCATTAATTGTTTGAAATTATTTGATTCAGAGTGACCAGAATTTATCAAAATTTAATTAAGCAGTAAACCGCACCTCCTATCAGTTGACTGGCGTAACAACCCACTTCGGATGGTGGAATAACATTTGGAATGTTTGTAAAAGGCCGGGGGCTATGGGCTTACAAGTGCAATAAACGACAGGTCTTTCATCAATCAAGACTCTCCTAGTGTTTTAGTTACTTCACAAGTAACAACAGTCTGAAATTTGGAAAGTAGGGCAAAGATAGCTACAAATAACTGATGCAGTCTTAAGAACATGGGCTGGGTTTTTCAAAACATGGTTTAACTAACCCGGGGCTAGTGTGGAGTTTTAATTTAGTTTTATAGCTCTGCAAAGCGATTTCTCGTTTTCCTTTTCTCCCTGTTAGTTTCGAGTCATACTGAGATTAAAAAAAAAACCAACAAAACCGTAGCTCTTGTACACGCTCTTCTACATGAGAATTTAAAGCCAAGGTTAACTTTTAAACCTAGATTAACGTGAACCCCCTTTCTAACAACCTGGCCCTGTAACTTAGATATCTCACATCACTTGGATTAGATATATTTGTTCATCAATTAGATAGAAAGGATAGAAATGTCAGTGTTAGAGCTGCTCTCGGGGCAGTACGTTCGTAAAAGGTTTTTAACCCAAAAGGATGATTTTATAATACCTAGCTTCTTGTGTTTTTCAGTCTTTTAGATCATTTTTAGTATCGTAAAGGAGGTGGTCTGGAATAATATCTGGATCTTGGTCCCAGATTCCATAGTTTTCATTCTCCCGTATTGGTCAGCGGACTGTTATTTCATATCCAGTCTCTCACCTGCCTCTGACCAAATCATGATTTCTCCGTCGCGTCGTCAGGAAATTCTCTCATGTTTATAGCCTTCATCCTCGCTTTTTTGATCGGGGTCTTTTCCGTTTTGCTTTTGGAAGCCTTTTTGCTTTACAAATGGTGGAGTTCTGCAGGTGTGGATGCGCAAAAACTTTACCCACAGCGCATGAAAGTCACCAATCCAGAGGTATTTCGCTCTTTCAGTTGCTTAAACAAAATCACCGGAAACATTGATTATAATTTAAGATCGCAATACAATGTACCAATTTTTGATCGCTGTATACAAGCCTATGATCTGAGAATTATTTATGCCTAGTTTTTTCTTTCTGATATTAAATTAGAAAATTTTGAGCGTTAATTATATTTCCATTTCAATCAGAAAAAGAAAAATCATGCACGTTTTAATTTTCATCCTGCTGTGTAGTGCGACCTGGATCCAGCTGTAAGGTGCCATAATGGAAAGGGAAGGAGATTTTCAGAATTTTACCTAAATTTAAATACAATTCCTTTGGCTGTGGTGATGTGTGAGTTAAAAGAATTGGAAAAAAAATCCTTTCGTTTGTAATCACTAGAACAACAAATCTTAAAAAACGAAATTTGCAAGAATAACATAAATCTTTGTGAAGAAGTTGTGTGGCATTAGAGAACACCTCTACGTACCAGAAATTGAGTCAGCTAAATCACCTAAATGAAAACACATACTAGGCACTTGTTGATGTAAATATTCTCCACATTTTTTTTTAGCCTCTAGCAGATTACTGCAAGAAGGATCAAGCCACTAAACCTGAGTCATGTGTTTGTATGAACCTTCTATTTTCCTTTCTGTGGAGAGAATGGAGAGATTCTCCACAGATGAAAACATACTTCTTAAAGAAGATGAACTCAGAGTTCACTGAACTTATTCAAGGAAAAGCAGCTAGCAAACTGATCGAGCAAATAACGATTGAAGAACTTTCTCTTGGGACATCACTGCCTGTTATTACAGGTTTGTGCATTTTCTTTACCTTAACTATTTACTCCCTAACTTTAGTATACATATTCTCCAGACTGTTCACTATACATTTCCTAAAGTGCCGACTTGGAGAATTTGTCTAACAATCAAGAGCCTCTTTAGTTGGTGATCATTTCCTTTATTCTCAATGAATTTCATGTGTGATTTGGGGGGGTGATACTCTAAGGAGAATTTTTCTTTGGATGACCTAGGGACAAAGAACTATGTTCCAAAATTAGGGAACCAAAGAAAGTGAAACATATTGTGAAATCAGTTATAGATCATTTTACATCTTAGGGGGCCAAGTAACACATTTTATTGACCCTTTAATTCCCAAGATCTAATTAGCAATTATCCTTACTGTCTGCTATACAATTCTTCTAATGTTACTTCAGAGAATTTGGTATTGTATCAACTAATCATCCCCTAATTGATAAATTTCTTGGTTCTCATCACTTATCTTCATGATTTTGTATTGATATTATAAGGAAAAATTATGTCTTGGTCACTCATGGGAGTTAACAGGCTAAGCTTTTTGCATATCTCTTTCAATGGATGAGGTTTGTCCCCTTTTAATTGCAAATGCAAAGGCACCATGCTGAAAGAGGTCATTTTTATCCAGGGCACCCAAGCTCTCTATACAGGTATACTTTCCTCCTCTGAAGTTATCCACTGCAATGTCTTTACCAAATTAAATTTATTTCTTCACAATCTCTTCACACTTCTCTTTTCCAGGGCATACATGTAAGATAAGATTTTTGCAACACAATCATCTAGTTAATTATCCCTTCAGTACAACCCAGTAAGGGGCTTTTTGAGCATAATCTTTCCCTTGTGATGTTAAGGAGGCTAATCTCTCATAGTTACTAGATGATTTAGTTTTATCAACTGAGTTGATAATGTAAATTGGCCAAAGTAAAGAGTTTTAAGGCTGAGGTTTTAACCTTTTGTCAGTCTCATAGTCACTGCTTGACCCCAGTTACTCTGGCCTTTCAATTTTGATGCGCTGTTAAACAGATGGGTAATGACAATTGAAGTCTGTAAACCAAAATTGGAAAGGCAACCATGGACAAATTGTCTTACTCAATCTACACAGGGTTACAGAAACACTGCAGGATGTAATAAAATTTAAATTCCTCATATTTATTAGTTTTTATCAACAGCACTACTGTCCTAATTATTTTAATTACTTTATTTTTATGTGTTTTTAAGGATTATTTTAACACTTTGACACCCATAAGTGAGCAAGACCAGAATAAAGAGTTTGGGGAGTATTATTTGATCCATTACCAAGTTCTCTGAAATAACCTCATAAGAATTGTATAACAGATTGTAATGAGAATTACTAATGACATCTTGGGAGCGAGAGGGTTAATTTTGTCCCTTATGCACTTGGTATTATATCTATGATTCTGTTTCCCATGCCATTCACGCCAAAATGGATAAAAAAAACAGCAGTAAAAAAAATTCTAGTGATCTACCACTCTAGGTTGGTCTGTATGGGGAAAAAACTATGGCCTAAGTCTTGGTTATGTACTCAAGGCCTTATATACAGTTTTTTCTTCCCATACAAACCTCCTGCCTAGAAAATAAAATGTATTATTTTATTTTGTATAAACAGGTGCCACCATCATGAAGATAGGAACAAAAGACCCAAAGGAAGTTGCAAAGGAGTTAGACATTGCCTTTGACCTTGAATATACAGGAGGATGCCACATGGCTATACAGGTTGATCTTGTTTTCAACAAGTCTGTGTATGTGGCAGTCAAGTTGGTTTCTCTGAAAGGCCGAGCCAGATTACAGCTAAGCAGACATCCCCTTTCACACTGGTCTTTTGCCTTCTATGAGGTACTGGATGATAAAAATATTGAAGACCATTATCAGAGATATGATCATTAATTATTTTGCAGATAGTTGTAACTTTATGTTAGTTTATTAATAAATTCTGAAGGAAGGGTCTAAGGACAGAATTTCAAGCCCCTCAAGCAAAACTAGACAAAGTGGATCAAAATCTTTCTTTTACAACATTGGAACATGACCTTTTGAATCCTCTGAAACAGAACAACCTTTTTGAAAGGTCAGTCACATGAGAGTGAAGAACACATTTTTGAAGAAATTTAATGCATTTATAACTGTAGGGTCGAAATGCAATTGTAAAGTAAAGTACCACTTTTGACAGACTGTTAATAAGGCTGAAATTTGCTCACATTCATCAGTCAACCAAAGCCTACACATACATGGGGTCAAATTCTTTGCATTTTGTGTTTGTGTTTGTGTGTGTGTGTTTTTTTTTTTTTCTTTTTTTTTTTGTTTTTGTTTTTTTTTTTCTTGGCGAGATGATGTTTTGGATTTTGCACCAAACTCTTAAAACAAAGAAGTATACGATCCTTTTATAGAGAATATTAGCTTTTTAATTTCAGAGAATGATCAATGGTATTCCAGTAGCTTTGTGTATTTATTTATTTTTTTATTTTTTTTTTTTTTTTCTATTCAGGAACCCGAAGTTGAACTTGAAGCTGAGTCCCAGTTTGAAGGCAAGAACTTCCCTCAACTAACATCCCTGATAATAAGCCATCTTCGCAAGTCTATACAAAAGAAACACACCCTCCCAAGCTACAAGATCCGATATAGCCCCTTTTTCCCACAGTTGATTCCTCAGGATGAAACCCAGGAGGTGTATGTTCATAACAGCAGTGTCACTGTGGGTAGTCTAGAGGTCACTGTTGTAGGGTGTACCCGTCTACCTGAATTAGAGAACGAGGCCTCTCAGTACTGCAGTTTGTCTGTGGACCAGCTTCCCTGGAGTCAACTTGTTGAGAACAGGAGAGCAATGTGGCCAACATTTGAGGTGGGGTCGACATGTGTCTGTTTTCACTTTCAGTGAGTGTCTATCCTTTAAATTTTGGGTTGAAATTCAAAGCAATTTACTCCAGGTGTAGTGTGGACCACTTTGGTTAACTCCTCAGTCAAGCCTAGAAACTCAACCTAAATTGTGGGTTGGAATTCAGGTGGGTGAAGACGAGGTGGGGTCGACATGTGTCTGTTTTCACTTTCAATGAGTGTCTATCCTTTAAATTGTGGGTTGGAATTCAAAGCAATTTACTCCAGGTGTAGTGTGGACCACTTTGGCTGACTCCTCAGTCAAGCCCAGAAACTCAGCCTCTCAGCGTTCAGTAAATAATTTTGAAACGAAGTAACTGTCGTTAACTCATGAACATGCGAAACCTTAAATTTCACAGTTTTTGCCCAAAAAAAAATAGTGAAACGAGACTAAATCCGATTGCAATCGAGTAAGCTTAAGAATTTACGCAACTATTTCCGATTTGAGTCCAATTTATAGAAAACTGTCCTATGCAATGCCCTGACAATGTCTTTCTTTTAGTTTGATTCCAATATTTTGGCTTGAAGAGGCTGATTTAGTGCAAATATGAAGCTTAGATCTCATAACAGGCAAAAAAAAAAAACACGAAATATCAACTACAAGTCCGTTTAATACTGACGTTTTTTACCCGCAGATTGAGATAAGTCGTGAGAACAATGAAGTATCCTTCGGTCTGACCTTGTGTAACGAGATCAGTGAAGATGAATTGGGAAAAACCATCGTGATAGAGACAGTTGTAATAGACTCCCCTGCATACAGTGTAGGAGTTATGGCTAAAGATGTACTGGTGGCTATTGATGGAAAAAAGATAGAGTCGCTCAAGCAAGCTGCTAAGCTGATAAAAAGTAAAAGCAGGTATCTTGTTCCATTGATTTCGTCTTTTGAAAGTGAACTTCATATTACATCTGGTGTATTTTTGGCAAATTTAAACTTCCGTAATTTCATGAAAATTTTCTGACGTCTTGGCACCTTCCAGCTCTCTCTTAAACCGTTTCTTAAGTTCGCTTCAGACCACTTACCATTTAACCACAGTGGCATTATTACTGTCACTGATAGTACATGTAACTCAAAGCCTGACTGTCGTTGCTTGTCTCACAAACTATGGCTTAACGTTAATCCTGAACTGTCTGTTTCTGTGCACCAGACAGGAGATATTCGTCTGACAATGGACTCCTCTAAAATCTGCCGTTTACTTCCACTCAAAACTTTTGTCGCTGAGCGCATTAGTGGGCTTGCCCAGGAACCCCAGCCACGGCTCCATCACAGCCTACCAAGGCTCTTAAAACCTTCACACCCACATGGTTGTTGCTCATATTTTATAATCAATTTTTTTTTCTTTTTGCGTTCTAGATTCACTGCTACGGTTCAAAGACCACCTACAAGAATTTCGCAACGAGTCGATCGCGAAAAGCCAGAGAACGAACAAGATGAGAAAACTGTCGTGAACTTTAAGAATGTCGCACTTCACAATGACAGCGACTCCGAGGATGATTTTGTCAACATCGTGGTGCCACTGTTTGAAGTTGAAGACAACGAAATCGCCAAGTCTGCAATGAAGGAAATGCTGTCACCAAGCAATGAATTGAGACAGAGAGCGGAGAAAAAGATGGAAGGAAGGTAAGAACGAACTTTTTTTGAGCATTCCTTTACTGGGTTTGTGTAGATGAATCGTTATAGCGATTTGTCGTACCAAAATATTCTAAACTATAAATGAATAAGGGCGGTAAGTTTCTAATGAAACGTTTGGTGCTGCGTCGGTGGTGGTATTACATGACAATTTGATTTATCAACAGAGTTATTAATGTAATAGTGTAGTTTGATCGTCTGGGTGAGTGTAGTCCTGAGAAGGACTGTTGTCGGTAGTGGTGACTGACGTTTCGACAACCTGAGCGGAAGTCATCATCAGAGTCAAGTGAAAGGTTGTTGTCAGTCGAATGTACTTAGTCCGGTTTGTGTACACTGATTGGTCAGTTTTGCCGTGATGTTATTGGCTGTAATACTCAAGTGGCGTAGGTCAGTCGTGATTGGTCAGTTTGGATCCGTTAGTGAAGTTGGGTCGTTCTGTTGGGTTCGTTTGTAATGTTAATGTCGTGGATGAGTCGTTTGTATGGTGCCGGTAGTTGTTGACACCTGTTGAGGGGAGTCTGTTCCAAGTTAGTAAACCAGTTTTTTAGGGTCAGTCGTTGAAAGTAGTTGGTGCTGTAGGTTAGCCATTGCGCAGAGTCCCAGTCAATAGTGTGGTTCGTAAGTCGGTGATGTTCAGCAATGTGATTGTTGACATCGCCTTTCCTCGTCGCTCGTTTGTGTTCAGTCAGTCTAGTTGCGAGGTTTCTGTCAGTCTCACCGATGTAGGAGGCGTGGCAGTCGGAGCAATCAGCATGCAAACAACCTTTTATTTGACTCTGATGATGACTTCCGCTCAGGTTGTCGAAACTTCAGTCACCACTACCGACAACAGTCCTTCTCAGGACTACACTCACCCGGACGATCAAACTACACTATTACATGTTATCCCCGGGTTCAAACCATTTGCTGTATGAGTTATTAATGTAAGGCTGACGTTTCGAGCGTTAGCCCTTTATCGCTAGCTCTGACGAAGGGCTAACGCTCGAAACGTCAGTTTTAAAAATCCTCTACGGTTGCCAATTTACATTTATTTATGAAGTCAATTGATGAAACCAAATTTCTAAACTTTGTTTACTTTATAATCAGTCGCATTCCTTTCGGTTTAAGACGCTTTTTGATTGGTCTAGAGAATGTGTCGCATGTATCCTGTCCGCCAAAATTTCAAGCTCAAATTTTCGCTTGTTTTGTCTTAGAGATCAGATATCAAGGAGGCAACCGACAAGGGACACAAAACAGGGATCACCAGCATCCACACAGCGGGCGAACGCAGGCCAGATAACTCCTGAAGTGAACGATGAAAAGGCGTCTGTCGAAAAGACTCCTTTACCAAATGGCACCGACACTGCTTCGCCAAAACGTCCAAGGAAGGTGTCTGTTTCATCCCTGAAGGTGATGGACGGACCAGCTACCACCAAAACCACGCTGGTGTCAGCAAGCTCGGTAAGTAGTGCTGTCACTCATTGGCGCTGATTATCGAAGGATATTGACGAAACACAGAGATGTCGATGACTTTTTCGATGATGCTATGCTAAAACCAATATGTTTGGTTGGCTGGCAGTCCCAACACTCAAGCATTATTGAACCTTTTACTTGTTTCCACAGACTATTAAAACACGAGGGGGAGTAGAAACTAGAAAATATTATACCAACCCAGCACGTACATATTCACGCCCACAATTTACAATATGGACTTTGGAAGTAGAAATTTGGAAACTCTCCCGCGTAAAAAAGGGAACAAAACGGGGGGGGGGGGTTAAGAATTGTGGAAAGGACCTCGGCGTAACAATTGGTATCCCTTCGCGGTCATTAAGACACGTATTGACCTTCGTTTATAGGATCCAGTCTGGAATGAAACCTTCAAGTTTGATGTCCAAACCCCTAACCTTCGATACCTTAACGTGTGCATATGGAGCAAATCTCAAGAGAAAAACGAGAAAGATATCATACTTGGCCATGTGAGTAGAGATGATTTTGCTCTCATAAGTTTTCTCTCGCCACTAGAATTGTCTGGAAGTAACTTTTAACTATTTGCTCGGCTGTAAGTGATAAAAATTATAGTTGCCATAAAGGTCTATAACTTGAATTTCCTCAGTTAGTCGTCTTATCGATTCAAAACTGAAAAATCATAAAAAATTTTTGCGGTAACGTCACTTTGCAGGCCTGTGATTTTACGGAATTTCAATGTGGCTTATGGAAAGCAAGGCGATCGAAAATTGCTGAAAAAGATTTTTTCCAGAACGACATTACTGGAGTGAGAACGCGCTTAAGAACCCTTTAGCTTATGATTTAGCGCACTTTCTTCCAGGTTGACGCCCTTAAGGAATCGCTTTTTTGTGCTTTTAGGCGAAACACTGATCGCTTATAAACTGCCGTTAATATTGTTGCAGGTAACCATTCCCTTGATGGACATTGCACTACGATGCTTGTCATTCTCGTCAAAGAGACACGAAGAGTGTTTCGTCTTGGTTTCCCCACACTCCGACAGGATTATATCAAAGTAAATAATAAATTTGAATGTGACATTCATGATTTCCTGTTTGCTACGGAGAAATTTTGGATTTTGAAAGAATGAGGAGCTGACTTCAAGAACCTCTTTACTCCTGAAAGAAACTAATATTTTATTTTACCGATTGCTAAATATTTCCTTTAAAAGGAGAATTTTGAGTTTTAGCCCAGCAAGACAATAACTTCTCATACGATGATTTCTTCACGCGAGGGGAAAGTCACGTGTAGCTTGCAGCCCGCGCTGCACAACCGAAGTAATTACAATGGCCAATCAGAATGGAGAAAAATCCCAGAATCCAGTGCAAGCTGAAGTTAAAAATATGCAAACTACCTGAAGAGAAAAAACGTGAGGGTCCAAGTTGCAATCGGTTGAGGTTTTGTAATCTGATTGCTTCAGAGGTGGTGCGTTTTTCTCTTGACTAGTGGCAAAACAAATAAATGTAAATGCCAAACAGTTACTTTTGTGTCACACTGCAATTAATTTAATATTTCTTTATCAACATCTGTCTCACTGAAAACTTATTGGAACTGATTCTTTCTCATTTGCGCCAGTCAGCCATATCTTCGCAATCATCCCGGTCTGAAAGAAAGTCTGTGCTGTGGAGACATCACGTTGATTTTCCATCACAACCCATCTCTTACGGATTGTGATGGAAAAAGTGGAATTGAGTCTGCACCAGATGAGCCATTTCAATCCCTTGAAAAATGACAACTGGAATCAATGAACGAGTCTGCACCAACAACATTTAAACATAAATGATTCCAAATTTGTTTATTAGCTTTTCGTTTCGATTAGCCATTTCACTGATGAGCAGTGGCCTTGAAGCTACTAATGACAACTTAATGAATAGAAATATTTAGCATGTGTACCGAAACAACATTTAAACATAAATGCATTCGCTAAATTTGAGTGTTATTAGCTCAAACGTTAAGACATGGTATGATGGGCAGACGTTCCACAATCCACTCTGAGCTCTCTCGATGGAAACATTTTCGAAAGTCCACCTTCAAATTCCCCCTTTCCATGTGTCTACCTCAAATTTCACGATCTCATCATGGATTTCCTTTCTTGTAGTAGGGTACACCTTTAAACTTAATCGAACCCAATCGATAGTTGACATTTGCGTTCAGTTCTTCACTCGTTTAAAATATGTATGGTCCTTCTGGCTTGTCCTTTTTCACTCCGTAGCCAGCTATTTTATTGTAGCCTCTTGTTCATACCTTTCCCTTTGTAGGATGAAAGTCAAGAAAAAGACACTCTAGAAAGGTAAATAGAAAATTCTAAATTGTTATAGAGTCAATGTATTTAGGGAGCTCAAGAAGAAATTTTTTTGAGACGCAGAAGGTTGCCAGAAGTTTGGGGATCTTTGCGCTTGGCACAGATCTTTTACCGTACCCTTTAGTTTGGAATGCTAAAACGAGAGCTTTCCACTCGATTGTTTGCTGTCAACGCGTATGAGAAATACCTACATTCTCCTCCTAGTTGTTCATGTCGCATCCCTTGCGTAGAAATCAGCTTGAGATGAATGCAGATTCTTTTGTAGAAATGTGTCATGATTGCGATCAGATTTTTGTTCTCTTTCGTCCCTGTTTCTGTTTTTTTGTTTGTGACTCTACTGTAAAGTATTTTTAGTACTATTCTTGAGATTTGTTTGTTGGTTAACATGAATGGCCACTGCTTACACTGATGAATATGCCTTTTCTTTGCTTTTTCTTTCTGTAACATTTGTTTAATGTATTGTCTGTTCTGCGTTGCAGTTTGGAGCCTCCCAAACATCAGTTTATCTTAACCCAGTTTTATTTTCCCACAAGGTGTAGTTACTGCAACAAAAAGGTAATGACCGGTAGATAACAAGAAATCGTCTGAGCGTTTTCTCGTAAATTTTTCCGTTTATGGGATTTATCTTCTGTCAACTTTGTAATCGAAACGTTGTTCGAAAATTTTTAATCCTCGAGCTGATAGAGTTTTTCTTCCTCACCATCTGTGTGGAGGATAATGTTGCCATAATTTTGTCCTGTTGAGTGAGTGAGTGTGACAATGGAACGACCTCTTCACCCACAACGGAGTCTGTCGAGTTTTATCCGACATTTCTCGCACGTGGGTTTTGTTTGCTTCAGAACATCTTCCTTCGTTCAACGCTTGATGACGATTTCTTCGAATCGCTTCGAATGTTACTCGGAATTAGCTCGTGATCATACTGTTTCCCGATCCTACTTATTGTTTGAGTACTACAGAAACAAATATGCTACAAAATTACCTTCTAGCATCATTATACAACCTCTAGTTCTTTTCAATGGTATAAAAATTGTGCTATATCAGTAGCCACATGCAGTCTTAAACTGCCTGTTTTTGTTAGTAAAGCTGACCATTTTTGGAAGTTACAATCATGTTAACTAATATGCGATTTTGTGGTCATTTGGTTTTTTATTTTTATTTTATATTTTTTACTAAAACAATGTTTTTTTGTACAGGTATGGACGAAAGTTGCGTTCCAGTGTAGAACATGTGCCATGATCTGCCACAAGAAATGTCTGCGGAATTGTATGGATTATACGCACTGTGCACAGTGAGTAACAGTAGTAAAATATTTCAACAAAAAACAGGATCTGTCGGTGTCGCTTTTGAATCGCGCATTCCAATATGAATTTGAGCGCAAAATTTTGAAGGTGTTGGGGCAGGTGACCCTTTATCTTAAAGTGAATTTGATGATTGGTAATCGTTTGTTTTATTCTTGAATAAATAAGACGTATTTAATGTCGAATTTCAGGCAGAGCATTCTTCCAATGAGTGTCGTAACACTGAAAACGAGCTTACAAACCGCCAATTACAACGAATGGAACATTTTATGTCATCCGAATTCGGAGTTTGGCCTCAAGCGCGGGATAATGTCTTTATTCAGTTGTTAGTCTCAATATTGATTATTCATTTTCGCAGGAAGTTTTCTCGACAAGTCGTACAATAATCCATACCTAACCTTGTCCCCTTTTCATACGGAAAAAGAAACCGGCAGGAAATACAGCTATGCACAATTTTATGTTTTGGGTTTATTTTTATACGTTGGTGGTTAATTTCTCGACAAGCACAAAACAAATCATGTTCGGGTGGTTTTCTAGACAGCAATCAAAGTCAGCGCAGGACAAAAAGGAAGAAAAAAATGAAGAGAATAAAGGCAGTGTGGTGGAGTCATCTGCACCTGATGTAGCAGAGGCTTCCAGTGAATCGGATGATGAATTCTTTCCTACCACAAGTGAGCGATTATCGGACGAAGATGAAACAAAGTCAGAAGTGACAGATGATCCTGCAAGTGAAAGTGTTAAGGTAGGCAGCTCCGAATCTAGAGGAACCTTAGAAGTATTCGACTCCTTGGTAGGGGGATTTAGAAATAGAGCCCAAGATGAGTAAAGTTAAAGCGAATCCCTGTCCTTGTTGATTTTGAATTAAATTCGTTCAACAGCATTCTGGAAAGACTGAAACTGCAGCTGAATCAGACGAGAATGTCTCCGATAAGGAAAATACGAAAGAGGAAGCGACTGCTATCATGAGAGCTTCAGAGCGAGTGAGAGAGGTCAGTTTCATTAGTGATGACTCTCACAAGCAACATATCAAGTAGACTGAATTTATTTTACAGATGATAAAGAACGAAGTGATCGTCGCTGGCAAACTGCATTAATCAAAACTATAACAAAATTCTCGAACGCGATTGGTCATTACCAGCCCGATTTGAGCACTAATAGGGCAGTGTCGCGTCATTGCTTGTAATTGGACAGTGTAATAGGACAGTTAAAGGGACACAGTTAACACGTTATGCCTATGTAAGTGGACAGAACGCGTCATGAGCACGCGCTGTTGTCTCGCATTTTGCCGAGTTAACTGTTGATTTTTTTATGAAAACGTACAACCGATTTCAAGTTTCTTTCTCAAATTTTGTAATAGTTTTGATTAATTGGTAACAGTTCTTCGTGACGTCCAATTCTGTTTGTAATCATACGAGTGATTAACAAATCGGACTCCCGCTTCGCGGTTGTCCGATTTTGTTTATCACTCGTATGATTACAGACCGACTTGGACTCCACTCGGTCATATTACCATTATTAATCGTTTCTTTCTTATAAATACCTTGAGGAAGCCTTTTATCTAAATTTGTAATTCTTAATTTCCTTTCAATGGTCTTTATTCTAGTATTGATTGTAGATTTTTAATCAATTTCTAAGAATTTTAGGTGGTATCCTTGATTAATGGAGTGTAATTGCTAGATTTTAGTGGCATTTTAATTAAGCTGTTATTATTATTATTATTATTTTTTTAGTATTATTAGTATTATTATTATTATTATCATCATCATCATTGTTACCTTGAGGACTGAACCACTAACTAAACTACGAAAAGATTTGTTGAGAACGCAGCAACTGAACGACTTTATTAAGGAATTCTTGACCAACTAGAAGCTATAACTAACGGTGAGACATTTAGTTATCCATGATATGTATTTTGACTTAATTCCGTTTAAGGTTGGCAGAGAACTATTCTCCAATCTTCCTCTGGAGGCTCGCAAAAGCAAGTTAGAAGACATGGTGAGACATTTTTTGTGGATCCTCGTTAACTCCAAAATTCTTCCCACTTTCCGCAAAGTTTTCTTCGTTCTAGTAGCTGCCTTGTGCGTCAAAGGGCATAAAGAGGGTTATAGTGTAGTTGAAGTGATTCGCCTTTGATGTTAACTGTTTCTCTTTGATCTTAAGATGAACAAATTACAAGTAGAGATTGACGAAGAAAATGAAACGCTTACAGAATTGTACGACGAGAAGAATAAAGCTAAGGAAAAGAAACAGAAAGCTGCTATAGAGGCGCTATTGGTGAGTTCATTTGGGAAAACTTACTTCTGAAAACACCAGACGCTAGATGTAACATTGTTAACAACACGAATCGTGTTAGTGCCCGTCCTTATTGAGTCTGATAAATGTATAAGCGCAAAATGAATACAATTTCAAATCTTGTGGTTTGGGCAACTCAGTTTTTCCAATTTTCTTTGTTCCACACTCGTGACAAATGTTCGACATCCTTTTATAATGGTCATCTTCATCTTACTTTTCAGGACAAATCAGTAGAAAGAAGCCAAGCACTAGCCATGTTGATGTTACAGTACTGTGCTGGTTATCAGAGCTGTGTGGAGGCTGAAGAACTCGACTCTTATCGGTTGTGAAAGATCGCCACCATCCAAGTCAACGTTTAAACCCAGGCTCTAAGAGTGATCAGCGTCTAATTTCTCTCTAAATTTTTACCACTGAATCAGACATTAAGGTTTCGGAATACAGGAAATGACCACCCACTCAAGAAGCTCTAATGTTGAATTCTACCCTTGGTGATTAACCTTAAAAACTGCTAAAACATATGAGCTAGGTATTCAGTTTCCCTGTATGTAGACTAATTACTTTCAGAAATGCTGTGCGTCTTTAGTTTTTTTAAGCTCATTACGCTCAAATAATTGGAACGAACTCACGTCGCCAAAGGAGCAGATAATGCTCTTTTAGCAACATGCTAAATTTGATTTCAAATATTCGTTTCCAGTGCCCTTTTCGGGTATGACTTGGCTTATGAAGAATCTCTTTTTGTATAATTATTATAGTATATCAAAGGAACATGAGCAAGTGACACTAATCTTGCTGTTGTATATGAAAAATTACTGAGTCTTTTGAATAGATTAAGATATATGATTTATGTAATTTATATTTATAGATATTTTTCGTTTGTCTTTCTCAGATACCCAATTATTGATTTCTGTTATGCTTTACAGCGTAACCTCTGCCGTCGCGCAGCCTTCTTTCGCCAAAAATGTTTTCTGCTTAAACGTATCGTAGTTCACTTTGGTATTTTTTCCCTTTATGTCATGAGCATTTTAAATTGCCAGAAGTAATGGTGGATTTTTTGATGGAGATCACATTGTGTTATTCAAAATAATATTTAAGGAGCTTCTAAGAAATTTTTGGCTAGCCTGTAGTTTTCACGTATTTGATGCTCAGTATTTCTTTGTAAAACTTTGATTTCCACTTTCTTTCTTTTTCGTTCGATGGTTGAAGAAGCTGAGAGAAAAGAGAAATTTTACTAGGGGTTGGACAATAAACAACAGGAAGAGGAGGGGGGGGAAGGGAAGGGACATTCACGGATGGATAATAGACTTATGATAAGCTTTATCGTAGTTAAGAATAGAATGAATAAATTTGAATTATTGACTGTTTCTTTGTTGGGCCCAAACTCCTTTTGTATATTTTCATTTCGGGGAAAGGTATGGTCGGATTTAAGTATTTTAGCTCGATATATGTGGACAAGAGGCTGGAAAACGAGGCTTCACATTTGAAATCGAGGCTTGCTGGAGGTATAATAAACGTCCAGCGAAACTGAATTATTATAATTTAATTTTTTTAATGAGAAAAAAGTTATTTGCTCTTGGACCGGCAGCCAATGCAGTTCATACAACACTGGACATGTGTTCACGTTTAAGTGTAAGCGTGGCGATTCTGGCTATCTCGTTTTGAACAAACTGAACTCTAGTCAAAGTTTGTTTCGGCAGTCCTTATAGGCAATGAATTACGTAAGTCCAATCTGGAGATGATAAAAGCATGTACGAGGATATTTAAGAAGTGTGCCGACTGATGTGTTTCTTAGTGCAACTAATCATTCAAAGATGATGAAACCTGCTTTACATCTTGCAGTGACATCCAGTATCTTGAAAAACCACAATATTTCTTACTGTTGATGGCTTGTTGATTGACGTCGATGAGGAGGGTGGGTGCATGGTGACGGGCATGTGGTCTCAGGAGTTCAAATTACGCATGCACAAGAAAGTATTTTCTCTTTGCAGAGTAGAGCCATGACGGTTTTCCAAAAGACTTCTTGTTTCATTCTTTAATGTCCCATAGGAATAGGCTTTTTCAACCTTCAAATAGTCTTCGAGATGTAATATGGTTGTGTTTTGAATTCCTCGCGCCTTTTGCGATAGTGGAATTTTTATTACTAGTTTTGTATTCTTAGAGGTGCAGTTCAACGCGGAGCGGACAATAACTGAGACAAGAATGGTCTGACCTCAAAGAAAATTGATGTTTAGTGTCAAGGAACACGTAATATGCACGAGGGCTTGTTATGCAACACCTGCAAAGATCCGATAAGTTGCAATCATTGCTCCTTCGGGAGCAAGAGATCAATTCCCAAATTGAAAAAAACTTGAATTCTTCAACCCTTTCGGGCTTCAACTCTTAAAATGGCGTATGACAACATTTAAATGTATCTCCTTCTACTAGCTAACATATTTCCAAACCTTTTACTTAAAGCAAAATAGTAGATTGAATTTTGAACTAGATCGAAAACGAACCTCTTGAGAGTCAGCGGTATGTTGCGTAGTCCTAAATAGCAGTATGCGTGGTTCTGTGCTGTGATTGGCTCACGCTTTACAAGCGGGATTCTTGAAAAGCGAGAACGAAAACGTTCGCATTCGCGAGTCATTTTCTCGATACTGGACAGCTAAACTAGGAAACTTAATCACAGAATTTGAAGCCTCTCAAATTTGGTGCTTTTAGCTACGTTTTACTGTATTATACTCTTTACTTGTCTTTGTTGTCCGTTCAGACGTTGAGGTTCGTTTTACAATTTGAAGTCAACCGCCTCCTTGTTGAAATGTCGCTATCCATCAGGGAACCGTTTCCTATCTCAAACAACTTCGAAAACAATCAAGAAAGCAACGTGTTGAAGAAAGCAAAGATGGAAGATGGTCAAGTAAGAGCAACTCAACAAGGGCAGAAACGTGCGGCTTTGAGCACAATAACGAACAACGCAATGAGAATTCAGCCGTTTCGTGCTGCTAAACAACAGGTCGGTGAAACGAGGTCAATTTCATGCAACTAGTTTCTAAGACCTTTAAAATTTATGTACGTTTCCAATGCTGGTATTTGAGCCTTTCTTCGTTCAATTTTATTTTTTGGATATATTTAGGCTGGTTTTGCTGGTTCGAAGAACGACGAAAATGCTTTCAGTCGTTTACAACAAAAGACCTCGGTCTTCGCTGTACCGAAGAGTGCACAACAGAGTTTTAGCATTCACGAAGACCCAGAGCCTGTTATTGCAAGTGCTCAGAGTAGAACACATCATTCTAGTTCTTTAGTTCCAGAAATAAATCCGGCCATAACGTCGCTTTCAAGTTCGGCTTTAACAAACGTGTTCGTTTCAAACAGAGCAAGAAATGAAGGTAAGCTTCAACGCATTGAATTTGAACTTTGCGACCCAAATTTTCCTCATTCTTTAGAGCACCGTTTTTTGGCATTTGAATTGTTTCATTTTACCACAAGGTTCTTTTGAGTCATCATTTAATTTCTTAGGTTATTTAAAGCCCTAATACATCTTTCAAAACCCACTCATTTATTTATTTTTTAATTTCATTTTACTGCAGTGGATTCCCCCATGGTTATAGATTCCAGCGATGACGAGGACTTTGAATGCACGAAAGAAACAACGCCAGAAATACACGACATCGACAATGGCAACGACATTTTTGGTGTTACAGAATATGCTTCAGAGATATACCAATATTTGAAGAAGTCTGAGGTATTTTGTGTTTTGTACACATGCGAGTTGTGAAGATCGTGTTTGGAAAATGCTGTGATTTGAAATTGAATGAAATGCATGTGATTAGAATGTTATTTTTAATGTGGTTGGTTTGATGTTCTTAAAGCCTTGTCTATTCCATTGGTTTTATCTTTTGAAATATACATACCTCTGCCTTTTCAATTTTTAATAATCGTCATTTCACCGCAATCCTGCAATAATTTATGGTGTACTCTGGAATTATTCAATCAGCCGGGAGCTTCCCATAATTCCTCCTCCAGTGCCCTAGTCTTGGATTGTGCACTGCCTGAATAAATTTGATCCACTACTTGATTTTAAAACTTGACTTTAAAAAGGAAAATTTTAAAATCGTCATAAGTGCCAAAATCTGAGCAATCACAGATGAAATAAGTAGAAGAAAGCTCTAGATATTAACGAGACATTACTAATGTACAAGACAGTAGATTCAAAATGCTCATTTTGAATTATGCATTAAGACTGAACTCTCAGTGTGAATTGCCCTTGGGATGTGTAGGGGAAAAAATGCGAGCTCCGCTTTTAGGCTTGGCTAAATTTATATATTATAACTCTTGTTTGGGTTTTGATGATCTTTTAAAAAAAAACCTGTATCATTTAATTTGCAAACACATGGATCTGATGGGTGGAATGTCTATTTTTCCAGCTCAAGAACATGCCCAAACCAAACTACATGAAGAAACAAACTGACATCAACCACTCTATGCGTTCCATCCTTGTTGACTGGCTGGTTGAAGTGGCTGAAGAGTACAAACTTTCTCTCCAAACTCTTTATCTAACCATAAACTATATTGACCGATTCCTATCAGTTATGTCTGTTCTACGGGGTAAGCTACAACTGGTGGGGACTGCTTGTATGTTGATAGCAGCCAAGTTTGAGGAAATTTATCCTCCAGATATTTCAGATTTTGTATACATCACAGATGACACCTATAATTCCAAACAGGTATGTGCAAGTAATTGTTTGTGATTTTCCTCTGTCAGTGAAGTACAGGATATGCTTATGACAAACTATTTATAGTCTTCTATGGGCAATCCATTAGTCACTGTTCTGAAAATGGTAGAGAGGGTATTAGTGGGTGTCATGCAAGAAAGAGTGCACGTGCAAATTTAAAATATTGATCTTTATAGTAGCTGACTGCTTTTTTCATTTTGCATGGTGGACATACACCTGTAACTGTTTCTTGTTTTCTGGTGGTTTCTTTTTTGATAAAGAAAACTACAGTTTTTCTCACATGAAAGAAAAATATATTCTCCTGAGGGCATGAAATACTGTGAAAAATTAACATGATCCATTTAGCAGACAAATAACTTTGTCTTTTTAACAAAGCTGTATTTAGAGGAAACTCATTTTTTTAGACATTGCTAAGTTCATTTTGTCTTTTTTTTTTTGGCAGGTTCTAAAAATGGAGTCTCTTATTCTGAAGACTTTAGGATTTGAAGTTTGTGCGCCAACAATACTAAATTTCCTTGAAAGATTTTTGAAGGCTGCAGAATGTCCTGAAGCAGATAAATCCAAAGTTGAATCATTAGCAAAGGTATGTTTAGATTGTCTGTGCTTGATACTATATGTATTGTACCAATGAAGAAGGAACTGTTTTCATTGATTTTAAAGACTTGATATCCAGAGTAATAATGGCAACATCATTTTAGGGAATTGTTTTATCTGTGAGTAAGTTGGTTGATAGTGTAATGTCATCACCTGAGTGCAAGAATTCCTAAGCAGAAGTTATCTGTTGAGTCCAGAGCTATTGTCTATCTTATCCCTGGCTGTTCAAAGAGTGGATGACTCTATCCAGACAGAATTGAAAGTTTTTAATCATTGGTACAGCCCTTGACAGGTTTTGCTCCTATCTTACAACTATACATACATGTATTTTACTTTTTTTTATTGCAGTATCTCTGTGAACTTTCATTGCTTAATGGAGAACCTTTCCTACAGTATCGGCCATCTACAGTTGCTGCCAGTGCTGTTGTACTGTCTCTTCATACTATTGGATTAACATCATGGGTAAGACTTCTGTTTACTTGTTGATAATGTTTAATGTTAAAAACTGCTTTCCTTCAAAGTGCAGGAAGAATCTCTTAAAAAAACAAACTTTGCATGCCCATAAAAATGCCTCTAGAACATGTTATCTAATTGACAGAATATCTCTATTTAGAGACATTTTTCAGTCCCTGATGGTATTCCCCTAAATTAGGATACAAAGCCAATTTCCTTGGTTTAAGTGTTTGTTATAAAACAAGATACATGAGCATTGTGTAGTGACCATGCTTGCATAAGTCCCCAACCCAAGACCAAACCAATCAATTGGTGACCTAGAGTGAAAACCAAACAGCAAAGGTTAAAATTTAACCCTTTAAGTCCCATTAGTGACCTAGACAGAATTTCTCCTTACACATCAGTATGATATCAAGCAGACAAGTAATGAGAATACAGAAAAATATCAATTAGGGGATTATTGGTCAATCCAATCCAAATTTTCCAAACTAACATCTTTTTTTAACCTTTTCTCTTTGGTGTCTCCAGAATCCAACTCTGGCTCACTACACTGGGTTCCAACTCCTTGATCTTCAAGCATGTGTCCATGATCTTCATCGTGCATTCAGTCATGCACCAAAACAACAACAGCAATCTATAAGAGAAAAATACAAGAGCTCCAGGTAAGACACGAGAAATATTGTGTTAAGTTCCTCTGAGTTCCTTTACAAACACTTACTAAAACATTTAGGGGCAAATAAGCCTCCCTCTCTGCAAAAACTCTACAATAAAAACTAAGCTTAAATGATGAACCCATCAGGGTTTGAAAAAGCTCTTGATATATTATGGAAACTTGCAAACAAAGTTTCAAAATCTGAAATTTAATTTTGGCTTAAGAAATGTATGCTGTACTCACTCAGGCCTGGTAACGACTTAGAAGAAAAATAATTCACTTTGGCTCTCAATAAGTTCTTGATAAGCTATCCATCAAGGAGTCTTAGAAACTGATAACCATGTACTCTCCATCCCTTGGTCTCTTGTAAAACTCTTTCTCCAACTTTGTTTGCTTCATTTCAGCTGTCATGGAGTGGCAAATCTTCCAGCTCCAGAGATGCTTCCCCTAGCATAATTTCCCCCAATAATGATAAAGAATGACTGTGTAAATATTTACTGCTTTCTGAAAGAGAGGCTTTTATTAGGGAACAATTATCTTTACATATTCTCCAAGCTGTTTGAATATTTGTGTAAAAGACGTTTTCACAAACAAATGGTAAAATCTGTTATCTGATGGAATGTATCCAGAGTTATTTTTTTAACTTCTTATTATCACAAAGCTATATACAGATGTATTTACCTTTAATTCACCTCTTAAATCTTTTTGACTTAACATTTTTACATTATAAGTAGCATTGAATGTATTAATTAAGCTGGCTTTACTTTTTTTTTTAGTTCTAGAAATTCTCTAACATAATAAATGAAAACCTATAATCATTATATTGAAATAATAATCTTTTAGGTATGTCAAGATACCTGTAGTTAGAAATGTGATTGTTTTAGTATTAACAGGCATTTACTACTTTTATAAACTAACCCCAATTGTAAAATATGTAAAATAAATAACTAATCAAAACTTGTGTTGAGTGTGTTTTTCTGGACAGATTGTTTCCAACCAAGGGCAAAGGTAAAACGTTTTAAAAACCTGTTTGGTTTGCTCCGAGTTAAAAAGTTTCACCCCGATTCAGATTCCTCTTTAGTTGATTAAAATCATGATTAAGTGAAAAAAGGAAAGGATGGAACACAAAAAAGCAGTTCTGTTTCAAGAATTCTAAGCTTAATATTTGACACACTGACTCTGAATGGTGGTCATACTTCAAATGCAGACCACTACAACTGTTTCACTCAGATGAAGGGCTAATGCTCAGAACATCAGTTCCCAAACTCTTAACGACGGCCAATTTACATTATAAACTTGTTAATGAAACCAAGTTATCTTATTATACCTTGGTCTGCTATTGAACCCATAACTGACGTGTCCAGGTTTTTTTCATGTCTTTATTGAAAGACTTTAATTCGTCTTTTTTTTGCATAATTTTAAACTTATGATGATTGATCATTGATCAAGAATTGCTTGTGATCTCTGATTGTCAAGGGAAATGTCAGCCAAATCCCTGTGCAGCCATGTCAAGCAGGCAAATGAAAATAAAGGAGACTTGCAAATTTCTCTTAAAAACTACACACAAAAGCCCAAGAGAACCTTTCAGTGTTCATTTTACTACCCTCTCTCTCAAGATAGATTCCAACAACTTCACTCACTTTACCTCTAAGGTGTAGATCATTTTTCTCTTTTGCTAATGAGAATTTGTTTTCATCAAGATGATACTCTCTTAATTATTAGATTCTCATCATCTATTTGCTAAGAATGAAGTATAGTGTAAGGGAAAGGTACACCTGGGTACCTCAAAGATTGAGGAATGCTGCCTCCCTTTCCTTTCCTTTCCATGCCCCTTCCCCACCCTCTTGTGGGTCAGAGTCTTAGCAGAGTCTCTTGAGGTCATGCCTGTGGGAATGTTATGGCATCGTTTCTGAGCTTCTTTGTTGTCCTGGCTGTCAGGGATGACCTAGTGGTTCACATTTCAGTGCATTTCTTAGCATGCATACCATGTCCTTTTACAGGCTTGAGGAAATAATAATTTAAATGTCTATTTTGGAAGCACTCTAAGCTATAACCTTTTGGTTGCATAGCAAGCAGAAAACAATTTGGTGACTAAATCCCTAGCTAAATTATGTTCAATAATTAATGTGATATTAGATTGATTCAGATATTTGCACAAGGTTGGTTGTTTTGTTATTAAAAAAAATGTGACACCTTAAAAGAGCATGGCCTGATTTTAGCTATGTAAGTTCAACATTATTTTTTAAGTCTCAGTTGTGTGTTCATTTGGGGTAAGTATCAGAAGTAGCTGAACATCCCTTGATAAGTGACACATAAAAACATTTTTTGGCAGTCATAATTGTGGGACAACAATTTACAGCTTCCTTTAGGTTTCTTTTGGGTTTTTTTTTTCTGTTTGATTTTTCACATTTACCATGATAATTGTAAAATAGAAGCTCTGTATTTTTATGTTTTTCTAAGAAAAAATGGGTTTGAATGATTTTGTAGAATTTTGAAACTAACCTTGGAGTCATGGGTAGTGGAAAATGTCAGAAAGACTGCACAAAGTGATGGAATTTTATAAGTTTGAACAACAACATGCCTTAACAGTGTTAGAACCATGTGCTAATTGGCATTTGTAGCCAGGATATAGGGGGGGAAGGAGAGGGAAGAGTGAATGTAGCTAGGTGCAGTTGTTGGGCTTAGCAGATGGTCACTGTGTTCCCCCTTGGAAAATGCTGATGAAAAGGTAGGAGGCTCACTGAAATCTATGAGCATTCCATCCAGGGGGGGGAAAGAACTACACCATGTGTATCATTCTATGAAAAGGGTAAGCTCTAGGAGTGAGGTTGCCCACTAAGCTGGGGAGCTGACTGTGCCCTCTTTTCCACCAGGGTATCCATTATCTCTGCCATGTACTTGCCAGCCAGCATACTTGCTCAGGTAAAACTCAGGCCTCCCTCCATCTTTCACTTGTCAGCCAATTTGTCACCCCTGTGGGGACACAAAAGTAAAACAGTTTTGAAAATTGTATCCTAAGGTAACATAAACTTGTACCAATGTGATGAAGGAAAAGGAGCAAAACTCCTTAGAATGACTGATCGCATCACTGATTTTAGAAGGGTGGTAACTCTAGAGGAAAGTTTCAGTTGAAACCTTTAGAAATCTTCCTTGGAATGATCACAATCAGAGAAACTGACAATGTCACAATTAAGTCTCACACTCCTGTGCTGTCACAATTTGGCACCTTACCAATGGTCATTTTTGGACCGGTGGAACATCAAGTCTCCACAGCAGCTGTTCTTCAGTTTCTGGTAGTGTTGCACAACAGTCATTTCAAAGGCTTGCTGTGAAGGAGACTCACTGAAGCATGATAAAGAAGACTGACAATAACCCTGCAAGCTCTGCTTGCCCTCATCTTTCTTTAGTTAACCCAGAAGTGATTGACATGTAACCTCTCCCTATAATTTTCATAAATTTTCCAGCAAAGCAGGTGATGAGAATATTCAAACCTATCAGGTAAAAGCCATCATTCTGAGTGAATACCAAACTCTTGCAACTAATTTACAGGGAAATATGTAGCAGCCATAGTAGAGAATTAAAAACTAGATCTTAGGAGTTAAAGGGTTAAGACTTTGTGGAACTTTCTGCCACTACTATCCCCAGGCCACCCCTTGAAACAAGGCCATTAATTAACCCTTTAACTCCCATGAGTGACCAAAACAGAATTTCTCCTTACAATATCAATACAATATCAAACAGATAAGTGATGAGAATAGAGAAAAATATCAATTTGGTGATAAATAGTTGATCCAATACTAAATTCTCTTAACTAACATTACATGAATTGCATGGTTGACAGTAAGGAGAATTTCAAATTTTATCTAGGAGTTAAAGGGTTAATTTAAAAAAGTTTTATGATTAAAACTATGGGATTTTAAAATTGTTCTCAGTGCAGCTTGACAGACACTTAATTCATAATGCTTAGGTTACTAATTGTTTCGGATTGTGGACATTTTCGTGATTTTTTTCCCCATTTCATACAAAATGTCACTAAGGAAGATTGTTCCCGTGATTTTCATGAATTTTTGGTTGAACTGGTCTAGAGGCGATTTTTTAGCACACCCGGAAGGTTAATTAAAAAGGGAGAGCCTTTGGTCTTTTCTGGTTTTAAGTTTGCAATTTGCCCTGCAAAGCAAATTCAAGGGCAATTAACTGTTTGCATTTCCTCATAGGCTTCCAGGTGATTGGAAAGTTCCACAACTTCCTGTTGGTATGTGCTGAGCGAAACTTAGAAGGAGTGCCAAACCCAAAATCCCTTCATTGTCTCCCCCGGTCAAAAGTTTTTGGCTTTGTGTTTGAATCTTGGAGAATGTCGATAAACAAAAAGCAAAAATTATACCTTGGAAGTCTCGAGAGTCATTCCCCAAGGCAAATTATGCTTGTTTTATTAGCCAAGAGTATGGGGAAGGGGTCACTTCCTTGTAATAGGCTGATGGGGATGTGCTGCAGGATGGGGTCACATTTTCATTACTTGACTGACCATAACGGGTTTGCATTTTCGATAGTTACTAGAATGAGGTCGTACATTTCCGAGATTATTGAGGTACGAAAACTCTGGTAATAAGATATTTAAAATGGAAGGATCCATGGTTAAAAAGTTGTAAGTTACTGTATTACAAAAAATGACCAAGATGGGTCTATTATTGGCCGTAGAATAAACAATATTGGGGTAGGGTTTCTGAGAAGCGAACAGCACATATCCAGGAGAAATTGATTTAGGATAATTTTGAAGACTTGCGAGCTATATCTGTTATTTACTGGCTGGGAGGTTTCTATGATAAAAAACTGTAACCAAGGTACTCAGAATACTGTCTGGAGGCCGAGAGAATCATTTTTAATTCTTTGTACCGTTGAGTGAATTTTAACCCCAAGTATTACATCATTTTACTCAATTTCCCTACAAATGAAACACGCTAAAACGATGCCTTAAAAAAAAGGACCAAAAAAAAAAGCTATTAATAATAAGTCCAGCGTGCAGCACTTTTGTAAATCAAGAGCTTAAATTGTCATTTGGATTCCAAAAAGGAAAAGGACTGAGAGAAGACAGAAAGCTTCAATGTTGATGCCGCCAGATTCAGGAGCTTTGGTGGTGCTCGCTTTGATGGTGTTAGCTGCCGTCAGAGCAATTCTTGTTGATTCTGGGCCAGATTGAGTGAGGGAATGTAGTGATATCAAGTCTGGAACGAGGTACTTGTTACAATACTCGGTTAAACAGCACTTGGCTTCACAACGCTTGAAAGGACTTACAGCACCAGTCATATTTTCAGTTCTGTTGCAAGCATTGGTATACCCGCAGATGTCTTGGACATTCCTCTTGATATAGCACTCTTTTAAGCTTATAATGGAACCGTTGTTCAACTCGGCTGTCACTGCAAAACATTCACTAAAAAACGAAAAATAGCAGCAAATGTCATATTCAGAACACCATGCAATCTTCCTTGCAAGTAGTAGCCTCCACCAGGAAATTTGCCAAAAAACGTTCCCTAGTATTACACCCAACATCCTCTAACCCCGCTCCGCTACTGAAATTTGCGTCGCAATTTTTTGAGTTGCAGGGTGCGCTGCAACAGTTTTTAGGTTTATCATAGCCATTAAAAATTCCTCAAATCTTGTTAGTGCATTCGCAGCTTCATTTTTCACTTATCATTCTGTACAGTTGTAGTCGGAGAGTTGGTTGTAATAAGACAGTTGAAGCAGCCAATCATACTAAGTCCACTCAGCCAACCCACCAATTACAGAAATAATCAAAATAACCATAGCAACAACCACTTATCCAAAGAAAAACTGGGGAATTCCCAAATGGAGGAATTTTTTTAACCAAAGACATTGTCTCCACTGGATATATTTGTTCTAGGTGTATTTGTTTTTCAAGAAATTGACATGGTTCTCACAAGGGCGCAGCCAGATTTTCAAACAAGTTGGTGTTGCTGTTATAAAATAGTATGAAAAAGCAGGCGCAACGATATTCTTGAGTTTTATTTAAATTTCACAATTTTTTTGTTAGTTTTTTCGTTCCCACACATGCAAAACGACCTTGAGTAGTTCATGGTTCCCTAAACTTTACCTCAAATTAGAAAGAACCTCTAAACACTAAAATAACTTAACGATTGATATAATGATAATGCTGATAATGATTATAATGATTCTGAAAATGAAATTGATATTCATATATAGAGGCTTTGAAGATGCTACGGAAATGGTCACCCTGACCTGTTGATGGGCTGGTTTATGGTAAATTTGCCCCATTGCAAGTTCGCTCCCACAGTTTTCAGCTCGCACACAAATCTTTCGAATTGTTTCCCTATCAACGCACAACTAATGCACAAGTAATGCATGGCCGCTTCATCACTCAAGTGTCTAACGAGTTTGACATAATTTTCGTGCATTTTTTTTGCAGCAATTTTTAAGGCTCACCTTCGAACTGAGTGCTGACCAAAAAACTTTAACAATTACTTAAACTGAAAATTCTTGGCAGAACTACATTGTTGTAAGTTTCTATGGACTAAGATGCTCACGAGGCAAACCCCCTTGACTGAGTTTAGTTCACAGTTTCATATTTGTCCATATCGATAATAATAATAATAATAATAATAATAATAAAGAAATTTTTTTGGTCGCATTTTGTACGTTTTGAGTATCTGACCACCTGAAAACCACCAGACAAATCCTGAGGGCTTTTTAAAATCTAATAGAACTATGTCTTGAAGATGATAAAGTCATTTCGCCAGAAGAAAAAAAAAACAAAGGAAAACGGCTCCTTTGGAAGCCAACAATGAATCTAAGACAGTGACTAACGTTCGTATACGTTCAGTATCCGCATTTGCGTTTGGGCCTAGAGTTTCATGGCTACCAATGAGATAAAAAACGAAATGAATGATTTTAATTAGCGTGGGGTACTATTTCGTATTTCAGTTTTTGAACTTTGATAGACTTCGCTGCGTTTATAAGCTTGACAGGTGGCTACGATTTCTTCTAAAGGGATGATGTTGTTGGGCGTTGAGGGGGAGCTGTCTTGGCTCGTTCAAGACTCAACTGTTGGCCGTTTTCTTTCCTTAGTTTTCTGACTCTTGAACGTTTGGCGATGAACACCATTAAAATTACATCAAACCTATGATCGAACTTAACGAAGAAATTATAATATTATCAATGAGGGGAATTTTAAGATTGAATTGCATTGCTACACTTGAATGAACATTTTACCGGATCATTCCCTCCGGGGACGTTACTTATCTACGAATTTTACTTCAACTGTTTAATGAGTAAATGGTAATGTATTTCCATTTGTGATGATCAACTGATGGGATACTCAAAATTAACTTTGATCCGGTGATTAAATATCAAGTCTTATAAGATAACTATCGTTGAACGGGATACAAACATTTTTGTTTTAAGAATTCAAAGCTTATCAAGAGAACATAAGGAAACAGAGAAGGAGGCCTCCGGTCTAGGCCGTGGGATATGTTATTTACGGATAGTCGTAGCCGGACCATCCAATGCGTGTGTTGACATGTAAAACCCAACTATTAAGAATTAGGCTTACAAATCAAAGACGATTACATTAAAAAAGTACACGATAATATTATTTTTAGGCTAACTAAACATTACAAGTCCATTTTAAGTTGTACAAACCTTTATCAAATAAAACCCGTCTTACCAAAACACCTGTATATGCTGCAAGGCGAGAGTCACGTTTCGCCAAAACAGCGCTCCGCACCTGGTGCAAATAGCCTTTAGTGTCATTGGTCCGTTTTTAATAGAAAAAAAGAAAGTTGACACACTTCAGTAAGGAACGATTGCGTATTAGGACGTCCATTACATTCTATAACTCCTGCAAAAGAGTTCGAAATACGTTGAAATATCTGCTGCACATTCGATGTTATCAAGTCACAAGCCCGTATAAGCGTATCGATAGCTGCTGACAGAAACTTCAGATGAATGGTGTGTTAAAGGAAGACAGTTAGGTATGATATTCACAGCCCTTTTTATACGTTGTACGCTGCGTAAGAACAAGTTCTACCACATCTGGAGGCTATGCTTTAGGAATTGAAGCGAAAAGTGAATGTCGAGACAAAGACATCTCGGTGTTGAAACATCCTGCACCCCTTAGCCAAAAAAAAGCCCCGTTCAAACACTCATTATAGTTTATGATAGTTCCAACTATCACGCGCGTTTGCACTCAACTATCATGCACTTTCGTCGACTATCATGCATCAGCTATCATGTTTTTTGGACGTGTTCAAATTAGACACGATTGTTGATGATAGTTTCTATCTTGCCTATTTGCAATTTTTTCGATTTTTTCTTTCTGTCTTTGTTGGATTCAGGATAAAAAACTATAACAACTCATTTCGGCATAAATATATGTAAATTTAAATCCGTCAGACCAAATCTGTTCAGGAGGCTAACATTTTTAAGCCTAGGATCAATAATTAATTCATGTTTAGACTTCTAAATAATTATAACAAATATCGGCATTACTCCTAAAGGTGAACAAACTTTGAAGAAATTGCAGAGAAATGGGCTAAGAGACAGTGATATTCGCATCGCTCCAAGCATGTGACAATGGTGCACATCTTGATACTGTATAGCATATCTCACGGAAGTTTCATCAGATGGAGTACATCTTGAAGTTTAATCAAGCTTTAGTTTTGAGGCTCGAGGAAAGCAAAATTTCACGGAAAGATATTAAGAGCACATTTTAGCTCGAGGAAGAAGCTATTCCGTTTACAATTCTTCAAGTTATCCTATTTTGTAGCTCTGAACTTCTAACACCGCACTTCATTTCCGTCGAAAACGTTTTCCGTGTGTTTGCGGGTAGTTTTTGACTTTACTTTAAGAAAAGTTTGCCCCTTTTTCTGAAATGGCGTATCACCGCCATTCAGCATCTAAATTTGTTGGCTCAAGATCATCAAAATGTAGAGCAAAATTAATCAGATCGAAAATACATCGGGGCGGTGGAAATAGTTCGGTTGCCATGGTTGCACTAAGTTTGCACGGAGACTGGAATCACGTCGGGAAATTCCACGTGTTTCATCAGGCATTTTTTCACGCATTCATCAACCTACAATGAGGAAAACATTCTCGCAGTTGGAATACTTCAATGTCAAATCACTTTAGTCACAAAAACGTCTGAGGTTTTAGTATTGAGCTTACGTAGAGCTACGAAAATTGACGATTATCGCGAAAATTAGAAGTTGACGACGATAATCAAACAATATCTTTAATGAGACGGTTTATAACTCAGCTATTCAATTCACAATCCTGAATTGTCGTTTTCTCTGAACGATGTACCGTTTAAAGTTAACGATGTACCTCATGAGCTAAGCAATGTAACGTTTTCGCTCCTCGATGAACCGCTACCGATTAAGCTCTTTCCCCTAACGAAATGTCGAAAAAACTAACCTAATCATATTGAAATAAATCGTTCATTTTCAGAAGCCTTCAATCCCTTCACAACCACCCTGACTGATCTATTTATCTTTTCAGTAAAACTCAATCCAAGCCAGATGTTTGCTAGAGTCTTTCTTTTCTGCACGTTATCTTTGATTCCGCTGCGCGTGGCCACTAGTCAGCAATGTGAACCCGCTGAGCAGTCAGAGAGTGGAAAAGCTCTCAAAGGTCACGTCTTTAAATCGAAAAGGGTTCAAAATCCGTACGAATGTCTTATGTTCTGCTACAGCGAATTCACATGTCAGAGCTACAATTACGTCATGACTGGTAATTTTTGCGAGCTGAATAAGAGAACCAAAGAAGCGAGACCTGAAGATTTTGTCCAAGATGAAACTAGATTCTACGTGCGACGGTGGAAGAACAGAGGTACGGATACAATGAAACAAAGTATTTATTATCAAGTAAAAGTTAGAACCAAATGGAAGCTTATCTTAATCTGTGATATAATTATAAATGTCAACTTCCTTTCAGTTCCTGGACAATCATAGCCAATTTGTCTTGTTAAGTTCCTCAACAAAATATCTTTTTAGCCATTCGTATGGCGGTAACCTATTTCTCAACCACTTTTGGAATAGAGAGATTGTATTGGAGAAGGAGTGAGAGCCACATACAAACAGACCGGGGGGGAAATCGTTTGAAGTAATCAAAACAGCCAAGCAGAAGATAGGAAGCTACCTTTCAGGGCCAATGAGAACAGGCTCAAAGTCAGGAAAAAACCAAACTCTCAAAAGAGCGAGAAAACGCGAGCGATCAAGTCGTGGCCAAGTCGCGGCGATCAAGTCGTGGTCAGCTTCGCTTCTGATCGATCGAGAGAGTGGGTGAATTTTCTTAACCATTCACAGAGCGAAGTAAAACAAACCGATGCAAACTCGGATTACTTTCGGCAAAGAATTGAAAATTTCTGCATCACAACATCACTGCTTAAATAAAAATTTTATTGATTCTGTCATTTTTGTCATTAAACCGAGGTAAAAATCACTTGTGTAGTTTATCCGATCAAAACCTCGCAATAATGAAAGTTTTTTTTGGGGGGAGGGGGGAACGAGGTTCACGTAGGTGTCTCCTCTGTTCAAACGGAAAGGCAGGTGGTGCAGGGCAGGGATAAGAACTTAACGACGTTGGCCAACGCTATTTTTTTAAAGATGGTAGCTTCAGAGCATTCACGTCTTCCGCTACCAACTGGAATTCTTTCAAAATAAAAATTTAACATATCAGTTGTAAGCATATAGTACTCAAGGTATTGTTAGATTCATAACTATATTATGCGAATTGATATGACCAGAATTGACCCTTCTTTATTGAAAATAAAATTTGGTTGGTAAATAGAACGTTAGAGTATCAAGAAGGTAATTGTCATCGAACGAGAAACATTTTACTGTTCCTTTTCCAAAGTCTCATTAGGCTCCGTTCCCGAGATGCCTGCCGAGTCTTGTGGAGAGATCAAAGCCAGCGAACAAGGGATGGCGGTCAGCGGTAGATATTGGCTGGAACCCCAGGAGACAAACATGAAATCCAAGAACTTTCTGGTATCTAAATCATTAATCTTCACTTATAGATAATTGAAAAAAATAGAGTTGTATCGTAAAAAGTAAGAATGTTTGGAATTCATAATTTCTTTCTCATGGACAATTCACGAAAAAATAAATTTGGATTATTAAATGGAATTCTTAATTCGTTTCCAGGTTTATTGTGACATGGTATCAGTGGATCAGGCCTGGACTCTCCTCGCTCGGTTTTCAAACAGAGACACTAAAAACTGGATGGATGACTCAGGAGACTGGTGGTACGACAGTGCTCAAGCTGCAGGAGAAACCGCTGACCCGTCATACAACGCAGACATGATCTCGCCAGCGTTCTGGCTAGTCAGTGGCAGTGAGCTTAAGATCACGCGCAATGATGACTCTGGACATATTCCTTTATTGCAAACAACAGGAAATTGTTTGAGCGGGCAGACATTCCGCTCCAAAGTTACCACCTACGGTGACTTCAGAAACGGTTCAGTCTGGTCCGATGGTAAGTGCCTCGGAAAATGCAATGTTCAATATGGCGGACAATACCTAACAACTAAGGGTTTCGGACAGGCTTCATGCAGCGGTGACCTACAAGGTGCTGATGAAGTCGGCTTCTGGTGTAGCAGTGGTTGGGGTGGTTCTGTGATCATGATTGGAGGGGGCGGAGCTAGTTGTTCAGATGCCGATCACGGAATTGGGACAACGGTGGCAAAACTTTCCTCTTTTAAAATAAAAGAAGATGGCAGAAAAGAAGCTGACTTTGGTGACAGTGCATGGGGTTATAAAGCTCTTAGTTACTCGCTGAATTTGTGGGTTCACTAATGTCTCCAATGTTACATGATTTGCCTTGCCTCTTAGACATGTTTTCACTTGATAGTCGAAAAATTAAAACCAAAATAGTCCCAGCGACCCACCAAAACAAAGGTTTATATTATCATTAGCCTATGGAGATAAAATTGTATGGTTTCCACATCATACCGCTTCTTTAAGACTGTATTAATGATGGTAATTTGCATTGAATAAAACGCAGGAGAAAAGAAAACTTTCCGAAACTGTCTTTAATCAGTGTACATCACGGTAAAAGAGTAGAGACGGTAGAAGATGGAGTGAGAAGCGCAGCGAACGTAAGGATAGGAGATAGTAGATTCTGCGTTACCCGTTTGTGGGTACTTGGGGTATTTTTGTGAAACGTATGGCGAGGAGATGATAGATTCTTCGCTACCCGTTGGTGGGTGCTTGGGAAATGAAAATGAAATGTAAGTGGATAAATTAAACGTTGCAACGCGTTTGATAGGCTTTAACTGGTAAATCGACACAATAAAAATTGCATACGAGTACATTAAGTGAGTCATCAGTGAAGTCCAATGGTGGTTTCTCTGTTTACACAGATAATTGCATATTTGTTTGCCTTTTCTAAAGGAAAGAGGCAGTGAACTTTTTCTGTAAGAGTCAGCTCAGTTGGGTTAACCGTTAGCCGCAAAACGGCCAAAATTAGCAGTTAGGCGTAAAAAATGACAAACTTTAACCGTTAGCCGTAAAAAGAGTTAACAGTCAAAAAATTTCTGATGACTACAGTGGAAAGATATAAACCGTTAGCCGTAAATTGGCTAACATTGTAACCGTTAGCCGTAAAAGCCATCACCCCATTGAGACCCTCATTTAAGGGTAGTCCGGTTGTATAACGATCTCCCCTAATGTTGGCCTGATGAAAAACCTATACTTGCGTCATAAAATGTCAAAATGTTATTGATTGCACTCCATAGTGTGACTTAACGGCTGAGATTCTTGTCGACGAGGAGAGCGAGGCATGCGCAGGCTACACCTGAAAGACAGTCAAAGAAGATAGCCCGAAACAGAGTGAAACACGGAAAGTTTTGCATGCATCTTTGCTCCGCTGGCCGTTAAGGGAATAAAACTTAATTCCATGAGCACTTAACGTCGCAATCAGTTAAGACGTTGCGTTATAATGAATTCGCGAGCATTTATTTTTCGCCTCCATGCACTTTAGGTAAACCCGTTTTGAATAATTTTGTTAATAATTTGTTATAATTAAGTCTTCCATTTGCAATTCGAGTAAATCTTTTTAATCCTTTGCCGACTTCAACCCATTTAGGGTAAAATTTTTTCTGTTTCAATCATTCTATCTCACTAAACTAATATTTGTTTTGAGAATTCTCTTTCTTCAAAAGCAATTTTTTACATATATTCTAGACTAAAGAATGTTGACGTAGCATCTTCAAAAATGCTCAGCTTTTGGGACAAAAAAAAATTTCCAAACAAATAATTACAATTCAACTGCAAATGCATTTTGAACGTCCATAGCGCATCGCTTCCGAATATCTTGGAATGGGTACCCAATGAGCATCTGATGGCAATGTAGATGCAATCAGCTGTTGCAATGATCTTTCTCTTTGGGTATGTTTTTCAAGTATGTCCAACACTACGGATCGATACGAGTCGTCTAATGTATTCACGTACGACGTGTATTCAGTCGTACGACCCGTGCCCCTCACTAGGGAGACCAACAGTTTTTAACCTCACACCACTGAAGTGCACAAACAACAACAGTAATCTTTGTTGTACTGAAAAGCAACGCGCGAAGTGCACAAAAAACAACAGTATTCCTCGCTCTAAAAGCACCGCGTGAAGTGCACAAACAACAAGAGTATTCCTCGTTCTAAAAGCACTGCGTAACGTGCACAAACAACAAGAGTATTCCTTGTTCTAAAAGTACTGCGTGAAGTGCACAAACAACAAGAGTATTCCTTGTTCTAAAAGTATTGCGTAACGTGTACAAACAACAAGAGTATTCCTTGTTCTAAAAGCACCGCGTAAAGAGCACAAACAACAAGAGTATTCCGCGTTCTAAAAGAACCGCGTGAAGTGCACAAAAAACAAAGTATTCTTCGTTCTAAAAGCACCGCGCGAAATGCACAAATAACAAAGTATTCCTCGTTCGTTCTGGTTTCAAGTTTGCAATTTGCCCCGCAAAGCAAATTCAAGGGCAATTAACTGTTTGCATTTCCTCATAGGTTTCCATGTGATTGGAAAGCTCCACAACTTCTTGTTGGTATGTGCTGAACGAAACTTGGAAGGAGTGCCAAACCCCAAAAATCCCTCCCCCCTAGTCAAAAGGTTTTGGCTTTGGTGTTGGAATCTTGGTAAATGTTGATTAGAAAATAGCAAAAATTCCTTGAAATAGGCTAATGCAGGATGTGGTCACGTTTTCATTACTTGATTGACTATAAGGGGATTGCATTTTCAATAGTTAACAAAATGGGGTCGTACATTTCCGAGATTATTGGGGTAAGGAAATTCTGGTAATAGGATATTTAAAAATGGAAGGATCCATGGTTAAAATGTTGTTACCTTATTACAAAAAAGTGACTAAGATGGGGTCTATTATTGGCCAGAGAATAAACTCTAATGGAGTAGGGGTTCCGAGAGGCCAGCAGCACATGTCCAGAAGAAATTGATTATAGGACCTCCCCCAGCCAAGAGTAAAGCCATTGATAATATTAGTAATGACCTCCCGTCTTTCTAAACGATTTACCAGTTGAAGATGTTATTTAGTGGCTGGGAGGTTCCTATGATTAAAAACTGTAACCAAGGTATTCAGAATACTGTCTAGAGGCCGAGAGAAGCATTTTAATTCTTTGCATCGTTGAGTAAATTGTAACTCCAAGTGGTGCATCATTTTACTCAATTTCGCTACAAATTACATAGGCTAAAATGACGCCTTAGAAAAAAAAGTAACCAAAAAAAGCTAGTGATAATAAGTCCAGAGTGCAGCACTTTTGCAAATCAAGTGCTTAAATTGCCATTTGGATTCCAAAAAGCAAAAGGACGGAGAGAAAACAGAAAGCTTCAATGTTGGTGCCGCCGGATGCAGGAACTTCGGTGGTGCTCGCTTTGGTGGTGCTGTTAGCTGCCGTCGGAGCAATGCTTGTTGATGCCGGGCCAGATTGAGTGGGGGAATGTACTGGTATCATGTCTGGAACGAGGTACTTGTTGCAATTATCGGTTGAACAACACTTGGCTTCACAACGCTTGAAAGGACTTACACCAGTCATATTTTCAGCTCTGTTGCAAGCAGTGGTATTTACGCAGATGTCTTGGACATTCCTCTTGATATAGCACTCTTTTAAGCTTATAATGGAGCCGTTGTTCAACTCGGCTGTCACTGCAAAGCATTCACTAAAAAAACGAAAAATAGGAGCAAATTTCATATTTAGAACACCATGCAGTCTTTTTTGCAAGTAGTTGCCTCCACCAGGAAATTTGCATAAAAAACCCTCTCTAGTATTACACCCAACATCCTCTAGCCCCCCTCTGGCCCTGAAATTTGCGTCGCAATTTTTTGTGTTGCAGGATGCGCTACAAAAGTTTTAAGGTTAATTAGTTATCGAGGAAATTAACACGGCTTCTCAAAAGGGCGTAACGAGATTTTCAAACAGGTTGTTGGAAATATTGCTCGGTGTTGCTGATATAAAACCGTATGAGAAAGCAGGCGCAACGAGATTCTTGAGTTTTCTTTAAATTTCACACTTTTTTTTGTTAGTTTTTTTGTTCCCACATATGCAAAACGGCCTTGAGTCGTTCATGGTTCCTCAAACTTTACCTCAAATTAGAAGGAATCTCTCATGTAGACACTGCTATATTGGGAATGGGGTACACAAAACACCAACGAGCCACAAAATACACTACGAAGCACGTATGATAGTCAAGAATAAGGAAGATCAAAATGAACAGCAAATAGGAGATTTAATAACTTTTGTAGTTTTGCAGAAATTGTGATGTGGCTCTTTTAAAAGTTGAGATAACTTGACCTTATCTGAGTAGATAACGTACTCTTGGCGTAAACTGCTAAGAAAAGATTACCTGCAGAAAGACATTTATCGGTCTTGTCACGAGCGTGGGACAAAGGAAAAATTCTGGGTCCCCATGAGGAATCGGTACTGAGACCCTCCGACACAATTCCCTCGAGCCATTAAGACTACGTAGGTGAGTTAGGCCAATACGAGGTTTCAAATGCAACACACGTCCTGTATATTGGAGCTCGAAATCCGAAGGTTTGAGGTTCGAATATTCAAAGGGAATTGGTCTGCTTTTCCCACGCTCGTGACATGAAAATAAATTTTTCTCTATCTCATCTCCGAGCTCGAAATAAACCTTTTTTTTCAGTCTTTTTACGCAAAATATTACCTATCACTGGAGCTGCCACCACAAGACTTGCTTGTAACTGACATGTTGCACTGGGATGGTGACTGGAGTGGATTTTTTACACAGAAGTTACAGTAGAAACCACCAGCAGACACTGAAAAATAGCAGCAAATTAGTATAACTCGTGAGTTTGATGACACATGATATTAGCAATACAAATAATGATTGTAATAATAATAATAATAATAATAATAATAATAACAATGATGATGATAATGATGCTTATTATCATAAAGATAGTAATAATGATTTTAATGATAGGAAAACCTAACGATTGTAATAATGATAATACTGATAATGATTACAATGATTCTACAAATGATGTTGATATTTAAGTTGAGGTGTTTTGAAGATGCTACGGAAATGGTTACCCTGCGATGTTGATGGGCTGGTATATGGTGAATTTACCCCATTGCAAGTTCGCCTCCCAACGTAAAATAAGTTCGCTTTGATTTGAGCGGACTGGTAAAGGTAGGGGCGAACTCGTTTTACGTTAGGAATAGAACTCTTGAAGTGATTGGGGACGAATTAGCAATGGGGCAAATTCACCAATAACCATCGGCTAGGTAACTTTCCGGTCCAAACTACACTTGCATCTA